CGAGGGCGAGGGCGAGGGCGAGGGGCGGGCGTGCCGCCAACCAATTTCCTTTTCTGTTGCTGCACCGGTCACAACGTCTTGTTCAACACTCTACTCCCGATCACCACCTCCTCCTAAACGGCTTCACTGTCGATCGCTTCATGTGCATGAGCTCGAGTCGAGCTTTTTTCTCTCTTTAGATCCTCCCAATCTCCTGCTACTGGCTACCCTGTTATATTACGCCGCGGTAGTCTTGGCTCGTCTTTAGCCCGTGGCTGTTTCAGCTCATCCAGGGGTACCCAAGCTCCACGCTCTAATTTGAGCAGACAGCTCCAGTAGCAACACACGCTCGAGGAGGCAGCCATCCTGGAAGCACCGGAGCTTTAAAAAGGCTTCCTGGGTACGCGGGCAGTGCGCCAGGGTTCCCGCTGCTACTGCCGTCATCATCATCCCCCCCAATTGTCGAAAGGTTGGAATATATGTGCAACACCAGATGCGGGTCTTCTGTCGTCCTCTAGGGAAAAATAGGAGGATCAAGGTTGCGCTGGTTGATGGGCACACCACAGCACTCGAAGGCCCTCTTTAATATCCTTCCTTGAACTTACACGGCCGTTGTAATACCCCTAATCACGTTTACTCACCCTACCTTACCTTACTACGCCCCTTCCTGCTCCATTCAGCCGGCACACCAAACAGGAGTGCATACATACGGTCCAGGAGTACAAGAGATGGAGACATCAACCTTAAGAACCCCTAATAAGGGGAGGTCGCGCTTCTCCAAGGCACTGCCCGCTCCTCCCCCCTCCTTCGACAGTTTGAATATGAACACCATGGTCCTACCCAAGAGGAAAGAGTCACTGGGCCTTCCTGCCATCCCACCTAAGGAAATCACAACGATGTCGGCCAAACCTTTGGACTCGCCGCTTCCGCCTGTTCCGTTGAAGACTAGTGCACCACCGACAGCTATGTCAATACCAAGAAGGCCGGTGGCCAGTCCTCCAGTGGTCAGTCCACCGCCGCCCGCTGAGCCATCGCCGGTTGGCTCGATATCAAGCTTGCTGTCAGCTTATTCGCGAGGATCTTCGGATTCGATCCTGAGGTCATCTGATGGGACCGCGAGCACAAAGGACTCATATCTCGAGATATCGCCCAAGAAGGAGGACAGCATCAACAATGGACTGAAGAAGATCGACTTTCTGCCGCCTTTGTCATTCTCATTCTCAGACCATGAAGTGCAGGAGAAGAGACCGGAGAAGCCACAGGATGGACCAAAGAAGGCTGTCGAGAAGCTGGAGACTTTGATGGCAGATCTGGACCTGCCACCACCGCCTCCTCTGAAAGATCCTCAAGTGCCACGGACACCAACGAGTGCTCCTCAGTCACCATTTTCGGCGACACCATCAAGTGCTGCACCCTTGTCGGCAACAAGCCAGTCTCCTCCCCGGTCCCAGCTTTTAAGGAGGAGGTCTTTGAAGAAGGACAAGCCTCTACCTCTCACTGAGCTCAAACTAGCTTCGAGCCACGGCTCTACAGCAGACTCTCCATCTCAAGTCCAAAAGGTCCAGCAGCAGTTATCTGCAACCCCAGAAACTTTACCCTCTTTAGCACCACCACAGCCATCCTTGGTTTCGAATACAGCTGTTTCACCGCTATCGCGCGGGTATACCGCATTTCCAGGCCGCAATATCAAACCGCAGACATCAAAAGAGCCATCGACGCAACCGCCGAACATGGGTGAAGCTGTATCGAAGATCGAGGGAAAGCTTGACGAGACGTTCAAGAGGAGACAATCCAACGAAAAGGTGATAGAAGGCGGTATTGACGTCGAGGGAAATATCGTGAAGCAGGTCGAGAGCGGCAAGGAGCCTACTTTCCGACGCTTGCCTACCCCCGAATATCAGAAGAGCGATGTGAAGACGCCGATCACAGAAACCATCGTCTCCCCTGTGTCCCCGGTGTCTCTTACCGGCTCACCCGAAGGCTTCAAAGCCCCAGCTTCCACAACAGGATCAGCGCCCGCAAACTATGGCGGTAGCGACGTAGCGTCAGTGAGGAGTGATGCGACACTTCGACCACCGCGCGGGCCCCTGCCCACGATCCCTGGTTCTCCGCGCGAGTCCGGCGCATCTCAAGGGGCACAAACGCCGTCTACTGAGAAGTTGAGCTTTCCTCTACGGTCCGCATCTAAGCAGCCAGTCGGCGCTGCGAAAGGATTACCGCGAACACCCGCTCCTCTGAACAGACAGCGTGCGCCCACTCCATCCTCGCGCCCTGGAAGCTCATCCAGCGATGCCGCCACCGGTGTTGTTCCGAAGCCTGGAGAGACTGCGCGCGAAGGACCGCCGGTGAAGCTTACCCTTGATACCAAATCGGCCACAGTATCGAGCTTCGACAACGCCGTACAAGCCGCAGGCGAGTCTATAGGCGAGCCTCTTACTCCATCTCATCCGGCATACTTTCCGAAGACGCTCCTCTCTACCAGCAAGGAGGTTGCTTTCCGCCCAGCCGTTAAAGAGAGCCATCTACGATGCTTTACTTCGCACGCAACCCTGGTCTCGGACCCGAACCGCCTCGGCATGGGTAAATGTCAAGTCTGTAGCAAGGACGACAACAGCCCCCGAAAAAGTTGCGGCCACTGCTTTCTACATCTCTGCGAGCCGTGCTCGCAGGTTCTTACCGATATGAAAGGCAATCTAAAGCAGCTCATGGAAGTTGTCAAGAATCAGGGCATCAAAGGCAAAGCAGTTGCGGCACCAGAGTCTACCACAGGCTCTGCGACATCCGATAGCACCATTCGCCCAACTCGAGCTTGAACGTCCGATGAAGACCATTGGGCAGTTCGCCACAACACACTTTTGCCTCGACTATTGAGGACGCATTGACTATAAATATGTATAGCTAAGGTTTCTTGTGTGAATACAACAGGACATGGCGTTGAATGATTTCAAAGGTATACCAAAAGCTACTCTTCGGCCTCCTACGGGAGCGGCCAGCTAGATGGCCTTACAGGGTGATTTGGTTTCACAGGAAGAATACCGCTGGATTGGTAATGACAATGATAATGAGCCTGGATTACTTTCTGGTTATGATACCAGCAGACGATAGTTACCAATAAAGACATCAAGATTCTCACGAAGCTTCTCATTTACGTCTAAGTGCCTGCCGTCCACCCCAGTTTCACTTCAAAATCTCCTCTAGACTCCTGGGTGAGACATGGGGCCGAACGCTGTACCTGAAGTTCATCTGTCTAGCCCTTCCGAAGTTCCCGATGAATGTCGGCGGCATTCCCACATTGCCCGCTAAATGCAATCTCCCATATGCATCCCGACGCGTCGTCGCGTCTCCTTCCCCTCCATCACAGAAATTGAAGGTGCCGTCCCCCCACTACACCAACAATCCTATACCGAGCGCGCCAATGCAGCACCATTGCACAGATGCATAAGGCTACACACAGGCTAAAGGCAGTTGATTGACAGGGTGCTGGGAAAGACGGCGACTCTAAAAATACGCTACAAAATTCCCCGTAGCTTTTACCTCCTCGGCTCCAGGGGTGCAGTTACGCACGGTGCAACAGCCGGGACCCATGCCTCCCACTTCGTTACCTATCAACAACAAAACCACACTACAAGCAACTATGTACCTTGTCTAGGCTCGAAACCCCCCCAGCCCACAGACAAAGGCAAGACATGTCATCCTCGACGACCCTCGGCAGGTCCCGCTCGCTGCGGAAGCCCGCACCCCCAATTGGCGGCGCAGATGCCGCCGTGAGGTCTCGCAGCGACAAAGATGCAACGACGTCGTCGGCACCGGCCCCAGGTGGGCTGCGAAACGCGTCCCCGAGCAGGTTGCCCGTGAAACCATCCACGAGTGCCGGCAATGCGAGGCCGCCGCCCCCGCCCGCGAGCACTGCGGCTCCGGGCACGAAGAGCAGGCCGATATCTGGGATTCTCGGACGGGCGCCGTCGGTGAGACAGGCGAAACCTGCAGCGGCGCAGGACCAGGCGGAGACGGCGACTAAGAATAGCTTCACCGCCCGGCCAGGCCGCGCGCCGTCCGTGACGACGGGTTCGACTAGGGCGCCGGCATCGCGCCCGACGACTTCGGGCGGTCTACCGGCTGGGTCGACGGCCAAGCCTCGAGCCATTGGACACTCGAGGGCAAAGTCCTCGGCTACGGCACTCACCTCCTCGACGGTGCTCAGACCGCCCTCGGCAGCGTCCTCTGGGACGTCGAGCTCGGCCACCAGCCGCCCGCCTGTCACGCGGGCGAACCCGCCCATAACTACGACACATCGCAGACAGCTGTCCCAACCGGCTGTCTCCAGCTCCGCTGCCACCGCCTCGTCTGCACCGGGCCAGGCCTCGCGCATAAAGCCTGCGTCCGCGACCGACGACGCGCCGCGCCTGCGGCCCGCCTTCACCACCCTCCAGCAGCACTACAGCCCGGCTCGCAACCTCGCGCCGAAACCCCTGACAGCGACGTTCCTCGCGCCGCCGTCGCCGTCTAAACTCCCATCCAATGTCGCCATCTCGGCGGAGACGGCAAAGCTGCAGACCGAGCTGCTCCAGTTGCACCTATTACATCGCGACTCGGCCGTAGTCGACCAGGAATGGCGGGCCAGTGCGCGGCAGAAGCTTGGGGAGAGGTTCGCTGCGCTGGTCAAGGAGAATCAAGACCTCAGTCGGGAAGAAGCCGATGTTATAGAGAGGAGGAACATTGCAGCATTACAGTCCTGGGGCGGCACGAGCAGCGGAGGCGGACGATCAGGCAATACGGCGTTGGAGGAGAAGATCCAGGTCCTCGATCTTGTGCTGTCGGGTCTGTGGAGCTTGGGCGAACCAGGCGGCAAATATGCAAGGGTTATTCGGCGATTTGAGCGATGGGCTGAGCGGATGGTTGATGTGGTAGAGGCAAGACGAAGAGGGGGCGGTCTCGGCGTCCTAGACGGCGAGGAGATCATGTTTGTTGGAGAGCTGGACTCTGCGTGGAAGGACGAGTGTGCTGGACTGGTGCGGAAGCTGGACGGCTGGCGGAGGCAGCTCAAGGAGCTGGGTGATGTGCCAGATGATGCCATCGAGGAGACAACTCCTGTCGGCGGGCGATCGAGCCTCGCGCAGATCCTGGACGGGTGCAGAGGCTTGGTTCACGACATGCTCGCCGAGCTGAACATCATGGAGCAGATTGAGCGGGACGCGCTCAAGCAGGAGGCCGACTGGATTCAGAAGATAAATCGGGATGAGACGGACGACGATATGCCCAAGGCTGGTGCCATTTGGAGGGCATTCTGATTGGCATTTGCTACATACATGATTACTTGGCATAGCAAGCATGGTGTTTGATGGAATTCACGACTCGGTAGCTAGAATGATTGACACAACACGTAGGAAAGACGGAACGCGCTGGGTTGCCCTACGTCATGGCAAATATGGGAAGTCTTCAACTATATCATGTAGCTCATTTATCGCGTGAGTCGCCATGACGCAGGCCAGTACAGGTATTTTGCATACTCATGATTTGCTTATAGCAGCTGCATCTCAACGCAGTGTGAGTCTCCTCGCCATAGCGGATTTGTCCGAAGAAAAGGGGCTGCACTTCGTCTCCATAATCCATTGATACAATCGTCTTCAATCACCAAGAACATGGCAATATCTCTTGTCTTCCAATACCACAAGCCATTGCCTTCTAGACCTTTCAATTTCGCCAAAGTCTCCTCCCAGCTAGTATCGATTGATCGTGTTGCGACGCCTCCGTTTGATACAGTTTGGTAGGAGGTTGTGAGGTGTTTACTGCGCTCAGTGTTGGCGTTGATTTTTCTCCGTTTACTACCCCCATTTGTTGGTGCCGTTGGACCCAATTGTCGAATTGCATGGTATTGAAAACTCGAGGGTGCAGTGAACGGGATGCATCGTGCACTCTTGACACCATTTCAGGTGTTCTGGTGTACACGGCTTGCAGGTGAGGGTTGGCGGCACGACGAGCTGCGGACTCGCAACGGGAGAGGCCCAAGTCACAGAGATGCCAAGGGCGAAGACGCCGGCGCTTCTGAATACCTTCATGGTGACCTCGAATCTAGGTAGAATAATTCAGAGTGCTCAAGTACATTGCGAGTTTTCGGTGCGTTTGAGTGAATTGTGGTACCATTTAGGAGATGGCGTCAAGGAGATGGGGCAAAGCCAGGGGATTGAATTCCAGTTGCGCCTGCCGTCTGTTGCATATTAATAATCTACGCAGCATTGCTTGCCGCAAGTTGATTCAATTCTTGACCTTAAGACATTGGTCCCATCATTTTGCCTATTTCGTTTCTGACAAAATTCTTGCTCAAAGTGTCCGTAACCAAGGCTAAATAGGAATTGATTGAACTTGGCCAAGAGCACTGGAAATAAACCAACAATTCTGTTTTCAAATAAATAAAATAACACAACAAGTTCAGCAAGAGCTTCATATATCCTCCAGTTCAAGGGCCACTTCATCTCCTATCACAAGAATGCCTTTGCTTGAAAGGAGGTGTTTCCAACGAGAAACCCCGGGGGCATGTTCAAAGGAATCAATCAGTTAACTCAAGGAAGCCACTACAGACATCTCTCAGTTGCATCCAAGAATAACTTGCTTTCTTGGACTTCCCATGTGAAGTCTTCGAGGGGCAGGATGGCCTCATTTTTGCTGAGGTAGTTTCCTTCTTTGTCGCTTTCGACATGCTTCCAGGTTAGCACGGTGCTTTTTCAAGTAGTCGTTCCTGGCGAAGTTTTTACCGCAATCCAGACAGGTATGCCTGAGCTCTTTGATGCGTTTCTCTTTTTTCTCCCGTCTGTGTCTCGCAAGGTTTGATTTTGAAGAGAACTGCATCTGACAATTCTCGCAGGCATACTGAGCCGAGCCTCTTCCAAAACCAACATCCACTGGCTTGCTGGAAAACCTTGAACTAAGTCCTTTGACAGAAGCAGGTTCAGGAGGACTATTACTGCTCATCGATGGAGCATCGCCAATTATAGCCGAGTCAGATCCGGCTTTGCACGCTGTATCTAGACCGCGGCTGGTAGCACCCTCGCTGACGCTCGAGAGTGGGCTGATATTCGACGCCGATTGAGAACCATCGCCACCATCGTCTGGACACTCTGTTTTGGTAGTCTTACACCACCTCAGGGGGATCTCTAAGCATGCCTCAAGAACTCTACATCGATGTAGGAACGTTACAGCAGCCTTGAGTGGGTTGAGCTCTTTCTCATGGCTTGTTGATCGAGGTTCCTTTGTGATTGCCAGGGAAAGGTATAGAGGGAGAAGTCGTATTGCTGCCAGTGTTAGAATGCTTTCAAACCACACTGTTTGAAGAATGGCCTCAACTTACACAGCAAGAATTGTAACGCGCATATGAAAATCGCCCCCATCATAATAATCATAAGCATCTCTATGTTCTCAGGAGGTTTCCAACTCGACACATCTTGGGTTCCGCTCTGTTTCATGGAGCCAGTAGATCGTTTCTGTCTCCCAACTGTTTCATTCGGGTTGTCCGGGTGAACCACTTCAGTGCGTTTACTACCGCGTATTGTGATTTCATTAGTGTCAGCCTTCTCTCGCCACTTCCATTGACTGGCTAAAATCCCTGAATCAAGTGTTTGAGACGCATCGCAAAGCCAACGAGCTTGGCAAGTCATCCGGAGAGCAAGCGACTGGAAATATTCCAGCTGCTCCGGAGTACCATTTGCAACTTCACTAGCCTCGCATCGATATCGCGCGAGTTCCGGATTGTAGCCATCCCAGATCTCGCCAACAATCGCTTGGTAATCTTGAAGCTCGGACGCTGGGATCAATGATTCCCATCTGGCCAGGTCACGTCGAAAGAGCTCGAAGCGACTCACGCTCTCATAACCTTTTTCTCTGTCTAAAGTACTCGAAATAGCTGCCGAAACACAGAGAAATGCGAGAACGTCTTCAATTGAATTGGGGAGGGTTCTCCCAAGTATATTTCTGAAAGTCGTCATACCACTTTTCCATGCCAGACGGTAGTCCTGGAGGTGTGAATAACGGTGTAATTCAACTTTTCGCAACATCGCCGTTTGGAGCTCAAGCTGGACTGCTTTGAACTTCTTGTACACAGATCTTAGTCGTATCTTTCGTCCCTCTTCAATGAGCATAGATGCGAGAATTAACTTCCAAGCTGGCTTTGCATCTCCGAGTGCCCTGTCTACCAGAAGCTCGACAATATCCGCATGGCCATGCAAGGCAGCCTGGACGAGGGCATCATGAACCTGAGGACCATGTGCACCAGGGCGTGAGGACAGCAGAAGCCTGATTGATTTGCGATCATTGGCTTCTGCTGCGCTGAGATATCGAGCATCAAATGTGCCTTGGAAAGGGAAATCGCACTCAAGGATTACTCGGATCACATTTGTGCGCCCATCCTTGGTAGCTTCGAAAAGAAGACGACAGAAAGCTTCCTCAAATTCTGGGCGGTCCTTGATCTGGATCAGGTAATATTTCATAAGCTGAGTACATCCGTTTTGATAAAATAGCTGCAGTGTGAGGGGAAAGCTAGCGGAATTCTGGTTCAGAGGACATGTCCTTCCAAAAGAACGCATTGATAACAGCTTCGCATCCGAGAGAACAAACCTAAGCAAATGAACGTAAAATTCCGCTATTTCATCTGGGACTGTGCCATGATTTTCTGATAAGCAGTGGCCGATATTCTCGTCGAATTTCGAACAGGCTTGCATCCCATATTCCCTCTCCCAGTCTGACTCAATGGAGCTGGGCTCCTCAACTATGGATGGTTCTTCTCGATCAAGTTGATATTGAAGTTGCGGGGCGCAACACCGTTGATCTAATTCAGCAATTGCCTGTTCGTCTGAAAATCTTTGTCCGCAGAATGTAGACTGTAAATCTACATCGGATGACAGATTTTCTATATCTGCCGCCCAAAATTCCTCGTCGAGTGCGGTCACATCTTCCAGGAGCCTAGATTGCTGAAATTTGTTCCACCATGTGAAAGATATGAAGCCCTGTTCATAGAGACTCTCAAAGCCAAAACTTCGAAACACGTCACCATCGGCAAGGAAGTCATCGACGAGTAATTTGAGGCACAGATACTTCTTTGTTTGCTGTGACGCCCAATAAGTTTCTAATAATTCGAGTCGCTCTTGCAAATCCAGGAAATGTTGGAGCAGAACGAAGCCGTTTATCTTCTGGCCACATTGATCCCTGGTAATCTCGGGTAGGAGATGTTCTGCTCCAAGCACATCTCGAAGTTCATGAAGTAAGTCAGTATCATTGACCATGACAGTACATTCATTCAAGTCTTTATGAACAACGAAAACAAAGTTTTGCGCAAGGTCGTGAGAGTCATGCATGCGACAGCGGCAAGACTCTGTGCAGGTTCTCTCTTCTTCAACATCGATGTACTTCCACCCTCCAAGTGAATCACCGATGTACGTTGTGCAACTGGCTTCAGTGTCAATAAAATCGTTTAGGGATTCGGCAAGATTCAGTGTTACAAACTCTTGGAACACTTCAATAAGACGGAATTTCAATGGTCCATGGTCTTCCACAGGTGCGCCGGTATCACGACGGTACGGGCATCCGGGTTCATACCATCTAGTATTGGTTGGTTCGGAGTTTTCATGCGATAGTGCTTTGGGTTCTTTCGCTATGCTGAAATTGGGATAGAGTTCTTGAAAGAGGTCTTCGCCTTCGGACTGCATCGTCTCCCAGGGCAGATGCCAATCCGAGTCCGTGGGAACAGGCGTTTCGAAATCCATGAACTCCATGCTTGGAGATATAGCCGATATGTTTTGCTGGAGACCAGTCACTGATTTCGATCTGGTACCATCAACGGCTCGCGGCCAATTGACAACATGCAAGTGCTCAAGTTTTCATTTCAATGACTGTGTCAAAGTGCAACGGGTAATATTTAAGATTGATGGAAGGCTGAGACTATAGCCGAATTGCAGCACTTGAAGTGCGATTATGGCTTAAGATATAGTAGTGAGTGAGCCACAATGACGAAATCTCACGCTGAAAATTTGCGCTCCAGTCCGCCTTGCCTTAGGCCCGAACGAGAAATTTGGGAATACTCATTTTTACAGCTCAGAAGCCAAGGTAAGTGGCTGTCACATCTGCATGTGTGGTCATGGATGATTGGCGGGAGACAACTTGCGTTTGTTTTGTTGCTTCGGCTGCATGGGTACCTCTCGGCACGCCTCCATCATGCAAGGACGGGCACTGACGACATATCATCTTCGCTGTTGATTCCCAAAAACCAAATTTGGGAATCTACACACATCAAGCATGCATTTCAGTGCGATTTCGGGGTCGCCAGTCGTCTTACGGTATCTACCTTGAGTTGCTGACTCTGAAGCCTCGTTTCTGCGTGCCGTTCTCCTCCCAGATGCCCCGGGATGATGAACAGCTTGTCCGAAAGTCAACACTCAACTTGACTCAGTTCAATGATGAAAGAAAAATGGCATTCCTCAAACCTCATTGCAACCACATGCACTCGCCGCGGGGTGCATTCAAGATACATTGCTCCATGTGCTCCTGCGCAAATATATAGCCTCGTTGTTTCAGTGGTTCAGGACGCCGCGCGAGGCTGTGCCATGGTAGATAGGCACCGCTCTTGCCCGTTTGTAAGGAGCCCCCCACCTTGGAGTACACATGACTTGTACCTCGATGCCAAATCTCGGCCGCGCTGTTCAATGTGCAACCAATCATTAATGCGTAATCATTGCTTCTGGGAGGCAGCATGATAGTAGATTCCCAATTTTGAGAGACTGGTATAACTCAACATCTTTTGGGCAAAGCAGACGTCCAGGTGTGAGGCAAGTGTACAGGATCACGATATATTTGGCTAGCCTGTTTCGTGGAATTGGGAATCGGGTTGATTCAAAGAATCATCATGCGTCTCTGATCTCGAGAAGTATAAGAAGACGATAGATAGAGGAGAATGAACGCTGGAGGGCTGGATCCTTAATGATCTATAGACTGGAGGTTGTCTTCGTTGCTTGCTGCTATTATTGAGGGCTATCAACGAACTGTCGCCTTATATCTTGTCTTAGCAGCTAGACGGTCTGTACTGAATATCAAGAGCATGTATGGATAACTGTATGACAATCTCAAACTTCACCTGACTGAACGAGCAATTCTGTAGGTCGTCTACCGAAGCGGCCCATTCACAGCGGGCAGACCAATCAACTTATACCGTTGATACGAGCAATCACCAGCCCCACCAGGTGGAGCCTTCGGAGCAACTGGAAAGGTGGAAAGGTCAGCCAGCAACAGAAGATCCCACCATCTACGGCTCCTATACGACCGCCTCAGGAAGCCGTTCTAAGGCACATAAGAAGTATATTAGCAAGAAGATAGAGAAGTTTGAGAGGGATTTTCGAAGCGGTTCCTCGGAGATGGCTTCTCCTAAGAAATAGTGGTGGAAATCTGCAAGCGAGCTAGTTGATATACGGATAGAAGACGTTGAGTACTGTCACGGAGGGAGCCTGCATCACGCTGTCACGAGATTGTTGTGGAAGAGAAGCGATTCATCGCACAAAAACAAAATATGGCTTTTCCTCTTAAGTCCGTTGCTATGAACCGTGCAACCCGCCACCACTGATCACCTTCAGTTGGGGCACGGCATCTTTCGTGACACCCCCCTTCAATCGCCAAGCATAAACAGTCTCTGTTCAAATCCCTATCGGTCATAAACTCAACCTTCCAAAGTAATCACCTAGTCATCTCCATCCAATAATGGGCACGCAAGCGGCGGACAAAACAGGGCATCCACACCAGAGCCCGACCTCCCACATGCCCTTCCCTCCATCGGGCATACGACATTGTATCTCTCCATCGTTCTCTTTGAGAGCTTACTACGATCTTGAAGCAGGTACTTGCAACAGCAGCAATGGGAGATTGTTGGCGGCAGCGAAATCGCTGTTGACGCAGCAGATGTGGCTGTCGAGGTCTTCGTCGCGGCCGCGGTCGGGAAAGGCTCGAGTGTCGGCGCAGGGGCAATTCCCGGCGCCACTGGGTTCGCGAACACAAGGCAGGCGAGGCTCGCGAGTGAAAGACAGATAAGTCGCATAGTGTGTGCCTGTGTTGTAATTCTCAAAGGACCTTGTTGTTCCAAGCTGTCGACTCTGAGCGCTCTTCAGATTTCTCAACTGGCCTGAACCGCCACCTTATTATACATTTCTCCCCCTAACCCATCTGCCCATTGCCATCAATCCAGATTCTGGAAGAAACAGGTGGCATGAATGGTTGCGCAGGGTCGTCAGATGTCTCGAACTCTATTCGGTAACGTGGGTGCTACCTGGTAAATGGGCCCGGTAGTATTGGGTTAATCTGGATAAACAACTCATTTGGCAGCCGAGTAACTCTGTTGTAAACAAGCACCTATTTCTGCGATCGTACTATGTAGCTGAGAAATTATACCTTGCCGGTCTTTCCCAGTCCCACGACATTGTGGGTTGGCGTAACATTCTGGACACGTTTGCAAGACTGTTTCTAGCAAGACGGAGTATGGGCCAGGAGCCACTCCAAAAATGTCACAGATCCTGCCAGATGAATCTTCCGGTACCAGCTGGTAGACATCAAGGGGTTTGCTACACTTGTTCAGGTTACCACCATACTTACCAGCAACAAACAGAACCCTCCACGTCTCGACCAAGAACCTATGGATCATGACAGCGGAAGAGCCTTTCTACCGTCTCAATATCAATCACGATGTACATGAGCATGTTATTATCACAATGATGAGTGTGTGGATGCAATGTATTGACTATCAACAATCTCCGTGTTCCTAAATCATTCCAAACCCAGAGTGATAATGTCCTATAGTAGAGTCATATTGGTACAGAAGAAAACAGCCATCAACGACCGATTTGCATGTATGAGAAATGGGGTAATGAGCTAGCTTAACCATCGACCACCACCAATCGCCTTTTGGACAACCATTTCACCATAGTCAACATCCCTTGCCATTTTACTGATTTTTTTGAGAGCAAAGCATCATTGCATGAGAGCGACAGTATAACGAAGAGTATCATGAATGCATATCCCGATCGTGAAATCCCAGAAGCGCAGCCGTCACCATAACATACACAAGAGCAAAGACGAAATTCGAGCCATTTGACTGCTTTAGTCGATATCCATACGAAGCACAGGGTAGAGAGGCTTCTCCGCCTCGTTTCGTCCAGCAAGGACTGGGTCGATGCGCTCATCGTCGCTTGAGTTGGATTCCTCATACTGCCTTTTCTTGAGACGGTCTTGGACATACTCGCGGAGGAACTCAATGACTCTGACGTTCTGAAGCCAGTTCTCGTACGGCTCCGGCTCACCCCCGTTGTCTGACTCATCAGATGGTGAGCTGACAGAAGAGAAAGACTCGACAGGTCTTGGGCCGGTGGACATCTCCACATCATCCGCTGCGCGACGGGCACTCTGTAGCATGCCGCCGGAAAGGCGACGCTCAACCGGGTTAAAGCTTGAACCGAGAGTTGTGGCGGCAGTTGAACCCGGATAAGTCACGGCAGGGAGGGTGGGATATGCGACGGATGTCGAAGAAGTGTGCCGTGCGCCAGGAGACAGGCCGGTGGACGAGCTTGGCGAGTGTCCGGATGTGTATGACATGGTGGTGGAAGGCGGAGTGTGTGCTGGGGTGCCGGTGGAATGAGTGGAAGACACGGCAGTCAGGGGCGAGGGCATCTGCGCTGCGGAGACTGCATAGTGCTCATTGCCGATGTTTGGTCGAGAAACGGGCGATTGATGACGAAGATCAAAGCCGGGTGCATATTGTGAGCCAGGAGAGGAGCCGGAGTTCTCATAGACGGTGCTCTGCATCTGCTCAAGGATAGAGTCGATCTGCTCTAGGTCGCCCTTGGTACGTAGGCTGGGCATGGGAGGAAGGTAGTAGTGCTGAGCGAGGGGGCCGTGAGACGGACCGCCGGCACCAGCACCAACGGCGATGCTGGGAGCGGCAGCCATGTACTCTGTCGCGATTCCTCCGGTGTGGACGGAGAGCGCACCGTGCAGGGGCATCAGAGATCTGCCCACCTGGGCATAGGAATGGGGATCAACCTGGCGGCGCTTAGCGCTGCCGAAGAAGTCGTTGAGGTCATCATAGCCGCGCTTGCGGGTATCAAAACCAGCAGAGTGGGTGAGGAAGTCACCTCTAGTGTTAATGTGTTGTCCGTAATAGCCGATGGGGCCATATGCTTGGGGCGGTGGTGGTGGGTGGGAATAGTAGCTAGGATGCCCGGTGTGCGGTGGCTGACCAAAGGCGGCCGAGTTAGTACGGATATGGCCATTGTGATCATAATAGCTAGAAGGAGCTAGAGGCGAATTAGCCTCAAATTGAAAATCATTATTGATGAAGGGATGCGCGACAGAAGGGACTGGTATTAGTCGTACCTTTGCCGCTGTGTGCTCTGTAAGCTGCACTCAAGCCGCCGCTCTGGTCCTGCGGGGACCGTACGAGCACTGAATCATCTGCGTGTGTCTGTGACAGTCATTAGGACAAGCATGCATTTGCCAGGATTTTCATGATCAGCTTACCTTGACATGCTTCTTCAGATCCTGGGGACGCTTGAAGGATTTGCCGCAGAAGTCGCACTTGTGTGGCTTCAGAGGAACATGCACACGAATGTGCGAGGTGATGTGGTCACGCTTCACAGTGGTTGTCCGGCAGGAGTTCCACTGGCAAGTCAAGTTCAAGTTGTTGGTGCTCTTTCTGCCGACATGACGCTCGCAGATATGATCCTGAGGTGTTGTATGAGCCAACTATCGTTGAAATCCGAGCAGCATCAACCCCGAGCACTTGTCCCGGAATCAACGTCTTCCAGTCACATGAAAAGCACGTGCTGGGGCCTTGTAATTGAGTGAGGAGTCTACTTACATAGAGAGTCTCAGCAGTGTTGAATCGCTCATTACACTGGTTCCAGCGGCAGACGAGGCTCTCATCTTGGCCAGCACTTGAGGACGTCGAGTTGGACGTCGCTGCAGTGGAAGGAGCTGGTGTGTTGCCATTGGAGTTGGAGCTGGACGACTGAGCGCCAGCCTCCTGGTTGGTAGACGACATGTCCAGAGAGGGTCTACCCAAAGAGGTAGAGCGAGACAGGGATGTTCGGTGACTCTGTGGTGCCGAAGCCGAAATGCCAGACGCGATCGGATGCAAGCTCAAGGCGGTCTGGTGGAAGGGCGCGGGGCGTGTTCAGCCGAAAGGGATTGGTCGCCTGGTCTGGAAGGATTTACTTCTGCCGTAGATTTCTGCCTGGCGATTTGTCTGAATCTTTCCAGAACAAGAAGAGAGAAAACGGCCAAAAACTGAGTTTGGAAGAACGTTGGATCTCAGATGCTTGAAAAGGAGAAGAAGGGCCCAGCGTCCCGGGGGAGAGGGCGCACCAACATGACTTTATTCTTGGGCTCTCTCCTGCTCTTGGCGATACCTGGCGGAAAGTCTTGGCGAAGTCTCTTGGCTGTCGGGGCCTCGGATTCCTTCACCAGATTATTGGCCACAAGCACCGTCCACGGGTTAGACTAAAGTCTAGGCAGATGGTAGGTACTCTGTGGTGAGGCTAACTCGCACGCCACCGCACGGGAGCCTGACTCGCTTTAGAAGTATCTCTAAACTCTACTACAACTAGTGCCAAGATCGCCAAGAGGATGCCAAGACTTGGCGTTGCGAGGAAAAGTCTTGGCATCGATCCACTGCCTCCTTCCTGTTCGCTCCCTCCTGCCCGGCTGCAAATTGCTGCTTTGCGCCCGCCGTAGCCTGTGCTGCTCTCTCGGCTTTCAGTGCTCCCACGTCCAGTAAAATAGGAGGCTACCTCACTGGAAGACTGCATATTGTCGTGCTAGTTTCAGCTCACCATCGCGGTCAATGCATTGGCAACGTCGCTCACGTCTGGAACTGGTAAGCACACTCGCATCCTCATATCTTCATTGTCTTTCACTTGTTGAATAGCAACAGTGAGAGACAAACGTGTCTAAGCTGGCTGCGAACATCACGCTGTCGATCTATTCGATTCATTCTGATAACCTGACAGCACGAGAAGCAGTTAGGCAGTGTAGCGGTAGTGGTGGTGTGTGCCAGAGTGCTTCCCCCTCTCACTAACGTTAACACTATGTCAGGTGAGAAGCCAAGATTTCCGCCGGGGCCAAGAGCAGCGCACTCCGCCCGCCAAGCGCTTGGCAAACAACGACTCCTCTCCTTATTAACGTTATCTTGGAATTGCCCAGACTGCACAGCCCAGCGTACTGCGTACTTCTCCCTTCTTTAAGTCAATCAGGCCATCTAACGGCGCTGATTCCAAGCGATGGCGAACGGGCCAAGACTGCTGCCAAGACCGCCACATTATCACGTAAACACAACCCTCCAGATCTGTCCTAATTATCCAACATCATCACATGCGCACACGTTTGCGTTATCTCGACAAGCGACTATGTCCTTCAGGATATAGGATCTTGGGCTTAGTGCCCAGGATTGACAGACTTGAGTAGATATTGTAAAAAGGTTAGTCGCCGTTGAAGACCAACGCGACTCGTGGCAATGTCAAGGTGGAATGCAAGTCCTAGAAGTTATCCAAGCTTAAGCACACGTGCCCATGGTGCTTGGTTCTTGGCTCACCTTGGCCACAGCAGCGGGCTTCTTGGTTGCAATGTCTTGGCCTTGGCCCGCCGCCGTGCCAAGTGCCTTGTGAGCGGAAGTCTTGGCTCAACGAGTCATGAACAGTCGCTTTCCTCAAGCCCGACACACCCACTAGAATAACATGGAGTGGATCCGAAATGACTTGAGATCGATGTCTTTCTCACTATGACGTGCTTGTGTCTGGAAGATAACTGTGTTGCATATATCCTTCGTCCAAGAATTTTTTCTGAACTTTTATCATGAAACAGCCAGCATTCATCAAGCTATGAACACCGCTCGAAGATTTTAAATGTAAAGTAGTTAAATAATTTTTGAGTCAATGAACTGTAATGAACGACTTGAATAGACTCCTAACTATATAGCTTCCTTTCGAGACTCTGCATCGATAATGTTGCAATCTATCAAATAGGAAAACCATCGTCTGTTCCTGGAGACCAATCACACGCTTTTTAGGGCTCACTTGAGATTTATTGATTGGAAGTTCTTGTGAATAAAGTATAGGTCTCGGTAAACGCGGGTTTCGCCGCGAGAAGCAGTTACTGTACCCTTTTCTCTGGTACTTTTCAGGATGGTTCTTGTTTCGCCTCTTCTTCAAGACTATCAGAACTCTTCAGTAAGTTTCTAGTTATTTCGAACTCTTCTGCGTCTGCCTGCACTCTCCGCATCAGCTCTCCCCGCCAGCCTCCCTTGGTATCATTAATCCCAGTCAAGTTATCCCCTAAACTCCACGACAAGTAGCCTTCTGCCCTGGCCCCATCTGGTGCCTCAAGCAGCCCGATTTCTGATCTCACTGCTTCTGTTATATCATCACAAGCGTAGAAAACAGATGTAGAGCAGACCTTGCAGAAATATCTCTGTACGCCTGGCGAGGATCGATAGTAGGCAAGCGTTCCGACTACAGAATCGCCTACATCTACTGCTGCTTTCAACTCTGCTGTCGTCCTTGGCAATGAGCCGCCGCCCGCGTGAGACAGATTCTTTAGCTCAACACATGCCCAGTGAACGATGTCATGTCCGAATTGTAAACGGCAAGAGTCGCACACATCAAAGTTGACGAGTGGCTTGTATGTCCCTGGATCGACGAACTATGGAATTTCTCCTTTCGTCATACTGGCATCATTTGCATAATGTAGAGTCATGTTGATGCCTTGGCAATGACACCAGACGGGGAGCTTGTTCTTTTTCGTCCCATCAGTCTTTGTTTGGCTTGATGAGACCGGCCAGTCCCAGGGGATCTCTTCAGAATACTCCCGGTACCGCGGAATTTCCTTGCCATCGGAATTTGGCTTCCGAAACCATACAGATGCTCCACCGTCAACGGTGTCCCCAACAAAGATGTTCTTGGTGAGTCTGATGAGATCAGTCTCGACATTCCTCAATGCTCCGCTGAAGACACCAAGCTTATTTGGGAATTTCACCGATTCATAGAAAATGAGCGTCGAACATGTCCCACAGAAACGATATGTAACGTTTGCAGAGAACTGGTATTTCTGCAGTTGACTGATGTTGACATTTTTCGTTCGGTTGAGGCCAGGTTGTCTCAATTACGAGGAGTGCACCTGTGGAATGACGACATGAGTCGCAGTGGCAAACGTTGCATTGTAGCGGAAGATTGGATTGGAGAACTTCAATGCTGAAAGTGTGTGCTTTGCAGAGGCATTCTGCAGTGATTACAACAGTTTCTGATTCAAAGTTCATGGTTGATCAAGTGTTCGAAGAAGAGTTGGGACTGACACAACGCGCGGGGTGTGGTAGGTTCATTATCACGATATGTGGAGCTGCTGCAATCTACTCCTCTGAATTAGTACTCCTTCGTCAAGGCAATAAATGTTCCTTCCTTGAGAGCTACGGTACTAAATCACAAGAGTTATGTCAGTTGAGGTCCTGAGAATGCTGTCATCACTATAGCCCGACCAACTTATGCAAAGAGAGTAATTTCTCCCTAAAGAGTTTATGATATCCTTCTAGAACTGGCAATTATTATCTGGGTTATTCTTGACGAACAAGTGAACAAATAGCTGTATATGTAAATTTACTCCTCGAGAGAGTGTGGTAGTTACTGCTGGAGCTTTGTTGCAGGTATTGTATTGTGGGTATGATTTAGATTACGCGCAAAATTTAGTAACGCTTACTTGGTCTAATGGTAAGAATTACTCCAGTCGTTTAGAAACGATTAAAGATCTAACACATCCTAGGTTAGGATTCAACCCTTCCAAGGTTGAGGTTCGTGTTCGATTCACGGAGTAAGCAATCATTTAATTTTTGCCCTTATTTTATCTCTTTTGCTTCTTTTTGTGTGCTTATCTGGTCCGTTAAACATTTGGGCTTATTTATGATACAACACTTATAATTATGCATGCCGCAACTGCGTCCAAAAAATAGGGTTCGTTTGTGGATGAATGCGACAGGTTCAGCTACACTATCTCGCTATGTAGGTAGGCTCTGTGGTGGAGAACTATTGGCAGCAGTGGCCCAATTTAAGCATCGACCAGTAAATTGCGGGGTCCTCGTTATTTTTTTTGACTGACCGCCCAAAATTTCACCGTCCTTATCGTGAATTTTATCGAGAGGCCTGGATACCTGCGGCCTCGCTCAAACCACCATTAAATCTGGACTTTGAAGTTTCGCATCACAGCCAGACCAACCAAGATGCCGAAGTCAAAGAGAGCCAAGGTGTATCACCTAACACAGGTCACCAAGAAGACCCGTGAGCAGAAGGAAAAGCTGTTTCAGAACATACGGGAATGCGTCCCCGAGTACCAGCAATGCTTCGTTTTCAACATCGACAACATGAGGAATAACTACCTCAAAGACGTGCGCCGAGAGCTCTCAGATTGCCGGTGTGTTTGATTCACTTCCGTGGCTTCTCCAGCAACCTTTTATTTACTGGATGCGTGTGACAATTGCTGACCTAATCCCTTGATTGCAGACTCTTCTTTGGCAAGACCAAACTCATGGCCCGCGCCCTGGGCCAAACCCCAGACGATGCTCAAGCCGACGGGATTGATCGTTTGAACCCTTATCTCTCCGGCTCCGTTGGTCTCCTCTTCACAAACCGTCCCACCGATAAGATCCTCGAATACTTCAGCAACCTGACCGCAGTCGACTTCGCCCGAGCTGGTGCCAAGGCAAGCAGAGACTTCATCATTCCCTCAGGCGTTGTGTACGCCACCGGCGGCGAGGTCCCCCCCGAGCACGACGTGCCCCTCTCACACAGCATCGAGCCGGAGCTACGGCGGTTAGGCATGCCCACGAGGATGATCAAGGGACGAGTTGTGCTGGGCGACGAGAGCGGCGAGGGCGAGGGCTATACTGTCTGCAAGGAGGGTCAGGTGCTGGACTCGAGGCAGACAAGGCTGCTCAAGCTCTTTGACATGTGCATGAGCGAGTTCAAGGTGAAGGTGCTAGCGTAAGTCATCAGCATTTTCCACCTCCGCCGTAGACCATTACTAACAGCTCATGAAGATACTGGACTGCTTCGACCGGAGAGGTCACCGAGGTTGAGCCGGACGCCATGGAAGGGGTTGAAGAGGATGACGAGGACGAGGAGTAAGCGGCCAGGACCACTTCTCAAATGTCAACAATCGCTTTACTTCTTGTTCGTATTTGATGATACCACGAGTACGGTTCTGGCGTCTGGAAGGGTAAAATGGTGGCAGTCACATATCATAGACGAAAAACATCTGGCCTTCGATAGCCATTACTATCTAAGCGGCTGATGGAACTGGGGATGTTCCATTGACAGTCGGGTGTCTCGCTGTGCTACTAGTACACATGCTTCTCCAAGCATACATTACATCAAGCTGTTCGCTTTATATAGCACAATACTGGTCACCTTTTCCATTGCGCCTGAAGAAAGCTCTCGGTCAGTAGGCTCATAAGTCCTTACCTCTGACCTTACCAGGGTTATTTTAATGCCCTCGAAGCTATGGCAAATCCTCTTCCGTGTCCTCCATGCATAATAATAAAATACAAGTGAAAGGTTACCTGTCCTACCCCATATTGCGTGCGGTGGCATAGATAATTAAGAATAACTCCAGAGCGAAGGAGCTAGAAGTTCGCCCATCTTGGGCTGAGTGGTCCTGTTTTGGATGGCGTAGGTCGGGCTTTGTAACATTTTACCTTGCCAGCTGGCAGATATCCCTGGTTTGGGTCGCAAATTTTGTCATTTCTGCTTACCCTCGAAGACGAAGGGGAAAGAAGAAGACGTAAAGGCGAGATATGAGAGATAAGATAATGGCTGAGGATACCCACCACGAGACAAGCATTGTCTCGTTAGTATCGGCGGATCTTTCGGTGTTCTTCGTAACCAGGGCCGCCCTCGAATGGTCGTTTGCGGGAGTCATCATCTCGGCGACCGTAGTCTCTGTCGCGATACCCACCATTCTGTCGGGCGCCGATGGGCTCTGCATTGCTGCCGGAACCTGAGCGGTCGCTGCCACGGTAGCCGCCGCCGCCGCCGCCGGATCTGTCTTCAAATGAGCCGCCTCCACGACGATCATACCCACCGCTTGAGAAGTCTCTGCGATCGGATCGACCACCGTAGCCGCCTCTGTCACCTCTATCACCTCTATCGCCGCCACCAAAGCCTGGCCCACCTGGCGCGTTAGGCGGAGGACCATTGAAGCCATTCTGCGAACCAAAGCCGCGATCACCGCGCGGCCCACCGAACCCGCCGCCTCTAGGACCGCGATCGAAGCCACCTCTGAAGCCACCGCCCTCTCGTCGAAACCCACCGCGACCCCCACGGAAGCCACCGTGAGGTGCGCCAAAACCGCCAGGTCCCGTAGGCCTAACGGGCATGGCTTTGGTGTATCCGCGACCTCCGAGTCCTCCGCCAAGACGCTGAGGCTTCCAGCCTTTGACGGTCCGACCACGTTCAACGTCGAGCTTGATGCGACGGCCCTTGATGCTGATTCCATCGAGTTGATCTATAGCAGCTAGTCACATGCGCGAACAAGCGCGCGTTTGTCAGTACAACCTTACCAATGTTTACCTTTGCGTTTACGATACGGGGAGAGAGGAAGGGTGAGACAGGCAAGCTTGAGGGCCTGTCTCAGGGAAAGTGGGCAGTCCCACTGGGCTATGATATGGGAAAAGCGGTGGCTAGTATTACCTCTCATGTCCTTCTCGCGTTCGTATACTATGAATGCATAACCTCGATGGGGTTTGCGCTTCTTGTTGCCCTTTTCATGCGCATGGGTGTCCTTGACGATTCGGATCTATAGACCATGTCAGCCCTGGTGAACTTAGTGGATCAAGGCATGTGTGGACATACACGCTCGATAGAGCCAATTCTGCCGAATTCTCGCTCGAGATCCTCCTCTGTTGCATCATAACTCAGTCGCGCTACGATCAAAGTCTTGAAGGCATCGCCACGAATATTTGGATCATCGTGAGGGTTGTCTGTACAATGGCCAATTAGCGACACAGTCTAGATGATAATTAGGGCCTGAGCGAGGCTCACAATCTTTCGGAATCTCGGTCAATAAGGCTTCGACCGCAGCCTTCTTCTCCTGCTTCTTGCGATCGCGAGCCTGCAGCCAGCTCTCAGTTGGAACATAGCCGTCGGCATCCTTGTATGCCGCAAGAGCCGGGAGGAAGTCGGCTACGCCTCCAACAGGCGCAGTTTTACGCTCCTCGGGCGGGTAGTCGGGAGGAGGCACCCATCTCAAGGGAGGGCGTGGCGCAAAGAGCGCCAGCAGATTAGGAGGGAGCTTGTCTGTCATCTTGACGATGATCTCAGATGCTCGAGGGCTTCTGGGTCAAGATGAGACGGTACCCTGACTCGTTGATAGGATGGCTTGATTGGATAGGTAAATATGAATGAAGAGAGGAGCTTCGAGAAAAAGCTGATCTGGGGTTGGCGTAGGTTGCGACGAGTGTTGCGCGACAGCAATCACGCTAATAACGGACGGCCCCACTTTGCACGTGCCCCCTTCTCTCGACAGTGAATTTCTCGAGCGAACGGATCTGCTGTAAACCCATTGAGATGTAGGATTCAGGATATGCAGCAGCCTTTGTCCTCCAAAAGGCCACAATGACCATCAAGGCGTTGAAGGACGTGGCCGTCGGCCGAGTAAGTCTAGCTCTTGATTGCGTCCATTGTCCTGACCGCTTAGCTGACAAAATCTAGAATGGTGTCGGCGCTTTCATTCTTCAATGCAAGAAGCTGGACTTCCACTACTGCGACTGGGCAGGAAGTTCAAAAGGAATGAAGTAAGAAGAAATGCATGACCGACAGACAATTGAATCAGACTGATTTATATCTCGTTAGTGGCTTTATCAAGTCCCTTCTTCCCGAGTTCGCGAAGAAGCATCCACAGATCGAATTTTCCGTCTCTCCCCGACCATCGAAACACCCGGTAATAGTTGGACACTACATCAACGGGCGCGAGAGGTCGATATGCGTCCGAAACCTAGAACCTTTACAGGTATTGAAGAAGGCAGAGCTTCTCCGGGATGCTAGCGGCGAGAAGAACAAGAAGCTCACGAAGCCGGTCTCGAGTATCAACGAGAGTGTGAGAGGTGTTTGGTCACCGTACCACGGCAATGGCATTACTGTATAAACAGGCGGCAGATGTTGTCGCACAGAGTTTCCATCAACAGGCGTTTATGTGAGGGTATCAGTCGACCGTCACGCCTAGAGAACGCGCCCCTGTACCATCAATCGGGCATGTGTTGTCCCTTGTATATCACGGCATAATCAATAGCATATAGGCTTTATACCACAATTGGGGATTTTCAGTGTCTCATGAGTTGAGATTGAAGCCAAATGACAGAGGCCTACATATTCCCAGGACTTTTTAGGGTATTGCTGTTTCCATTCCTCCGGGCCGACCCTGTCCCACACCTGCGAAATGCGTGACCAAACTCCCTTTTCTTACGTTCGTACCCTCCAACTTTCTCAACTTTGATTGATCTATTGTAGGCAGTTGATAATGTCGACGACTATTGCTAAAATCAGCACTTCGTTCCGGGTTTTAGGCGGCAGGAATATAAGACTTACAGGCAGGCTTCAAGCTAGCACCACCGACAAGGAATCCGTCAATATCCTCCTCCTTGGCCAGCTCCTTGCAGTTCTTCTCGTTGACACTGCCACCGTAGAGGATTCGTGTCTCGTCAGCAGCCTTCTGGCTGACTTGGTCCTTCAACCACGCGCGGATAGCAGCGTGGACCTCCTGTGCCTGCTCCTTGGTAGCAACCTTGCCGGTGCCAATGGCCCAGATGGGCTCGTAGGCGATGACAATGTTGGACCAGTCGGTGCCGATGCTGCTCTTGAGCGCCTCGAGCTGCTTTGTGATGACAGAGATGGTGCTTCCTGCCTCGCGCTCCTCCAGAGACTCGCCGCAGCACCAGATGACTCCAATACCGTGCTCGCTGGAGAACTTTGTCTTGGAAGACACGAGCTCGTCGCTCTCGCGGAGGATGGTTCGCCGCTCGGAGTGGCCGAGAATCGTCCAGGTGATGTTGCTATCTCTCAGCTGGGTAGGAGAAATCTCGCCGGTGTAGGCGCCCTCGGGCTTGTCGAAGACATTCTGGGCAGCAACCTCGATGCTCGGCTTCAAGTGCTCACGGACCAGAAGCAGGTAGAGGTGGGGAGGAGCAACGACAACCTCTAAACAAGCTGTTAGCGGGGTCTGAAGCCGGACATGGAATTGATGTCGAACATACCGACGTTAGGGTCCAAGGTAGCCTTGTTCAGGTTCTCAACGATGCCCTTGATGGACTCGATGGTCCCGTTCCTGTAGTGCAGCGCGATCCATCAGTCCAAGAAGCTCTCTACGAAGCTATGCGGGGTTTTCAATGCTATGGCGGGGCTCACATCTTGAAGTTTCCTCCCACGAAGAATTTTCGAGCCATGCTGGGCAATTGAGATATGGATTCCGGTTCAATATAAAATGGGTCTAGGGATTCTTTTAAGGCTTGAGACAAATGAATGCTCTTGAGGAAGGTATATCAGAGGTTCGTTGAGAGGTTCGTGAAAGTAAGTGTTTATTGTCGAAGCTGGCAAAGGCCTTACCGAGACAATTCGGCTCTTGCTCGCCAGAACCCGGGCGTGACGTGGGGTGGGGCACACAGCAGCGTCCACTGTTCGTTGCCGGGATATCGGGCATCCCTACGCCCTCAACAGCAGTGGAACGAGCACTGAGCGCCAGTACCATAGTAAATCCCTCGCCTAATTCTCGGCACTGCAAACAACTAATGCTGCACCTGGCACGTTGATCTCTCCACTGTAACATTGACACTTGCACTCGACAATCCCGTGCTTTCCCACGTGCAGTGCGAGCAAGACGGGACTGTCCATCACCAGCGAGCTTCTATGGAAGGTGTCCAGGGTCCTTTCCGATAACGAACGATATGTTTGCTTGCATCTGTCCTCTACAGCCACAGGACTCCCATTTGCTAGGCCATTTCGTGCTCATCCGCCAGTTCCGCATCCAGCATATTGCAGCCTGGCTGGCAATGGCCCTGATGGCTGCCCGTTTCCTGGCCTAGGCAGCTTGCTGCATGCCGGCCATCCCCAGGCTGTTTTCCCACATCCGCAGTGCCCAATCTAGGCTCGCCTCGAAGGAGCATTGGCTGTGGTTGAACCACGTTCATCCAATTCGAGGCCCGTCCCGCGGGTGCTGCAGTACGGCCCCGCCCGGATCTTCACCATTGGGCATTAACGACAATATCTAAATGGATGAACACTCAAACGAGCTGCTGCAATGCAGCTTCAATTGTACGGGGTAGAGGGGGACAGGAGGCCTTCCCCACGCTTTTCAACCTGTATAAGAAGGCAGGTCGACAGTCACGACATGGCACTTGGTGTACAGACCTATTTCTCTCGACTATCCAGTCAAAAAAATTGCCATTGCTTTTATCCGATCAGGAATACACGACTGAAACAATAAGATTCATCCTTCAACAACGAAGAGGAGATCTGTTTGCCTTCATCAACAAAACAGGAGACCAAGGGTATATTCGACAACATCCATCTCACAGCAGGCCTTGCCATAGTTGTCCCATTCCACGAAACGCCACGTAAACACATGATGACAACCTTGAGGAAGACCCGTCAACGCAGATCCTACTAACTACATGGAACATGGATACAACAAAAACAGTTCATGGGAAACATCAGTCGTCATAGTACCTCCTGCGTGGTGCAAATGGATTGGAAGGCGAGAGTTCTCGACTTCGCATATAATCCTGCGCTCGCCGTGCTTGTTCTCTTTCCAAGAACAGTGAGTCCTCCTCTTCCATTCTGAAGCGTGCATCGGCTGCACGGCGACGACGTAAGTCTTCGCGGCGGATCTCGTCAATCTCATGTGGGTATAGCACCTCGACAGAGCGTCTGGGATCATTGAGATTTAGTGTTGCAAAACGACCATCGAAGTCGTCGAGCTGGCGGTCGACTTCACTCGTCGTGACGTGTCGTACCACGGTGGGTCGAGCTTGGAGGATAGCAGGCCGCGGCGCCACCCGGGGCTCATATCTTGCCGCCGCTTCGAGTTCTCGCCAGTCCTCCTCTCTCTGGGCAGCCCTGCCTTCTTCAAAAGCATTCAGCTTCATGCGTTCAAGGCTTTCATGAGGCAAAGCGGGAGGCATGATTCTCGGAGGCTGAGGTGGTTCGGGAGCACGAGGGCTGCCACCAATGACATATATGGGCCCTCTAGCATCATTCTCGTGGATGCTATGGCGGCGCGTTGGCCCGTTGTGGATACCAAAGTGCTTTGGGCCTTCCTCAATGTACCTGCGAGATCTACGGCGCCGTTCGTACGAGTCGCCAGAAGATCGCGAAGGTTCTGTGAAGGCCGTTGAGCCTTCAGATCTCGATTCGTCATCCGACCAGTCAGATGAACGATCAGAACTTGCCGAGCCACCTCCATGATAACGAGGATCCCGCCTATCATGACGATGTCCCTGACGCTCATTCGGGTGATGTACGGGGATCACGCGTGGTCCCTGTTGCTGTTGTTGGTGGTGCTGCTGAGCATGTTGCTGTTGCTGCTGTTGCTGAGCATGTTGCTGAGCAGCCATCTGCTGTTGCATGAACATGGCTCTCTGCTGCGCCGCTTGAGCTTGCTGCTGAGCGACCATCTGCATCTCACGCATCAACTGCTGCGCGTTGATAGTCGGAAGTGGCGCACGTTTGTAGTACGCAGTGATGGAGACGCGTTGGTATTTCTTTTTACTATCCTTGGTTTTGGTCTTTTTCCCGGAACTTTCCTTTTTCACCTTTTTCTCAAGAAAGGGTTTCAATTGGTGGTCTATCTGGACCAAGGTGTATTCGAACCGGTCATCATTGTCGTTCATTGAAAGTTCTTGGAGGGCTTTCTCCAACTGTCTCTGTTGCGCCGGTACAAGGCCCTTCTTCTTATCGGCCAAAGACTTGGTGTTCTTATTGAGACTCTGGATTTCCCGAAAAGCGACTTTCTTGGAGATATCTGTTACCCGGGTCCTTAAACAGTTCTCCCAGGTGGCCTTGACCTTATCGCCATCCGAGTCATAGCCATCCTCAGTGAGGACCTTTTCGAATCGATAAACGAAGTACTCCGTCAAGTCGTCTCGATAATCGGCCTCGGTTCGTCTCTCTCGCCGGATATCTGAGATCTCTACCAATGGTCGTTGCCTTACCTGGGGCGGGACCTGATGCATTGCTGGTGGCGGTGGGCCTTGGTGGCCTTGGGGGCCATGATGACCTTGAGGCCCTGGCATCATAGGATGTTGAGGCGGAGGCGGCGGCACACCTCCTCCACCACCTCCTCCTTGCGGGTTGACCTGTTGTCGAACCCCTGGTGGTGGAGGTGGAGGAGGGGGCATGTTGCCTCTTCCTCCAGCAGCAGGTCGACCCTGCTGAGGTTGGCCCTGCCTAACAGTGTAGAAGTCGGCCATTGTTGAGAAGTCAAATGACCTCTAGCAAGGTGCGAGTTCGATACTGAGCTTGTCAAGGCAGACGACAGTCCGCAGAAAGAAGTTGGGCGTTGTGCAGTTGTCCAAGACAAAGAAGAGGGGCGTATTGTGTCAATATTAATACGACAACAGGACCGACAGAGGACGCCAGCTATAAGAGGGTGTGTGAAGCCTCGAGTTGTCTTGGAAAGAGGGTGTTGAGTTAAGTGAGGCGGCAAAGGAGGTGCGGGAAGATATAAGGGTGCGGGGTATGGACTTCGTTTTGGCTTGAGGTGTTGCTGCTGAAGAAGGGCAGACTGTCTATCAAGTCGATCTAAGCCACCGTCTTCCAGGGGCTTGGCTGTCTGGCGACTCTATGTGTGTCGTGTCCACGATCAGTACGGAGCCAGCAACACTTGAGAGATCATCTAGGCGACTCTCTCCGAAACACTGACAAGAAGAGTAAGTCAGAGATCGAAATGGAATTTCAACACGGGCAGGGCTGCCGATATTCAGCATCTTATCAGGGAATGCTGTTCAGTCACTGTCCCATAGGCAGACACGTACAAGAAGGGCCGCCCCGCTTCTCCTCGGTGTGCTACTACGAACAACGAAGATGGGCTTTCGTACACCTTTCTTCTTCTGCCGTGTGGGCGGACTGAGTCGACCCGAGCGGTCCGAGTAGTGATTGGCTCAAGACTCAGCCCAGCAACATCCAGAATCACAGTCTAGGAGCTGTTAGCTGACCACAACGTTCTCGTCTAGGTCCATCAATCCATGTTGCCGGTTACATGCAGAAAAAGGTGGGTAAAGAGGCTAGGCAGATAGAGACAAATGGCCCCCAAAAAGGTGAGCAAAGAGTATCATACCCCGCTATTCTATCAATAATTGCAACTTTGTCACAAGTCGCTTACACGGTGCGATTTGCGAGCTGTACAGTTTGCAGTTGTGTAAGTGAAAACCAGAAGTCTGGTGTTTCGTGGTCGAATTTAGGAAGTTATTAGTGTTAAGTAGACATTTAACAGCTGAACCGCGGTGTCATCACGACCAACCTCATAAACCTGAGGTATTGTCTGGTTCGCCAAATAAAGGCAACTGACTTGGCTGCCTTCCCACGGCACAGCCGGGCAACCTCATGCGCGATGTGGTCAAGGCCTGCCCAGGTGCCTCAAACAAGCAGAACACACCTTCTGCATGCTGCAGCCTTGGGATTGGACTGTTTTCGGCTAATTTGCTAGTCGCCCTGCACTGCTAATCAAGTGACTGCAGTCCATCGACACTCCAGAAATCGTTTTGGTCTCATTCGTGGGAGGCCTGCAATGATGCAGCTAGTTGCGCCATACAGAACTCATGGACGCTGATCCTGGGCTCGTAGGTGCCCTTCTTTCTATCACATCCTATGGCAATGAAGCTTGACCGCTTCTCCGCCCGAGTTACATTCAAAGCAACTTGGCTAAAATAACCTCCTTCTTCTCTTGCTTGGCAAATTTGCCATGCGGCTCTGCTCTCTCAGAATCGCCGCTTTGTCAGAAGCCTACTTACGTTGTGTCATCAAATGCAGTCTCCTAAAGGTTATCTTGAGCAAATAGTATCTTTCGCCAAAGAAAGAACCTTGCCCGACTGACTGAACATCTGCCGTTTCAGGTGGTATAGACCTTCGGTCTTCAGTTCTCAGATATCAGTGTCAGATATCAGTATCGACACACCCGGGCAGTGTCCGTTGGTGTGGTGGCTGTGCGCAGACAGGTTCCATTGCAGAGCCTCAGTATCTCCACAACTAACCTAAAGAGACTCTGCCATGCAGATACATGAACTCCTCTAGATTAATCGGGAAGAAATCACTAGTGGTGTGCGCGATACCCTTTTCCGAGGCTGCGCCGCGAATTGATCAATGCACCCGGCAATGAAAATTGATTCTGGATGATAGAAGGACACGGGGTTGCCGTACAGTGTTCTCCGTGACAGAGGCGATCGATAGCCTTGACAACTAACACGACGTGGCCCTCCCACACACTTACGCCCTGGTTTCCAGCATGTGCCTGGCAAGGCAGGCTGTGTCACCACACTCGACTAGGACGACGACGCAACCTTTTCACGGCCTCCGAATCATCCAGAAATCTTGACGATCGTCGTTCTGTCTTGGTGTCTATCCTGGCGTGTTTCTGGCAAGCAGCGCGATACGATCGGCAACGCACATCATATCGCCTGTCATGCGCGTCAATCTCGGCGTGCGTTGGCACGATCGACTGCCTTTTGCTTTCCTCCAGCCCAAAATGGAGGAATGAAATCCGCAACCAATCAAACCTTGCGCTTCTCGTTTGCAAGTTTCGTGCAGTCGCCCGGCTGCCTCGTGTGGTTAACGCTATGAGCGGCAACCTGCATCTCGTAGGCATCTCTCTTAGCAATCCCTGACAACCGATATACCGAGATTCAGACTGCACGGCTCCGATGAATGCGCTCTCTAATAGATGCAATGCCGCGTGTGAGACAAAACATGCGTCGACAGTTCGAGAACGACGCCAGCAATGCCACATAGACATAATTCGCTTCGGCGACGGGGCCCACTGCCGAGCTGTCAGGAGATCTTTGCATCTCAGGCTATGCACCGCGGTTAGAATGCCTCAAATGCCGTGCAATGTTGCTGTCATGGTCATATCTCTCCTGGGTTGTCCCTGGCACCAGGTACGACCGGTAGATGCTGCCGCACGCACACAAGGACGGCGTCCAGCGGTGGTACCCAATGTAATACAACGGCGCACAAAGCCCAACAACACGAGTAGGTAAGGCGTCAATACACATCGAAACGCCTAGAGAAGCCGACGCCGTGCCTTGTCGTAGTTTCTTGTGGAGGCTATCTTCGCGATGGCTGATGGCGGAGCTGAGCTCCACTGCTTTGCTGTCTACCTGTATAACGTTTCTCACCTCTCGGTAAACAAGCGTGTCCAAACCAGTGTCATCTTCCCGTCCCGCGGCGCCGGATAGGAGGCCCCAGAGAGACGGACTCCTGCGGAACATCGGAGCTTGTTTTCCATATTTCCCGGGTAGGTGGCTTGTACATGGCGTAGCTGCCTAGATGTCTCAGGTGAAGGCTGAGACACCCATATGCCTAGAGCCTTGTGGTCGGAATATGATGAGGCCTTCTAGAATCTCCGAGAATATACGCAATTGGGATTTCGAGGCTGCCCGTGGGTATTTTGCTGATGAATCGTGCGAAGATCTTTGTCAAAGAGCTATATTCCTGGCCAGCGGGCCCAGATCAAGACCCCTAAAGTGTTATGGTTTTTGAAATGGGAAGATTGCTTCAGCGAGGAGTTCCGTTGCTGACTGAGACAGGAGAGTCTTCAGGCCAGTCTGCTCATGGTGCGTCTTGCTTTGAATTATTGTCATCCGGCCTTCATCATCATTTTCCACCTGGGAATATGACTAGCTTTGGGCTCTGTTTACTACCCTCATGAAGTCATCGACAATCTCTTCCCATGTCACAAATCATTTCGTCTGTATTTTTTCTATTTTGGTTTCCGCCATAGGCAACCCATGAAAAGGCACTCTGCTAGGGGTTTCCTTTCTTTCTTCTCCTCTAGATGATTTGATTGCACGTCTACAGCTTCCTTCCTCGAACCTTTATCTCAGAACATCATTCGACGCCATGGCGTAATTCCAAGTATTCCCGGTTTCATGTCAGAACCTGTTGTCAATTTAACGACATGCCTATTTCAATCAATGCTTGGAGTAATTTCATACCAGCCGAGTCGGTTTGAGTGCTCCAGTCACAAGATCTCCTATCTCGTATAGAGAAAGAGTTTTACAAGCACACGTCGGGGACAGCATCACTACACATGGACATGTAGCAGACTCATAATACACATTAATCATTAGAGAGTTCGATGATAAATGAGCACAGATCATCCGCTTGTTCCCATGTGGCTCATGTCGGTTGATGACAGGTGCGGCCATGACCAGGTCAGCTAGGATGGGCCACTCTTGACTACATAATTCCCTTCATGTCTCTTATCAGCTCATTAACCTTTTTTTTGCTCATTCACACTTCATTATGCGCCTCTCATAGCATCGATTAAGCTCAGTCCCGCTCGTCCCTCAGATGAAAGTCCTGACAACATTGACCGACGTACAGGTCGGATTGTACGGGGTGCCCGCGGTGACCCACGCAAGTGCATGGTAATAGTAGCCGCCGAAATAGTTCCAGCATGCCAGCCAGTTGTATAGAGGGAAGTTTGAGGTGGTGTTGGGGTACACGCCCGGCTCGAAAGTGCTCTCGTCATAATAAGAGCTTGTGAACATATGGTTCTCGCCGTCGAAGCCGACGTACTGACCGCCTCCTCCAAGTCCGAAAGCGGGAATGGCAACATTGCTGCCTGGGTTGTAGTTGAAGGTCATGCCAGAGCTCACGTTTGTGGGCACGCCGTCGATGTTGACAAGCAGGTTCCAAACGAGAGGACCAGTGGGATACTCCTCAACATTGTTGTAATCAGATTCGTTCAGGAAGTAAGTGCTGGCTGTGCCACCGCCCGATGTGGTCAAGCAAAGCTCCTCGATACCTGCGCCTGCATGGCAGGAGTAAAGGTATACTCCATCAACGCTTGCGTCTGAGGATTCGAGCTTGAGAGTAAAGGGTGCTGATGTATTGTAATCCTGTGCCATAACGGCGGATGCGCCGAGGGCCAGCAGAGAGAGGACGTGTGACTTCATGACTGGAGATCGCCTGAAGTAAAGAAGTAGGTATAACTAGTCAAGAGCAAGCTTGAGTCGTCTCAGTCAAATGCTTAAGAGGAGACAGTTGATGAGGAAGGCGATGCAGCGTAGGTCCATTCCCAGAGGCAGGAAGGGATGGTGACTTTATATAGAAATGAAGAGACGATCTCCCGGCCGTCGACCTTATTACATGTACTATGACTCGGAAATAGGCATGGAGGGAGCCGCTGGAGATCATCGTGGCGATCTTGCCAAAGCTAGCACGAGCCCGCCTGAAAGCCAAATAGTGTGGGGAAACCGCCGTAGACGGGGGAACCAGCACCCCGGGCGACAAGCTGCGAGCCAAAATCTGACCTCACCTCACTTCAGCTGTATAGGCAGGCTAGATTAGGTTCGTGTTGTGTACCGGACATATCAGTGTATTGGATCTCGGATCACGACGCTGCAGTGCGAGCTCGTTCCTGCACGAGGAGTGCTTAACGTGATGAACGGCTGGCAGGTGCGGAGTGACGGGATACCACCCGCCGTTTACGCTCTACATGAAGGTCATGGCAGATCCAGATCAAGGGATTAGAAAACGCTCATCGTGAGGTGTAAAAGTGACCCGATGAGAGCAAATGTGCTCAGAAAGTGCTCGTATCTGCATGTGATATACATCAGCGCGTAATGGACAAAGAGCACTACCCCAGAGCCATGCTATGCTACAGTGAGTGAGCTGTGCGCCGTGGAGCTCCGCGAAGTTGGGGGCTGTTGCTACATCATTGTAAAATAAAAGACCTAGGCTCGCAGATTGACCGCCTGTTTTGGGCAGTTGAGCCTTCATAGTTCAACATGTCGTAGAGACGAGGCCAATGGGTGTAGAGTGGTCGGGCCGGGAGGGTGCTTTTTCTCGTATTCACATCATGCGGACAGGTGAGCCCGTCGCTGTTTCTTTAGACTTCTCACCATCAAACCCTTGCTACAGGCCGAGTCAGTTAACTGGTTGGAGAAGGACTTCGCAGATCACCGCGCCAGTGGTGCAGGGTAAGTCGTTGGCCCGGCACATATATACCGAGCCTAACCAATGGGCCAATGGGCCAAAGCGCAATGCCCAATCATTAACCGGGACACTTACACGATGTCGAGACTGTCAATTGGCACCTCGACGTCATCTTCGTTGCCCTGGCATGTCGTGTTCTGTAGATGGCAGACGTTCGATGACATCTTGTCAAACATACCGGCAACATCGGCGAGAGCGGCCACATATTGGACACTTTGATGGCATACAGTTGGGGTCCACGACAGACTTGGCTGGTCCGACGGAGCACCGTCAAGATCTGAGGATTTTATGCGCCCGGTCCGATTGGACTCTGTCAGCCGACTGACGGAAGAACCGATATCTTAGAAACCTTCTTACAGAACCTCATCTAGCACGATGGACATGAGCGCTTTGAGGCGCAAAGCTTTGGACCATACGGCATCTGCCGGCCGCCTTACTAAAACTCAATCAGCTCATTGAGGAGATATTGTCATACATGCTGAGAGCCGCTTCACCTCCTCATCAACGATTTTTTTCAATTGCGCAAGAAAAGTCTGGACGTTCTCGTTTGATTCTAGGACCGCATACGAGGAGTTGCATCATTTCGTACAATGATCTCTCTTTTTACCCCTTTCACACACATTGCTCACATGTTACATGTCCATCAGTGGTACTTCTGTTCCATATAGGTTTCTCCTCGTTTCACTCTTCTCCTTTACGAAGTACCATGTATCCGGCTGCCTAACGTCGTCGGATTCTGTACGCTGCTTGCAAGCGCAGTATGATCTCCAACCATGGCTGTCCAGCAGCTCAATGATTCTCAGCAAAAGCAGTCTTGTTTTCACCGTGGCTTCTCCGTGTGCCCTCCATGGTGCATATTTGAACTTGAACTCGAACGAGTCAAGGTTCCATTCACCGCTTTGAAACACATCCATGCCCTGGAACATGTCTCGTAGGCTCTTCACCACGTCCGGTTCGTCGCCGATGAGTCGTAACCTCTTACTATGAGTGAGCCCCAGGACTAACCAGTCTACAGGCGGTGGGGTAGGAGAGCTTTCTCGTTGCTTCTGAAATATGAGACTGTCCTTGGTCCCAACCCGTATTGAATGTGACAGGGGCGTGACCAGTGCCCAGCCCCGTCTGTCCAAGAAGGCGAAGAGGTTCCGCAGCAGCATCCGCGAGCCAACTCCTTCCTGATCTCCTGACCAACCCCAAGGACATCCTTTGAGTTTGTACTCGTAGGATTCGCCGTACATCTTCTGCTCCTGGAGGCCTGGTGGCCATGATTGAATGATAATGCTCTCCGCTGCTGTATATATCTCCTCGGGGAATTGCAAAAATCGGATCTTGTCCCGCTTGTGCAGGGACATAATGGCGAATGCAGTCCCAGTTTGGGACGGCGAGGGCTGAAAGGTGGCAGCCATAGTCTGATTGGGGTCAACGGTGTAAGTGGCGCTATCTTTGGAACAATTTGCCTTGAGTGGACACTCAAATGACAAGTACAAGACAAAAACACTTGTGGAATCTCACTGTCGATATTCGTTTCTTCTTTCGCTTTTATGTGTTCAACAAGACAGCTCACTTGAATAAATTGTTCAAAGATGGAAGAGGTCACTAACACACCTGCGCTCTGGACAACTCTATATAGCAGCTCCAAACTTTCCTGGAGTCAGCCTCGCGGCACATTCGGGGCGCAACATATCGTGGCTTCACTCATCGTAGTGCCTTCAGCCTATGGTGGGAATTGCTGAAGACGTGCAAGCTCTTGATTCTTGGTGTTGCGCCATTAACCTATCAGGTCAAGTGGGCTGCGCCCCGATGCGCAAGAGTGCCTTCCTACCGTATTTCGTATCATTTCTCGATTAGCAGCATGTTGATTGGTCTATGTGTATTGATGAGCATTCGTGGCTTTTGACCACGCGAACTTGAGCCTCGTTCGAATGATTGCCCCCGGTGTCCGGAACAGGCGACCGAGGTGATCTCGAGTATTCTAAACTGTCACTTACTTCAATGTCTCGGGTACAATCAAGCGCATTAGATCTAGTAGGCATGTGATCGCCAGATCTTTCCCTTTATATTCTCTTATCATGGGCCATTGTGCTCAATACTCGTTGTTCATTACATATTATTGTACTTTGGCATGAAATCGGCTCAACGTGAACCGCAACCAGCTTGAGGGTTCCTGCCGTTCCTCTGACTTATCTGTAGCTCAATAAGAAATGCAATCTCTCTAACAGACTGGGTAAGAAGCTATCGTGCCCAAGTCTTCCGGAATCAGATTCTTCGATACGGCAACTTACTTCTGTTAGTTATACTTTTATCGACATATGGGGAAAGTACTCACGCTTATAATCCCAACGTGCATCGCCAAGTTCAGTTTTCCATGACCAGAAAATCCAGCCATTGGTGGCCTTTTCGTAGGACTTGATTTGAGCCGCAAACCAACTCTTGTAGAAGTCAGGATCGTTGTCGACGCTCCAATCCGCCGTTCTTTCAACTTCATCTGCCACACTCAAACTGAACTCGCCAACAATGGTTGGATTTTCGCCTTCAGCTTGGCGGTTGTCATTGCAAGACGTTTTGATGTAGTCCTCTTTCGACACGGTCAGCTGGTCCTTTGGCACCCACTTGAGGTATCTGTGGTCATCAAAAGCAGCCCAGTAGTGGGGATTAATGTCTTCAACCGGATTACCGGCTCCCCACAGAGAGTTCATGAACTGGATATGGAGTGATTCGTTTTCGGTGATACCAAGCATGTGTTCTTTCTCTCGGATAGCCTACTTTCTGATTAGCAAACCAGCCCCAGCTTCCGAGAGGGGTTCCGACTTACGGCAAAAGCCTTCTCATAGAAATATGATCGAAGAGTTGCTGGTGCCGCGCCCCATTGTAGGGGCTCGTTGAGCACTTCGAGCATGAAAACATGGTCGAAGTCACCGCTATATGTGTATATCATCTCCGTGATCCATTCGAGAAACTCAATACCGCGATCGTACTGATATTGTTGGTAGAATCCGGCTGGGTTAGCATTCTACTAAACGTTAGAATGATAAAAGTGCTGCAACGTTATATGTATTGCACATACTTGTCCTGTGAAAGCGTTGCTGGTGGCTTGTGCTCCTGGAGCTCCGTGAAGTCTTGTAGCTGTTAGTTGATTCTGAACATACAACTTCTTGGCCTCTACTTACACCAGAACCACAAATATTTGTCTACTCTTGGCCCATGATGCAACTTTTCTCAGGTACTCAAATCCGCCCTAGGGAGATTAGCAGATGGACTATACATCTTGACGATCTCTCAACTTACTCTTGGAAAATGTTCCGAATCGGTGTAGACTAGCTTCTCATACATCCAGTATCCAATGGGAATACGGACTGTATTGATGCCATAAGAAACCATCTCGTCAAAGTCCGCCTCAGTGATGAAAGTTGACCAATGTTTCTGGAAGGCAGCATCGCCTGCCTCTTGGCCGAGTACCATCATGCAGTCGAACTCGGAAGCCTTTCCACCGCAACCCATCTTGCCCCAAGTATCTCCTACCATCCACGGCTCGATGATAAAGAGTGAACCGAGGTTCACACCACGGATTTTACTAGGCGTCATCCATCGCTTGCCGTTTCTATTTGCGTATCGAAGAGAGAGTGAATAATCGCCGTTCTCGAGGCTGCGCTCGGTCGGAAGCCATGCATGCACGAGAGATGCAAGAGTCGCTAAAGCGAACAATGCACCTCGAGAGAGCATTGTAATGGAAAAGGAGACAGGAGGGCCTTGACTATCCTACACACCCTACAAAACGACAACAATAATGAATGAATGGATAAGTGAATAAAGATTGATCCTAACAACACTACCAGACCGACTGAATGGAATGAAGAAACTTTTCTGATGACATAAACGAAGACATAGAGAGTTGAAATGGCTAACGATCGACACTTATGGCCTTTGGCTTACTCTAAGATGTTGGAGTCATGGCGATTCCCCTGCAGGTAGTTCATGTGCTTGATGCTTGATCCAGCCTTTACTAAGGCATCTCGATTTAGTAACAACCTTACTGTGCAGCACACGCATCCAGGGCTCGGTCCTGGAAAGGAAATTATTGATTTCGAGGACCAATGATAGGCAGCCTTCCGTACAACACAACCCTTGCCAACGCGGCCGCTGGAGGCTGGAACACAGAGCCCAATAAGGGGCTGCGGCCGCCGTAATGTCCACTGCGCGAAAGTAAGTTTAACTCCATTGTGCGGTAGCATTATGGTATCAAAGCGCAGGGCTGCGGACTTCCGTGAAAGATAGAGAGCTCTGAGCCGCTGTCCTAATGAAGAAGCATCTGACGTGAGATAGTTAAGGCCTGCTTTTGGCTGGCTCTTGCCCCCATCGCAGTATCAGCCGCACCGTGTTGTTGTGACGCCCTGTAGTTGCCAGAGACCTATTGCCCGTCTGGGAATATCTTCTTTTGTCGCTTATACGCCACTCGTGGTTTGCCAACGTATGCCACTCAGGGGCTGTCGCATATAATTTTGTGAGGCCCCTGAACATGTCAGAGAATACCGAAAACGTCATTGATTTGAACTATTTGATATGCTTCAAATGCGCGATGTCCTTTAGATACAATAGGCAAATACCTTTCTCAATCACTGGTCTATCAGCTCCAACAATGATGGTCGGAGAGGGCTGCGCTCCAGAGAACCTGGCAAGGATACCCCAAACGGCAGCCGACCCCTGCCGGTGTGCATTGCCTGTTGATCGTGGCCTCAGGGCGCTTGAAAGGCACAGGTTCACGTTCTGGGAGGAGATGATATAGTGAAGTAGTCTGCAATTAAAGATGATGCCGACATTCAACAAAGTCATATAAGATCTTCACCGTGTTGATAGATCGAGCGTTCTCACCTAGCTAGCGAGGCTTATCACATTCCAGTAACTCCATCTGATTTCCCGCAAAATAAGCTATCATTACTGAAAAGCCGCTTTTTGATATGGTGATTTTGCAATTGCTATGTTGAAAAATCAGAGTGGATGAATGGATGCGCATGGGCAAGCCAAAACCAAAGTCGAGACGGCTGTGCCTTCGAGGAATGACTTTTCGAAGTCCATAAACAAGCAAACTCCTATGCCTTTGAACGAGTTTGAAATATTCGGGTCATCTGATGTCCAGTGGCCATTTGGACAAGGGGTGAGGCGAGGCGAGACGAGGGCGCAGGTGTTCTCCAACTCAGCTCGGGTACCTTAGCCATTGTTGGAGACGGCTGGCTGTTCATCAACTGAGCTCTGGCGAGTATGGTCATAAGTTGCTACACCTTGAATATCACCTTCGTAAATAACACTCAACTGTTAGCTAGCCGGCATAAAGCACATGACATTGGGCCTTCATGTAGTCTACAGATCTGTAAAGTATGGGCTTTGATTAACTTCAACAGTGTCTCTTGTGAAAGACAACCCTTAGATTGGCGCCTACGTCATCGGATTGAAAGAGGGTGGGTGGAAGCTGCATGCTTATCTCTCTTTCTATCTACCAAGGTGATGCCATTGAGTTTTGATTAAGGCACAGTTGCTATCGTCTATCAGCACACATCATGTAAGGTAGGATGACATGACCTTTAATTACAGACATGCGCTATCGGACAAGACTGGAGGTGAGCTTATCAGCAAAGAGGATTTGAGTTGTGCCGTCTGTTAGCGCTACTTTCCGACGATGGAGCATCCACTCCCTCGGAGCTGCAACCAACCAGCCACCACAAATTGCTCCCAACCTTGGAAATGTGGAGAACAGAGATTGAGTGATGCACTGAAAGCGCCGCCGCCGGCTGGCTGGTTCTGGGTGCACCACCCGCTGTAGTTAATCAAGGAATAAGCTAAATCGCTTGCGTCGAGGTCCAGATCTCCTCCACACCATCTCGCACCGCACACACAAATGAAAGAGCTCTTCCCCCACATCACACACACCTCATCTTACCTCACACACAAAACCGCCCTTCTCGACGATAGCTCCTGTGCCTGCTCCTGGATGTGACCGCATGTCCCGGTCTCTGCTGCGATCGGCTTGTATGGAACCCTGCTACGGCTCAGCCGCATTCCCAGGGCCACCGTGAGTGCAGCGGCACCCGTCCAGGCAGCGCAATTGCCTGTTAATTGGGCCCGGGGTTCTGTGCGCCGGCATCGCTTGCTACCTACCTGACGCAGCCATGGATGACGCGACGAGGCTCATCTCGGAGCTGCAGGCAAAGCTCACCGAGCTTGACAGCAAGGTCGCCGCCTACCGTCAGGACATGGCCGCTGAGTTCACCAGATACTCGGACCAGCTGCTCAGGAACATTCCGGAAGAGGTCCTGCAGAAGGTCTCCCAGGCCGTGGCTGACTCAATGCCCAACTACCCTTCATTGAACCTTCCACACAAGTCCTCCACCACAAGCAGCCTCGACGAGCCTCGGTCGCCGACTCCAACAGACCTCCCCGGCTTGTGGCGCGGTCGCATCTCGCCTCCTCCAATTCTGCCTCATACCTCAGGGACTCCCAAGGAGGCTGTACGAAGCCCTCACGACCGCGAAAAAGAGTTCCACGGCCTATTTACTCCTCGCTATCTGCCGCTACTCGACGGTTCTGAACGTCCACTCCACTCACCTCCCACCTCACCACCGACGTCACCCCCTCCTGTGCCCGAGAAGGTCGAAGAGAAGGTGCAGCTCGAGATTGCGCAGACACTGGAGGTTAAACCAACTCCTGCGGAGGAAAACCCCAGACCTGCGCCCATCCGTTGTCCGACCGACGCCACCACTTCATCCATCGACTCGGTTGGAAGCGACACGAGCACCAAAATCCGCAAAAGCGCCCTGCGCCGCTCCTCTAGCGCCTCAAAACCACCTGACAGCCCACGGGATCCCCGCCGAGTGCGCTTCGAATTCCAGGGCGCTGAAGTTCTACCTACTTCCTCTCCACAGTCATCAGAGCCTGTTCCTCCAGAAATAGGCAGCGAAGAGGACGAGTCAGCATTTCCAGAAGAGTCGTTCCCCGAATCGTCAATAGGTGATATCGAAGGCGAAGAAGATCCACCTCCGAAGAAGGTCTCATCTTCTCAGGCTCTGCGCGCCTTATCAAGAAGTCCGCTGGACGCCGGTACTGTTTGGACCGTAGTGAATCCCGATCCTGACCCTGACCCAGAGAATTCCGCAAACTCAGAGGGGCAGGATAATACCAGATCTTCATCTGAGTTGAGCTCACCAGAGCAGACAAGCACAATGCCTCCCAAAGCGACAGCAGTCCAACCGAAGGTCCAACCTTCACGTGATGCTCAGGCATCTCAGGAGCTTGGCTCACGTCTCGGGGCTCTTGATATTAATAAAGACAAGGAGAAAGACGACGACGTATCTGACGACGATTCGTTGTTCATGTCCTCGAAGAAGAAGCAGAAGAAGGGCTCGATTTCACCTGGTCCTCAATCGCCCATCCCAACTGCTGCTACATCCACTCCGCTTGCTATTTCCAAGTCAAACAAGCCCAACTCGACTACACCTACAGCAACTCCCCCTTACCCATCTGTCAGAGCTCGAGATGACGAGGCAGATGATCTCTTTGACCTCGAGGTTGCGGACGATGATGAAGGTCTCAAGAAAGCAACCTCAGCTCAGACGTCACCAACGAAGCACCTTCCCGAGCCAGTTGAGGATGAGCCGGAGGAGCCTGCTCCCAAGCACAAAGGGTTCCCCGTTCCTCTCTACTCTTCTTCGCCCGCCATGGGTATACCCCAGCGACCAGTCGATGTCAACAAGCAGCCCCCTCGAGCTACTCCAGTCCCCTCTAGCTCCTACGTAGCTGGGTCCGTTGGATCTTTCAAGGGCCGGCCTCTGTACATGGGCTCGGTCAAGGATCCTAAGATTCTTGAGGAGGTCTTGGCGATGGGTGATGTGCCCAACTTCGTGGGAAGTGTTAATGGCCGAAGCGGAGTTGATGCCTCTAACCCTAAGAGCTACCGAGCCACACTGCAGAGTCCTGGACAAACCCCGACTCCAACCAGCTTCACCGAGCGCTACATCAAAGAGCGAGACGAGAAGGGCGGTTATGACACCGAGGAAGAGAAGCAGGCGCGAAATGACTACTTCTAGGTGCTCATCTGGTCGGAATACGCGTAACTTTTGTACGATTTAATGAATCGCATTGCGATCGAAACACGCTTATCTTGTCCGACTTTCGAGAACCTAGGTTTTCGTCATATGGATGCCTCCTCTCCGTTCAAGGGACTCCCCCTCTACAGAGCAGGCTCTCAAATTCATGGACAATACATGCGACATTCTGCATAGGGACTCAGGTTGCTTCGAATATATAGCATATGCGCTCGCCCCCTTGGCGGATAGGTTGCAATGTCACATAGACTGAGCAGAACAGATACCAAGCAAGATATCTTGGTCACTCTGGAATATGTCGGTTTAGATGTATACGAGGGTACAGGCATAGTGCATACAAACGCGATACCCAACAAATATAATAAAGAATCCGTCTTGTAGCCATGCGGTGCTATGTGATATGATCAATCATTTTTGCTCGCTACTATGTATACTATCTGATGCTGACTTGAACCACCTCATCCACTGCTTTTGCTTCGCTTTCTTGATCTGATCGTGCTGAATCATTAAGATCAATCATATTTCGATGACTACTTTGAACTTTCAATTTGATATATTGAAGGCATCCAGAAACATGCAGTAGGTAAAGACGATACTTCTTGCTTGGTAGCACCTTGTGAGTAGAACTTGGCCAGGCGTGGTCTATGGAGACCCCTGAAGTTGCTATCTTTAGGTAAGCCCAGCCTGTGGTGTGGTCCTCGACGAACGGGGATCGGCACTAGGGTTGAGTCACCAATTTCCAACCCAAGGAAGGGATGGGACAGGCGCCGGAAGGCCCCTATAACTCAGGCTCAGATCATGACTTGGGGCGGGCGGGGACTGGGTGGCGGGGCAGAGATTGATTGGAGCCTGGTCTACTGGCAGTGACGAGTTACCCGCCGCATCGGCACCAAGGACTATCTCCTCACAAGCACCTGCACCTGCACCCGCACCCGAATCTGAAGGGCGGGACAGCGTGCATTTTAGTCTCCTGAGACGCCGCCCATCTTTCCCTGACACAAGTCAAGAATAAGCCTTGCCTCCAGCTCGGCATCTCCATCATTACAACCTTCCATCCTTCCCTCCCTGGATTCATACTCGACTTGACCAGGAACTTCGCTCTTTTCCCCCTTGGATTTGGATTTGGACTGGTTGGCCCACGAGCAACAAGACGCTGTCCAGCAGGCCCTGCTTCTGCTCGAACAGCCGCACCTCCGTCAACGACGGCTTCCCACGAGTCTCAGGCGACTACCGCACGCCCAACGAAGTCAGACCTAGACCACCTGCGCCAGACCACCACACCTGGCGCCGTCCTCTTCGATTCACGATACTCTTTGCTAGCACAACCGCCGCCCGTTCCTCACTACGCGAATTACCCCACCTTGACCAATTCCACGTCGAGACCATCGGACAAGCAAGCCATGGACGGAAAGCGGCATTTGAGCTCCTTCCAGCAGCTGGAGAAGTTGGGAGAGGGAACGTACGCCACTGTAAGTCTTCCGAGATTGCCTCTCTAGTATACGCCAGGTCCTAACAGAACGGATTGCAGGTGTTCAAGGGCCGTAATAGGCAAACCGGTGAGCTCGTGGCCCTTAAGGAGATCCACCTCGACTCGGAGGAGGGCACGCCCAGCACGGCGATTCGCGAGATTTCGTTGATGAAGGAGCTGAAGCACGAGAACATTGTCGCCTTGCACGATGTCATCCACACCGAGAACAAACTTATGCTGGTGTTCGAGTACATGGATGGCGATCTTAAGAAGTACATGGACACCCAGGGCGACCGTGGCGCGCTCAAGCCCGGCCTCATCAAGTCCTTCATGTATCAGCTCCTCAAGGGCATCGATTTCTGCCACCAGAATAGAGTCCTGCACCGAGATCTGAAGCCCCAAAACCTGTTGATCAACAGCAAGGGCCAGCTGAAACTGGGAGATTTTGGACTGGCGCGCGCCTTCGGCATACCTGTTAATACCTTTTCCAACGAGGTGGTCACGCTGTGGTACAGAGCGCCCGATGTGCTGCTGGGAAGCAGGACCTACAACACCAGCATCGACATCTGGTCCGCCGGCTGCATCATGGCCGAGATGTACACGGGGCGCCCGCTGTTCCCCGGTACCACGAATGAGGACCAGATCATCCGTATCTTCAGAATCATGGGCACGCCGACGGAGCGTACCTGGCCCGGCATCACCCAATTCCCCGAATACAAGCCCACCTTCCAGATGTACGCCACGCAGGACCTTCGCCAGATCTTACCCCAGATTGACTCGACCGGTATCGACCTACTGCAGCGCATGTTGCAGCTCCGCCCTGAGCTGCGCATCAGCGCCCATGATGCCCTGCAGCACCCGTGGTTCGACGAGCTGATCATGCAGCAGCATCACCAGCAACAGCAGTCGCACGGCATCCCGGCCCAGTCCAGAGGCTACCCGCAGGCGGTGCCCGCGCAAGCAAGTTACGACAACTACTAGAAGTAATCTTTCGTCTTCTTTTGCTTTCACTTATGCATCGGGTTATTAGGTTGAGCCTCGGAGCATGGGTTTTGTTTCAGCCTGCTGTTACTTATTGGTGATTCGGAGGTCAGGTAGATATGGATGCTTTTCCAACTCTCAGGCTAGTACCATTTTTCTGCGTCGACATGATTTCGCTACATGGACCAGGGTTGTTGGTCAGGGGACGAGACGAGGATGAGAACGACGATATCCGGGATCAATCCAGACTTATTCACTATAGAAAAATAATACCACAAAAGCGCATGCTTCGGCGTTGTCTGAGTTCTCGATTGGAATACTAGAGGTCCTTTGGCCGTATGATCAGTATTGGGCAGCAGAGAATGGCGTGCTCGAACTTCCTTTTCTCTGTGCTACTCCAGGGGACAATCACAATCATCCATTCTACGGATCGTCATCTTTGAAAGTCATAATACCTGCTTGATCTTAGAAATATAGCATAACTCTCTGATGATGCATTTGAACTCTCTTGATGTGATTGGCTGTGGCGGTTTTAGAGTTTTACCGTTCCGTGATAAGAGTCTCGGACCGCTGTCTCCATTGTGGAGTTGAGGCGATAAGGCGACCACGACTCCACACTAAGCCTGTTCCTCCACCTCAAGTGACCTCCAGGCCACAGACGCGCGACTCTCAGGACGGTGGTGCCTGTCGCTCAACTTCATCATCGATTTTTATTTGTCTTAATATATCATAGGGATCTCCTGTGACAAGAGGTTGGGGAAACAGATTGTATTACTCCTCCCTTGCGGGATATGGCCACCATGGCGGACGGCAAAGGTGAGGCTGCTCAACTCTTGGAACGATATGCATCTTGAGGCTGATGATGGGATTGTTCAGATGACGAGGCAACGATCAAGGTTGCATCGAAGAAGAACGCAAAGGATAAGCCGAACGGGATCATCAAGTTGAAGAAGCCTGCCCCGAAACACTCTAAGCCGGGCAACTGGAAGGATGGCACTGTCATTGATAGTGAGTATATACTAGCTATCCGGAGCCGTCAACCTAGCTTGGATGGGCGGCCGGATGATCGTGAAGGATCTAAGATACCCTAACACCATGCAGATGACAAGAAGAAGCCCGCTCCGAGCCCTGCCGGCATCTCGGCCCCGTCCCCCGGCCCCGTCGTCAACCCACTCGACGACTCCGCGCGCGAGACCTTTGCGACCGGCCAGCCGCTCGAAGACAACCCGGATCTGCAGAGCTGCAAGCACTGCAAGAAGAGCATCTTGAAGACGGCGGCGAAGCATCACATCGCAGGCTGCCTGCGGATCAAGAAGGAGAAGGCCCAGCGCAAGAAGGAGGCACGCGAGGCGCGGGAGCGCGCGAGAGAGGCAGCGAAAGAGGAGGAGGCGCGCAAGAACGACGAGGACGGTGAGACGCGTGCGGACGATGACAGTGACGATGACAACGACGGCGAGAAGAAGGTGAATGGTGGGAAGACTACTAAGAAAGCGGCGGGCAAGAAGGCGGACACCGGTGACAAGAAGGGAACGAAGCGGAAGGCCGATGGTGAGCCAGACAAGGCGCCTAAGCCGAAAAAGAAGAAGGACGAACCTAAGCCCAAAGTCCCTAAACCCAAAGGTATACTAACTTTGTTTTGCAACAATCATCAACCTCCTGGCAAGCAAAAATGCTGATGGCGTTACATGTAGGACCGGTCGATGTTGAACGGCAATGTGGTGTCATTTTACCGAACGGACAGCCCTGCGCCAGGTCGCTCACTTGCAAGTCACATAGTATGGGCGCAAAGCGTGCAGTGGCAGGCAGATCCCTTCCGTACGATATGCTTCTCGCAGCCTACCAGAAGAAGAATCAGGCGAAGCAGCAGAGTGAGTTATAGCCGTACTAGTGTTTTCATTAATTGCATATCTTCTAACGCAATATCTAGAGGCGGCACTTGACGCCAATGCACCTCTCGAGGATGACGATGAGGCGAACGCGGGTCCGGTTGACTCAGACGAAGAGACAGCAGCTGTGATGTCAGCGTTGTCGAGATGGAACCCACAGCCCGTGATCCCACAGCCAGTTTTCACACCGATCAAACGGCAGTACCAACTTGCCAGGCTACACGAGCAATTGCAGACAGCAACCAATGGCGGGCGTGTCAACATCTTCAAAGTAGTTGGATACGGCGCTCAGCGCCTCCCAGACGGCCACCCGGGTACAGTTTTGGATACGGAAGATGCGCCGGGTGAGCCAGACCCGGCAGTCATGGGTATGATTTCTAGGCGATCGTCATCGAGCTTTAGCATGGGCGCGCCACAACGGCGACCGTCCGTCTCAAGCAGGGCTTAGGAGGCTAGGCACGGGGACAGGCGGTTACGATGATACGGATGGGGCTTGAACATGGGAAGACTGATGACACGATGGACATGTTAGACAACTGGATTTTCCCTCGTCCCCACCTTTTTGGACTCTCATTGCCACAATCTCTCAAGCACGACATGACGGAGAACATTTCATGCGGCACATCTGTGGCCGACAAGCGGGTTTCTCATTTTCTTTTTTTCTTTCATACCCCTCTAGGAGGCTATGGCATTGGGCGTTGGTCGGTCTTCTAGATGCCCTGATTTAAACATGGACGCAGGGGCGTTGGCAGGTATACTGGGCACCAGATGATAGGCCATGGAATTATTATTAGGGACAAAGGCATTCGATACCAAGCGATCTCAATCAAGGATCATCCGTCTCCAACTCTTACCGTGCAGTCCTCTCATAGGTACACGATATGCTTCGTGTAACGGTGAAGTATCTTTCTGGTCCTGCAAATCAGCGTTCGACGCGTCTATGAGAGGAGTTTTTCCTTGAATAGCCCACGGTGAATCCACTGTAAATTTTAAGCCACTCGCGGCATGAGGCGCCTCAGATGCACGTTGTATACCGTTTGTCTACCCGGAATAGCTGCAGCCATCGGGAATGTCCCTGGCCAGTGGGACATTTTAGCGGGGTTAGGCTGAAGGTGCAGCGTCGTGTGGGTGCCGAGGCTAACAAGGCGACATGACGTCGATCACTGCGACCGGGGAGCTGGGGTAGTATAAGCCAGCCAGCACCTCACATGCCAACGTTGCGACATCCAAACAGTTAAATGAAGACCAATAATCAAATTCTTTGCCTGTACAACAAGTAGCAGGCTCGTTTATTTTCTCTACGATATCTAGCTGTCAACATCAAAGCATACTAGCCATGCCTGCGGACAAGCTGCTGCCAGCCTTGGGGCACGCCGTTTCCGGGTCCGCAGGCACCGCCATCTCGACCTTCACAACATATCCCCTCGACCTAGTCAACACCCGGCTGAAAGTACAGCGTCAGCTCCGTAAAGATGGCGCCATCTCCTCTTCAGAGCAATATCAGGGCATAGCGGATGCCTTCCACAGGATCTACGAGCGCGAGGGCGGACTCGCGGCGCTTTATGCCGGGCTGGGCTCTGACGTCGCCAAGTCCATCGTTGACTCGTTTCTATTCTTCTTATTCTACAATTGGTTCCGGTCCAGGAGACTAGCCGGCCGGAACTCGAGACACCTCCCTGCCTGGGAGGAGTTGGCCGTTGGCGCTGCTTCAGGAGCATGTGCCAGGGCCTTCACAACGCCGATAAGCAACGTCGTCACGAGGAAACAGACCGCCAGCTTGGTGAATCAGGATGTCGAGGCGAGCAGCCTCTCGGTCGGGGAGATCATCCACACAATCCGCGCCGAGAAGGGCGTTTTAGGCTTGTGGTCTGGATATGCAGCGACGTTGGTACTGACGCTCAATCCAAGCATAACATTCTTCCTGCAGCAGACGCTGGAGAAGAAGCTGCTCTCGAGACAAAAATGGGAAAGCACCGGGTCGGGAATGACTTTTCTGATTGCGGCAATGAGCAAGGTCGTCGCGACGACAGTTACATATCCGTTCCAGATCGCCAAGGCGAGATCGCAAGTCTCGGCTCCATCCGAATCCGGAGAGGAGGCACCGAGCGATGAAAAAGAGACATTAACGATCGACCAAAACACTAAAACCCAGTCACCACCACGCAGTCCGGTGAATGCTATTGCGTCTAGGATCCGCCACATTACCGAAGACAACATCTTCAGTAATGTTCTGAAAATTGGGAGTGCGGAGGGTGTCCCGGCCCTCTATGACGGTATAAGCGGCGAGCTATTAAAGTCATTCTTTAACCACGGAACAACTATGCTCTCGAAGGATATTGTCCACAAATTGATTGTCCAACTATACTTCTTCATCCTGGCGACGTTGAAAAGATATCCGGCAGTATATTCGTCTTTGCTCAGCAAATCGCGCGACCTTTCCGATAAATTGCAGAGCGGCTTGAGGGAAGTCTCGACGAATAGTAGTAAGATAGCGAAGCAGGGTGAAAAATATGTGGAGGATGCATATGACTCTGGCGAGACAGTAGTGCTGAACTTGCTGGACAGTAGTCAGAGAAAAGCCTCCAGGTAGTTTCGTTATGCGTAATAATTTAATTCGAGGCGTTCCAGCGACCAATTTAACGCCTGTGCTCATGGACGTCTGTGACTTAACATGTCGTCGAATCAGCACTGAAATACTACGCCATTCTTCTTGACCTCATTGACACCGCTAGCCGAGAAGCCAGTGCCGTCGCTCTTCAACTCGACTAGGCCAGGTCGAATCTTGTCCTTTTCTTTCTTGTCGCCTTTTTCGGACTTCTTCCTCTCCGTCAGGTCGGCATCGCAAACATAGCACCTCACCATATTTGGATCAGTAGCACTGTCATGTGGGTCAATGCGCCCTGAGGGCTTCATGAATTGGTTGACACAATTCCTGCAGACAACATGCCCACAAGGCTTGGCCAACTGTGCCTTGGATGCATTTGTGAGGCCCTTTTTGCAGGACGGGCATATTTTCTGCACTGCCTTCGTCGTAGAATCCGTTTCCTCGGTAAATTTTATAGATACCAGCGTGTGCAAGGAATAATGGTGTGGCTTGTCCTCTGCCGATGATGGGCAGACTGGCGCTGTCTTAGTCTTCTTCTTCACTTCATGTAATGTATCCTTCTTGTTCGAGGAAGGAGTCACTGACGGCACCCAGAATGATGGCAAGACAGCCTTTGCGTTCTATGAGGCAAATTTAGCATGTGTAAGGTTTGAAAATCCTTCATTGCTCACCTTCTCGTCTTCAATGGCTTTCCGAGCCTTCGCTCGGTCGTCCATCGCGTTCCGTAGAACCTCGTCCTCATCCAGTGAGAATTTTCGTTTCTCTCCCCTCTTGACCAGACTTGTATCTTGCGCTCCTTGTGCTGTTGTTTCGCGCTGGCCAGACGAATTCCCACTCCGGCCACCTGAGCTGTTGAAGCCCGCCTGTATCAGCTCGAATTCTTTGACAGCCCTCTCCTGTGCCTCGGCATCTTGTCGGGCCTGTGACTCCGCGGCCTCGCGCTCCTCCTGCTCTCTTGCCTTCTCCAAACGCTTGATCTCTTGTTTCTGGGCTAGAATGTTGCTCAGCGCGCACTCGCGACAGAAGATATCGCCCATCGAGCACGCGACCGGATCTCGAGCCTGTTCTAGGCACAGGCAGCAGGAGGCGAAGGGCAGGAACGAGTCTCGAGACAGGCGAGCGGACGACGAGCTCCAGGCGCTCTTGGCCATGGCCCTCTCGTGCGAGGTGAACACGGCCCGGGAGGTATTTCTTTTGCCTTAACTGTTAGCTAGGCCAAGATGATGGGCATCTATTGACAGTGTCCAAGGGAAGAGCCAGCATACTGTGAGACATCTTAGCTATTCGGTGATGTTACGAATAGGGTGCTATAATCGAGTAGCAAATGGTGTCCCAGAGCAAAGAAATGTCCTTTTGCGGGACTTCTTGTGCAACGCTGAGAGTAGAATTGAACTTGTTGGTATCGTGGGGGATCTGAAGTGCGGCTAAACATAAAAAAGCGGGATGATGCACGGTCTAGCGAGATACAGCGGGCGACAGGCGGATCCAGCTATGCGGGACACGCTAACTTTTCGCCCGAGGTGTGCGAATGAGGCGCGGTCTGGTTGGTCAGGGCGCCCGAGAAACGGCTCATCATCGAAAAAAAGTTGAGGTCTCAATCCTACGACAGGCGATATTGTCTTTCCCTTATTCCAGACTCTTCACCTTGCATTTGTGGTGTACGATTATGAGTTTCTGAGGCAGCTCGTCCTTGTAGCTGCCTCTCCACGCTCACTTCCACTTCGTTATCCATCTTTGGGCGTCTCATTCTGATGTACTGAGGCGCGGTCGCGCTCTTTGCCGAGGTGTTCAGTGAGGCCACAAGGCGAGGCCCGTAGTGAGAGATGACAACCATAACTAATGCGCCGAAACGGCAACCACATACACTATGGCGCGGCGCATCCAGTTTTGTGATGGGAGTCACAGGTGCACTGTCAAAGGGGTTTCTCTATGGGCTTAATTCGGTAGAAACTGTTGGGATGGAGCGATTCCTGGAGCTATTAGAAGCACGGAAAAATCCCTGGAGTAGGGAAAGGGGCCTCATCACTGGTAAGTCTGCGTTCATACTCTACTTATTCGACACCTTTGCTAAGATGTGAACAGTCAGCAATCACATTTCTGTGTAAGTCGGAGTTCATCTCAAGCATTTAGTCGTCTAGACACTTACACAGCTCTTATAGCCTCGATGACCCCTTAATGTGGGGTGTGCTGCCCCTGAAGAATGACTTTGAGCCCTCCAACCTGCGCTGGGGTCTCGGTGCCCACGACATATGCTTCGCCAACAAGGCGCTCTCCACCTTCTTCAGCGTCGGTCAGGTTTTGCCGACTCATCGGGGCTTTCACTCACCGCTGGGCGGCCTCTTCCAGCCGACCATGACGCAGGCAATCCGGCTGCTGTCCTCGGCGCCGTACACGCCCAAGATCCCAGGGGAGACGGCCGAGGCACCCTCCCTCGCCAACGTGCGCTTTGACGTGCCCGACCCCTTCAGCACCGGGAGCCTGACGTACAGCACGACGGGGCAGGACCTGTTCGTCGCGCCCAGCGCCTACTGGCTCAACCGCCACAGCTGGGTGCACATCTTCCCCGAGGGCGGCGTGCACCAGCACGCGACGCGCAGCATGCGCTACTTCAAGTGGGGCATCGCCCGCCTCATCCTCGAGGCCGAGCCCATGCCCGACGTCGTGCCCATGTTCATCGACGGCACCTGCGACATGATGCCCGAGGACCGGACCTGGCCGCGCTTCGTGCCGCGGGCCGGCAAGCATGTGCGCGTGGCGTTCGGGGAGGCGGTGGACACCGAGAAGGTCTTTGGCGACCTGCGGACCAGGTGGCAGGGCCTCGTTGCGAAGTCGAGGAAGGCGGCGGCCGCTAAGCAGGAGAAAGGAGATGGCTCAGCTCAGGGGAAGGAGGTCATGCTCATCGGCGACTTGCCCGATGACCTAAAGTACAGCAAAGAGGCAGAGGAGATCAGGATAGAAGTCGCGCAACGAGTGAGGAACGAGGTGTTGAAGGTACGAAGAAGCCTAGGGTATCCCGAAGAGGATCCGAGGAACGCGCTGGCACAGACCTGGGCCAGAGACCCCAAAGATAAACCACACAGGAGTCCAGTTGATGGGAGCTTGGAAAATACGGTGTAGATATAAATGTATAACAGAGCATGGTGTCCTCTTATATCGAGGCATCTGTAATGATGATAAACCAGTAACAATAGACTTCGAAACCTCGGACTGTTATCCCGAGATGCGTGTACGTGGGTATTCTGAATTGACATGCAACATAACCAGCCCAATGAATGACCTAAACCTTGATATGATGATGGGCTAGAACCGCTTTATATCTTTGTAACCGCCCATTGATCCCACGCCAAATCCAAAACGCCGTCTTTTTTGAGCCCTCCTGTCCCATTTTTAAGTTGCCAGTTTCCCAAGTAAGTGCACTTCGCAGTGTCATGTCTCAAATGATGGAGTGTGTCAACAGCCCCTCTGCAACCTCCCTTTCTAGTTTATCTTGATGCGCCCGTAAGACCTCGGCCAGGGAGCGAGCATGCAGCATGCCCAGATCTCCCCAAATGGTATCCATGAGATCCAGAGCCCACTGCCAGATCTCTTTGGACACCCCTGGCGCACAGGCAGCTGTCTTCAGATGGAACACGATTGCTGGTACACCCACCGCTCCAGCACTCGGCCCTCCTTGGATCTGAACTTTGATCTGCTGTTCCTCGCTCAACCTCGGGTCTTTGTAATGACAGGGGGAGCTTTGGAGAATTTCCACTGCGAGACGGCCGATGTTGCTGATGAACTTCTCCTGCTGTGTGACGGAGACATACCCCAGACTTGACATCGGATACCGCTCCACAAACTCCAAGATCATTTGCTCGATCAGTATCCTTGCCCACCGGTAATGAGACCATGTCCTCGCAGTCCACATGTCCTCATAAACATGATACTTTCCACGGAAAATAGCCTCGGGTGGGAATCCCTCGACAGACTCGACCGTGACCTGCCATGTGCCGGTCCGCTCGGACTCCCACATTTCCATGTCCCTATCTATTTCCATGAGTTGCTTGATTACGTTGGCCGTGCTGTTGCGGCCATCGCTGAATGCGACCCCTCGAACATATGCCGACAGGTTGACAAATCGCGAAATCAAAAGAACGAGGTCAGATGCAGGCTGCTCGTCCGGGGTGCAGATCTCGTTGCTAGCTCGGCACCAATCGAAGAATGACGGTGGAAGATCCACACCGTTAACAACACATGGTATGAACTGAGAGCTTCTGTCAGAACGTGGCCGTCGGCAAAAAGTTCGGGATAGAAGAGCATACCAATGAGCAACATAACTGCAGCAAGCCCCTGATTCCTCTAGCTGGCGCGGTCCGCACCGGTAGACAACTCCTAATCAAAGCACCAGCACCGATGATATGTGCTCTGGCGCTGTGGGTGGATTCATGATTGCCCTTTACAACCTGAATGGCCGATCAGTTGTTTGTTTATGGCTATACGCTGTGTAACACAAGGGACAAGCAGACTTACCTCGAACAGAGCCAGCATCACCACAGAGCGCAAGGCTACTTCAAGATTTGGCCCGGGGGTTTGGATCAGTTTTCCAGTTTGTTGCAGTGCTTGGACATATTTGTGCCTCGCAACTCTCTTCATTTCCTCGTCGCCGTTTAGGTTGGAAAGGCCCGCCAGGCCAACAGCAGCCATGACATTTTGCACCGAGGGCTGAAAGAACCACACCTTCTCACTCAACTCAGTCGCAGTCTTGGGCTCATTCGGATAACCAAGTATGTAACGATCAACGTAGAACTTGATCCCTTGCTCGGTCAGGGTAGACTCAATGGGGGAGTACAGGGTCAGTGGCTGGACGATTTCATTGTCACGCCGCTGCAGAGGAGTCGCATTGACAGGGCTTTTCCTGTCAGTGGCCGATACGGGAGAAGAGGAAGAGGAGCCATATGACGAAGGGCTGTAGCGCTGCGAGGACGACGAGACGGATGAAAACGTTGGGGCAGAGGGAGCGGTTGGAGACTCGGACGTCTCTGGAATCCCCCAGGAGGCATGAGCCTTCTGCATCACCTTAGTGCTCTCATCCCTAAACATAAGCGAGAGCTGGTCCCGATATCCAGGGCATTTCTTGCTGGCTCGTATGCATTGTGAGCATTCTGGCCGAACTTTGTCACACTAATACAGCTCCAGTCAGTATCGCTAGGAAATTGGGATAAGCAGCCCAATCGAACGTCATTTCGAGAGATCATATTGCAAAGAAGAGGAATACATTTAAGCCTCGTATAAGGCGGAGTTGAACAAAAAAGAAGGAATTGGTAGGCAGAGGTAGGCTCTCAGTGCTGAAGTGATGGACGACGAGCATGCCCAATTGTGGCATGCTGTTCGCCTGCGTAGACAAATGACAAACGCACCTTGATTCGTCTTATTCGACAGCTCTGACAACCCTGGGACGCCTTCCCACAATAAACCATAGCTTCGTACCACTGGACCCAGTGAAACTAATGAGCTGAAGAGAGTAAAAGACGCTTTTCTGGTTTGACAGGACCCTTCTTCTGTGGTCACCACGCTGCTGGGGCCCGTACCGTAGCGGCGGGATGTGGAGGAAGGAGGAGGTCGAAAACGGAAAGCAATTCGTAGGTTGAGCGTCAGAAGGCCTAGAGAATGACGCGCCACATCACTATGGATGGATGGATGGATGGATGGATGGATGGATGGATGGCTGCACGCTGGTCCACTGAAAATAAAAAACCGCCTAGGTATGCAGCCGCTGCCTCCGGGCACTATATCTTCTGGCCGTGCGCACTCCTGGCAGAGGAGGGAGGCTGAGATCTCTACTCTTCTTTCTCGTTCTCGATGCGACTCTCAGCTGGCCGCCACGTGGAGAGAAGGAGACGCAGGATCGAAGACGAAATCGTTGAGACAAGACGCCTGGGCACTCGAGACGAGAGTGGCCGTAGTAGTTCCGCCGGAATTGGAGAGCAGACTAGGCCCCGGCGGAACTGCGTGGGTCCTTACTCTTTAAGAGACAGAGAGAGAGAGAGAGAGAAGCGGAGGTCGGCGTACCGAGAGGGAAATCTTCAATTATGACAGCGTGAGGAGACAGGAGACAGACACCTGAGGAGAGTCTGCGTTTGCAAGCTAACCCTTTCCTACCGACTCTTCATGCTGCTGTTGCTGGTGCTGTTGCTGGTGCCAAGTCCAGTCCTTTCCAGCACCCAATCCCACGATCGTCGTGCTCACCGTATTCGTACCTGTCGATGTGTGAGGCGGGTAATTATCGACTGAGTGAGTGCTGCTGCTGCTTGCTTGAGAGGAGCATCTCCAGAACATCTAATCTGTCTATCTTGCTACGAAAATGGGTGACGCGCCGACTTGAGGAAGCTTAAATCCGAGTTCCCGCTACCTATTACCAGTCACTCGCCTCTAGTCGCCAGCCAGCAGTGGGGATCCCAGACTTTCTCCTCAATGTCCCAGCTCAGTCAGTCACTAATCACGTCCGTCAATCATTTCCCTGCAGTCAGTCACTCACTCTGTCAAGTGTGAAACGGAACGAGCCGAGTTCTGAAGAGTCCAGGGCTACGCAGCATCTTGCATTTGTCAGATTTCCCAAATGCCATAGGGCTCGGCACAGCGGCAGCATTGTCTATCAACACCACTTCAGGGCCTTAGCTGCCTCGATTGGGAAACCCCTCGTCCTTGCATCAATAGGGCCATGTAGGCGTACGACCCGGGAGGCTGTAGAGTCGCGATCCGCCAGCATGATCAACCAAGCACAGCGCCGATCCCGCAGACGCTCGTCTCTGGTGGCTTGCGGTACTGTAGATGCTTGTACGCCCCGAGATAAACATGCTTTATGTTTTGCATGACCTCTATCTGTCTCTGTTTCTCTCTCGCGAGTCCGGGGAGAGCCAAAAATGCCACCAAGGGCAACTCTTTTCTCGAAGTGTCAAATCCCCCAACTTGATAACTTCATTGTTGCATTAGTCGGTGCTGTCCCGTCAGGGTCCTGTCTCCCCCGCAGGAGGCGGTCACCAATAGCATTCCTCTCTAGCACGCCGCCGCAAGCCGGCAAAGACCTGTAAGGCAGGTCATAAATGAGCATTCGTCACTCTCGGCCGATAACACGGCTCAGCGCCCAAACTCCTCGACCGCTACTTCAAGGCGTTGACCAGGGAGCCGTAGATAGGCTAACAGCCGCCACGGTACTCGAGCATAAGCCTCTCCCGTCATCAAAAGGAAACAAGATGTCAATTGAGCTCGCCGACCTGTCTTAAGTTGCCAGTGCTGTGGTATGTCGAGCCGATGTTGCAGCCTCAATTCGTGGATGAAGGAGCAGCCTCACTCGCTGATCTCCCGCGCTGTGTAAGTTGATCGCCGGCCTTGGGGGATACCAGGTAAGCAAGGGTCGGTATCGATTGCAACACAACAATGGCACGTACGCACGATGGTTTAAACGGTTAGATAGTTTCTTTCTCCGGACAGGGTCACTCCAGCGCTTCGAGTAAAGCCTGCTACAGTATGGAATAGCATGCCGGCACACATACCACCTGCCAAAGCATTCACTTCTCTCCACATCTAATCATTGACATTTACCAACATCATTTGATACAGGTCGCGAAGTGGATATAATTAGGTAGAAACAGATGATGAGAATCGGTTAAAGAAATTTCTATGCACGTTCGTGGATATCTTATCGAATGCTCCGTCCTCCGTCTAGAGCTCTAGGTTACCTCCCGTAGTAGCAAGTGTATAGTTGCCAGACAAGACGCCTTCCAACAAATAAGAAATCCGTTCTAAGCAAATAGGCCAAGCCAGCATATTGGCTGGTATTCCCAAGGGTATCCTCTTTAACACAGACAATGTCCGCCCCTGGATCTGTAGCACTTCGTGGGCTCAAATCAGAGCTTCGAATGCTAGCAAACATCTCTTATCGATGGCAATTTTGGTTCGACGTTGGTCAAGAGCCTTCTCAGTGCCAACTGCACCTTGTTTAATACAGGCTTCTACACCTCGTTTGAGCGCGTACCCATGGCGTATGCATCGGAAGAGCTGTCAGCGGAAGCCAGCTCTCGTCCCTCCTTCGGCTGGCGCCAGCCCATGTGGACGAAGCGTCCAGGGGGGCAGATGAGATAGATGATGACAACGAACAGGATCGGGACGGCATCGAAGACGTAGACGCTGAAAAAAATCCAGATTAGCACCGGTCTAAAACGGCCACAAGCGGCACCAGATACTTACTACCACTCATGCTTCTGGGTAGTTCCCGTCTTGCCCTCGGCAAAGTCAATCTCACGGTAGACGGATCGGACCTAGGCAGGTGAGTTAGCATTGCAGTAGCTTTCATAGCAGATCGCGAATTCCAGCATACCATGATCAAAAGGCAAGAGATGTTGACAACGTAGAGCATGCGCCGCCAATTGGGGTTGAACTTCTTCGTGCTACCAGGCATGGTCACGAATTTGCTGCCCTCCGCAGTCTGGACCTTCTGCTCGAGGATCTTCCTGAACTGCCTCGAGGTGAAATGGAATCGGGCGGCAATGATGGAGAACAGTCCGAAGGCGATAATCTGAAGAGTGACACCGACCATGGCAATGTCTCTGCCCCTGTGCAGCTTGTCCTTGGCGTTCTTGTCAGTTGGCGACGTTCCGGAGATCATGACGGCACCGATGAGCTGGAGCAGGAGCGCAACGACGTCGAAGCCGACAAAGATGGGAGTGATCCATCGAGCGGGCACCCAGAGGAACTTTGTGGTTCGGTGCTGCGATGGGACGACGAGGAATACGATTCTTCCGAACACGACATAGATGACACCGGCCATCAGAACAGGTGCCAAAACGACAAGACAGAATTGCGCGACGTAGAGGCTCTGGTTGGTAGGGTCGCCGGCGGACTTGACTCTTGCTCCGTAACCACTTGCCTCCACTGTTGTCTGTCAGGTCTTTATCCCTTGCAAGCGCTTTTACAATTCATGGCATGAAAATACATACTGGCAATGGCTGCCACCATAACGAACCATATCCATGATTTGTGCCTGATTGATAGGAAGATCGTGGCAAGACAGCCGACCGCGAAGAGACCAGCAACGGCTCCTGCGGCGGCCGTTGACGGCTCGTATAAGTAGTATGTTTTAATCTCCATACTCATCTTGACAGCTAGATTGAGAAATTTCCAAGTGAAGAAAATAAACAAATGGTGTGTGTTTCCAGAAGGGAAACCACAACCAGATATAATAAGAATGGGTTGGGTGTATTGGAAAGGGGTTAGAGATCAGATCAGATCAGACCCTAGTTGAACAGGAGATAAACAAAGGAGATAGGTATATATGTATGTAAAGATGGGCACGCCGACCAGTACGAACGACAGCCGACTAGACTGTGTCTCAAAATCGGCGGTCGCATCTTTTATCTACGGTGATCGAGGCCGGCGGCGTCATTGGGGAACCTTAAACGCCAGTGGGAATGCAGCCCAAATGGGACATCATCTCGTCTTTCGTACATCTGCACGAACACGGAATGGTGTACGGTGAGGACGGAGCCCCAGGTCGGCAGAGACCGACATTGCGCTGGTGGTGGCATATTACGCCAAGTCAACGAATGCCGGGGCGTCGTCCCCTAACACACTGCGCAGTCCTCGCATATACTCGCATGCCCTGCAGTGCGCCGGCCTGTTAAGCCTGAAGCAGGCCGACAAATAACCAGATCTTGCGCGGCCAGATTGGGCTGCGCCTCTCAGAGGTTACCGACTCATGGTGTGGCACAGGGCTGGATGCGCGAGTCGTGGGCTTTGGTTGAGGCTCCTTTAAACTTTGAACCACGGAAGTCGGTCGGTCGGGGGTGGTTCTCGCCGTCCAACCTCGTACGCTAAGCTGGATTCGGCCACCATGTCGCGGGCTGCCCCAGGAACCTGTCAAACGAGAGACAGACATGGCTGCATCCGTCACCCCAGAGGAACCTCAGGGGTCCTTCGGCCTCGAATGCCAGTGAGGCGGAGTACAAATGAAGACCAACGCCCTCAAGCTCTGGCTTACTTGATCCATCGGCGTTCTGGCCGGCTCTAGCCACCAATCTTCACCCCCAGCAACACATACCGGTGCTTCACGAGTAAGCAGTCGTCGGATTGTCGAAGAGGTTGTCGACACCGCCCGGGCCTGACATGCAAGTCGCGGAGCGGAGGATAGAACGCTTGTTTGTGACCACGGTTCATTGGGCATCCGTGTGAAAATAAGCCCCGGCTGACGTTCGAACCTCGGCTCGGCCCCGGCCTCCGACTTGTAAATGCTGGATATCCATATTACGGCTTCATGAGATGGTAGCTTGTACAACGGCAATGGCAGCCGTTACGCGGTAGTCAAGAGAACTGCTGTCCTGGTGCGGATATAGGTCGTAGTGGGCGGCGAAGAAAGTATTATCAGCGTACTTACAGCCTACACACTTCCGCCGCTGGCGGTCATAACCTTCAGGTTGTCAATAGTGAACACGGTACCCATTCGCGGCCTCGAAAGCTCGTTCATCCCCATCCCTTCAGCGGCCAACAAAAAATGACGGGGGTTTTTTTTTTGGTTGTGACTTCTAATGGGCTAGGATTATTAAATCGACAGAGGACGAGAGGGGAGAGCCTTTTTTGCAGCAAACACTCATATCAAGCTGGACAATGGTCTAGTATGTCTGCCAACAATCTAAGCAGCAGTAGTTTTTTGAAGTCCATGCGTTGTCCCCTCCATCGCAGTCCACAGTAGCTGCGATACTTCTCGAATTCTATTCCAATAATTACTTTCATCATTGGACAGGGCTATTCTATCCTGTCAAGACAAACATATGGCCATAGTTACCCAAAGGCTGTCGTCACTCGCTACATAAATCATCACAAAAAAAAGTGTCATCTATCCCTTGGTCACGTTTACTCGGATAGCTCCTCGATGCTTGCAGTCGAACTCAATATAAATTCGCCATTCATCTGCTCCACGACTTCATGTCGCCCTCGTACTCAGATAACACCATCCAGTTTCAGTTTCACTCCAATCGTCCAACATTCTCCGCCTAAAGTGGTATAGTAACTACTGTTCTTCTAGATTCTGCCCCCGGACTACGGCTCGCTCCCCTGACTCTAACCTATCCTTCCCGAAAAGTTGCAGGTATAGCTAAAATTATCCTGTAGCAATGGTCACTTGCCTCAAGATACGATCATTTTGCCTACTATTCAATACGAGTAATGAACACAGTTAGAGGATGTTGATACCTCTACTGGATACTGGACTAGTTGAAAGGTCTCTGCAGATTTTTTTCTTTTTTGGGCCATAATGCTATCCACCAAGTTTGATCAGCACATCTGGGAGATGATCTCATGGCTGTTAAAAATGTCCTTGAATGTTCAAGAGCACTTGCACCTACATATGAGGATCATTGGTGTTCATTGTTGCACTACGTAGTTTGCTTCAGAACCAAAACATTTGAAGCTTCTTGCCCAGACACTTCAAACAGGTTGCGAATACCATGCTATGGCATGGTGAGTAAGTAACGTTGGAAAGCCACATATCTCAAGCATTACATGCTTTTATGAATGCCCGAATTTTGGCCTTGCGTCACAAAATATATACGGAATATCTATCAAGAACAAGGCTATTATGTTGCAGCCAACCCAACTGTGAGACATCCCTGCTAGCCCAAGCAGTGATCTTATAATTGATGAATCAGAGAAGCTGCAGCAGTACCTCGTGCTCAAGAATACTTCATCTGATATAATGATTGACAAAGTTCTAGTGAACTTCTTCTTCTTCCTTATGCGATTGAAATCGTTTTTGATGAATGAAGCGCTGTAGAGGCAGTAGTTTGCTGTATTGTTACGAGAAATGTACTCTCTTCGGTAATTTTACGTGGTGAAATACATCATAACTATCAGCAGCGCAAGCATCGGTTTGTTGCCGAGTCTCCTAGCTTAGCTTGGCTGGGCTTCTGCACTTCCGACGAAAAACTCCACTCAACGCCAGAGCAATAATTGATTGTGAAATTCTATGACACTTTTTTCCCAGTTGCCGACACCATCGCCATCTCCTCATCTCCGCATAAGAGTTTTGCAACAGACGCCTCCACTTCATCAAACAGGACCATCATTACTGTTTGTTCTCCATCGATCTAATCATTTACCTCTCTCCATCCAACCCAATCCCCAGTCCATTTGTCGCGTTCTGTTGCGCCTCTTCCCTCAGCCGCGAACTCTTGCCGGAAGGTCACGCCTCCTCCACTTCCGTCCATAAATAGGTATAGTTACCCTTTGTCTCCATTGTGTCTCCTCGACAGTTCTAGAAGCTAAATAGTGTGTTTTTTCTATCAATTTAGATACTCTCTCACTCCTTATAATACGTCGTGTCCCGATCTACTGCCATCCGCGCCCGACCTAGCCCGAATCTCGATCCTCCCGTTACGATCGCCTCAACCACCACCACCATCATGGCAACTAACGGAAACACGAATCACCAGGGTCCCTCTGACCAGTACACAGCTTCATCCGCAGCGATAGAGACCTCTGGTGGTTCTAACCCGAACAGCAACCTGTCTAAGGATGAGGTTGGGTGGTACTTCGTCGAGCAATATTATACCACGCTAAGCAAGTCTCCGGAGAAGCTCCACGTGGGTCACGCAATGCACCAAAGAGAGGCTATGCGAAACTGATAGATGATACAGCTTTTCTACGGCAAGCGATCCCAGTTCGTCTACGGACTTGAAGCCGAAGTTGCCAACGTTTCCGTGGGCCGTCAGGTACGCTTTGGAGCTTGGCTAAGATAATTTGATCAATATACTAACATGTTATCTCATCAGGCCATTCAAGACCGCATCAAGCAGCTTGACTTCCAAGACTGCAAAGTCCGTATCTCCAACGTTGACTCCCAGGCCTCATTCGACAATATTGTCATCCAAGTGATCGGAGAGACGTCCAACAAGTCAGGGGAGCCAAAGAAGTTTGTCCAGACCTTTGTCCTTGCTCAACAACCTTCTGGTTACTTCGTCCTTAACGACATCCTGAGATACGTCAATGAGGAGAACGACGAGGAGCCGATCGACCCCGTTGCCCAGGATGCCCCAGTAGCTGAGAGCGAGATCGCCGAGAAAGCCCCAGTTTCCATCGAGGCCGAGGCTCCGAAGATCGAGGAAACAGAACAGGAGAAGCCTCTGGACCCTACTGTCGTTGACAAGAAGCTTGAGGAGGTTACCAAGGAAGCTCCCCCAAGCTTCACTGCCGAGACTCCTGCGGAGCCTGCTGCCGCAGCTGAGGAACCTTCCAGCAAGCCGGCGGCCGTTGACCCAGAGAAGGCTGTGCAGGAGGTGGCCGAGGAAGACACTAAGAAACCAGAGACTCCCAAGGACCCCAGCCCTACCCCTGTTGTCACCCGCCCTCCCGCGCCCGCTGCTACCGAGCCAGAGAAGCCGAAGGAGCCTGCCAAACCGATGACATGGGCGAGCCGGGCAGCCGCTGCGGCCGGAACCCCTCGTGCTATTGTCCCTCTCCCCAAGACCGCTACTCCTCCAGCCCAGCCGAAGCCAGCAACTCCCACAGCAGCTACACCTCAGACCAGCGCACCTGCTCAGCCTACAGAGTCAACACCTCCGTCCTCCAAGGAATCCGCTGGTGAGTGGCAGACTGCTGGTGCGGACTCCAAGCGACAGAACAGGCCTCAGTCCATCTCTGCACCGCCGCCGGAGAAGGAGGGCACAATGGGATATGTCAAATATGTCACGGAGAAGGTGAAGGCAGATGACCTCAAGGCTGCTTTGGCTAGCTACGGTGAACTCATCTATTTCGATATCAATCGCAGCAAGGTATGCGTCCCCTTCATGATCTCGCGCAAAATGCATAACTGACAGACATTCCGCAGAACTGCGCTTTCGTCGAGTTTGCCACGACTGCAGGTTATCAAGCTGCCGCCGCGGCTAGCCCGCACGTTGTGAATGGAGAAAACATCGTCGTCGAGCCCCGACGGCCAAAGGCGAGCGCATATGGCGGAGCTAACTACAATTCCGGAAGGGGCAGCATCTCTGGTGGACGTGGACGTGGTGGCTTTGAGGGTGGACGATCCGGCAGCCAAGGGGGCGGCCGGGGTGGCTTCACGGGCCAAAACCGTGGTCGGGGAGGCGGTGCACGTGGCCGTGGCACCTCTCAGGCGGCAAACGCCTAAGCAGGATTCCCGCCTCCGGGTCGGCAACAAATCATGGTGTGCTGGCCGGCATTCCACAGGTGGTCACATTGCCCCCTTTGGACAAACGGACGAAGGTAGAGAACCGAAAGAGGTGACTGACGACACTCGCTCATCCCATCATCCCTCCCGTGTGTTGCGTGTGTATGTGTGAGTGCAGCATACAGGCTTTGAAAAAGTTAAAGAGGATCTGGTTTTGGGGAGTTTTTCTTGGACGGATGGGTCTGATGATCTTGCTGAATCGGCGCACCGCATATATGTTGTTGCATGCCAAAAAAAGTACCAGTGATGAGAATTGCTTAAATGGGGAGAGGGGCTTGTACAGTTTCTGTATGATGCTGAGCAGTGTTGAGGAAGGACAGAAGGCCTATTGCATGAGTGGTAGTTGAGGTGTTTCATCCAAAAGGGGGGAGGAAAACACATGAGGGCTTAATTGTCATCTGTATAATACGGAGAGGATCTGGACATAGTACACCCTACCTGAACATCGGGAAGAGTAAGCTAAATATCAATCAGCGATGCAGAGTTGGTGAAAGACTGGATTCCGAAGACCAACACCGTGTTGTGCTGTACCCCAAAAGCTGAATAGAAGCACCTCCATGTGTGTAAACAACGGCTCTATTCCGCCTTCATCCGGGTAAGGTGACTTTACACCGTCTCCAACCCGAGCGCAGCGTCTTACAACACACCCCTTCTCAACTCAGTCTGCACTAATACTGGTTCCATACTACAATACCTGACCTGGACGGGAGCGGTTCCGACAGGAAGTGGTGGAGGTGCCTACTAGACTCAGCCAAGAACGCCATACAGGAAGTTCAGCAGGGTAATTAATATAGAAATGTGGACAAGATCGTGCACTTTTGTCGTTGAGGGATCCCATCAGCTTGGCGCAGTTCCTGCAGGCCGAGACTCTTGACAAGATTGATTCTCCTTCCCGAGACCACCAAGACACAAACGCCAGATCTGGGGGCGGCCCCAGGGTCTGTCTGATCAAACAAGCACGAAGCTTGATTCTCACGCCAAGTTGCCCAGCGGACCGAACAATGGCAAGCCACCTCCTGCCGCTTTGCCTCGGCGCCAAGCGTGATGCGGGAACACGCAGGCCAAGCAGTAGACAGCGCCATGGAAGTGAGATGGAAGACGGAGATTCATGCTGGGTCTCTGGCATCTATGTCCAGATTGGATTGGATCGCGATTTGTGATTGATTGCGCCGCCGATCAGCACGCACGCCATCAAGGTAGCAACATACTGCATATCATGGTGCAATAGCAAGCTTGCTTCATAGCTAAGAGTACAACAATAACAACAGCAATATGAATACGGTCGGGTAATTACTTCTGTACTTGCAGCGGGCGACATGCAGATGGCAAGTAGCGTGGTCTGCGTAGAGAACGTGCGGCGGCCGTGTGCAGTGAGTGTGTGCGAGGCAACCCAATATTGTCTTTTGCTCCTTCCCTTTAGGTCAGGCTGGTCCGAGGCCATCCAGGGAAGCCATTCGCTGAGGCGGAAGCTGCTTCCCACCCAGCAGCCCACTCCTGCCACTCGAGCCACTGTAGTGCCAGTTGCCAGAGCCAACCCCACAGCATCGTCAAACTCCTAGAGTCCATGGATTGCTTGTTGGAGGCCCAGACACGCCGATTCGATTCGAACAGGACAAACAGCCCGGCGGCGAGGCCACTCGGTTCAGGATGTTGCACCCGACAAGTCCGGCAGTGCAATGCTGCCAGTTGGTGAGGAGAGCCGGTGTCTTGCATCGACTGATTGACTGATTGCTTGACGGCTCTACATACCTATCAAGGTGTACCTTCGGAGGAGTGATCCATCGCCGATTCCCCTCTCATTGCTTCTTCTAAGCCATCCAGCTGATGTGTCCCTCCCCTAGAAGAGCTTTGGAAGCTTTCGACACTGCAGCCTCCACGTTGTTTGCTCTTCACGTGGCACAACAGGGGATGTTTCATGGCAGATGCATCGAAATCTCGCCTCGTTATAGGCTACTTTACGTGTGGCCGTTGGGTCTTAGGCGAACCAAAAGCACGCCGCCCGTAACAAGCTCAGGGCAAAGCACGCAGCTCGCAAGCAGGGCTCTAATTCTAGATGGATTCTTCAAACATAATAAGCACAACACCACTCGCCGAGAGGCTGCGACGGCCGAGGGCAGTCGTGGGTGTTGGACCACTCCCAGCGCCGTCTGCCCCTCCACAGGACACACAGCGCACGCCCTTCCGCAGGAATCAGTGCGTCTAGTGCGTCCACTATGGCTGTCGGATGTATGCCACCATCTGCAGTTGACCCGGCGCCATTTTCCAATCGTTTCCGCCCTCATCCACCTACCCGGAATGGCCTAGGCTGGAGTGCGTGATAGGCCATACCGCGCAAGCGTCTGGCCGGGGCACGAACATCTACGCGAGCTGTGCTAGGCTGCAAGAGGGGGGTGGCATCGCATAACCTAGGTTTGCCTGTCCAGATCCAAATTTTCCAATCGATATGGCCGCCGGCCGGCTATCTATCGCTAGGCCTCTCTTTGTGCCTGCTTGTTGGCCTGCTGGCTCGCTCGTTTGTTGTGTCTGGGCCATTAGGGTATCTTTTTATTAGTGAAGGTTTTATGGTGATCGGCCTCCTCGTTCGGCGTATAGTTCGCGACTTTGATGCTGCTATTCAGCCGTCCCGTTGTATCCGGAATCGTCTTCCCCCATCTGAACAAGGTGCCCCCGCTCACCCCCGTCCAATACCCCCGTCGGCCAACCCAAGCTTTAGGGTACGGGGCTGGCTCAAGCATTTGCTACCAAAAAGCCTCAACGACAGTGCGCTGTGGTGCGCTTGATCTGGCCAACAATATATTACCTGAAACGTCTTATTAGTCCCCAGCAGTACGTAAGACCTCTCGTGCTCATTCGCGGGCAGCTTCCTCTTTGCGCGCAGCGTGCCAGCGGTAGCCTTCGCCTTTACACAGCGCCCAGCATCCTCGCTACTCACATCTGCCCATGTAACATGTTGGTGTAGGTTGGTTGGTGGCCGGACTAGAGCGCCTCATCCAGGAACTGCATCCTTCTTTCATCTCTCCCGTGCGACCTTCTTCTCTTTTCCCAAACATAAGCTTTGATCTTCCCTCATCCAAGACTTTTGCCTTCTCCGCACTTTCTCCACCCCCGTTACGCCGGGAAGATATTCATGTACATGCATTGGACACGTCGTGGTCTGTTGTCTCAGTCTAGCTGACGTTGTCTGGTCCGTGTGCGAGCGAACTACTGCACTGGACTTGGACTGGAACTGGGCCCCGTCGAGAAGCTCGAGCCGTCTTAATCTAAAGTGCAGAAGGTCCGAGGAACCGGCAATACAGCGAGTGATCATGTAACGGCTGGCGCAACGGGAAGGAGGAAGAATACCACCCTAAGCCGACTCCACGCACTTTATCCTCTGGCTCTTGTCCCCTCTCTGGGCACCTCATATATTGCCCGCCCGCCCACTTCACCCCCATGGATCCTAATGGCCGCGTTTCACATGAAACGGCAGCCGAGTCGCCGCCACTCCGGCGGCGTCTGTCGATGGAAGAGGACTATTTCTACCAAGAAGTTATGACCCTTCGGCGGCCCTCGCAGCCGCCCCCCTACGAAAGTGCCGTCAGGAAGTCACTGTCTGCGGTAGCCAAGGGCAAGGCTGTTGCCCTGGAGGAAATCGGTGAGGATGAGGTTCTGCCGCCCTACTCATGTGATATTCATGTGGAGGGCGCGTTTCAGATGAAGATGGAGATTGAGGATGCCACCAAGCGAGCAGAGTACCGGAACTGGAACACCGTCTTCGTTGTCCTGCATGGGACGGCGCTCAACATTCACAAATGCAAGAAAGACTGGGGATGGGGGAAGTCGAGGAGTCTGCATGGACCAAACGTCTCGCCTGACAACCCGCCATGGCTCAAGAAGACTGAATTAGAGAAGAGCTACAGCCTGCTGCATGCTGACGTGGGGATTGCAGCTGACTATCACAAGTGCGTGCTTCTGGATATCTCTGATGCCATCTTCCAACGCTAAAGAAACTGACACATTTGTGAAGGCGACGCTATGTCATCCGAGTAAGGGCGGAAACAGATCAATTCCTGCTTTCATGCGTCGAACTGGCTAGTTTTGTCAAATGGCTGGAGGCTCTGTTCGCGGCAATCGATGTCGCAGTACCAATCGACGATCGAGACTTCCCTCGCGACCAGAGTATCCCTCGGATTCAAAGATTACGTTGGTTTCGTGGCCAGGATTCGGCTCCTGTCAACACCGAGTCTTTCCCACGCTTAACTAATCAACTGAGCGAGCAGCAAAGCAACGTGCCTCCAGCTGCTGCTGTAAAGAATCAGCCAGAGAATCAACCAGGATCAAACGCGCCGCCATTGGCCACCCCGGCGCCGATTGTGATGCCGCCTGACCCTGAGCCCGAAGCTGGACCGTCTAATCAAGTAGCCTCGAGAAGAGCAGACCCAATCGGACGATTATCAACGACATCGTATCCTAACGAAGCCATTGACGCCGAGACAGGAAAGTGGACACCCCGGCATCGGTGGACCGAAAGACATGACATGGTCTACGCCAAGCTCTGCTACTCGATCCTGCTATTCAAGAGTCCAAGAAAATCCAACTACATCATTATGAAGGGCAAACAGTGGTTCGTAGACTGGACCACAGGCACCATGCGGCGTGTCTTCCCCCCTGGCTACGAGGACCCGGATTACTTTTTCGGACCTTGGCAGATCATTCATACAGAGAACTCGCGGATATAACTCTTCCGGCCTCCCCCAAATCCCTCATCCTTCAGCATTATGTGGTTCTCGAAAATTATATTGCATTGGCATTCTTTCTTTTGTTTGCTCATTGGAGTGGCGTTGCTAGGGCATGGTTGCGTGTGCGCATTTGCATTTACAACGTGTGACGAACGGAATGCATGGAAAGCAAATGATACTCCGCATTCGTCGGAAAGGGCGGGAGAAGAGAAAGCATCTTCATTTTATACCGGGCTCAGGCCTCTTGGAGCGGAGCGAGTCGTCTATGATCTATGATGACTGTCATGTTATTTGTGTATATACCATTGAATAAATAAATAGGTATCCTCGTCGACGATTTCGTCGTCGGGGCCAACGCCTGTTGCGCCTTGTATCAGAAACGATGCAAATCACCCTACCCAACCGTGGCCTACCTAGCCATGTCGTGTCCGTATCGTCGTAGCCTTTTCCCATCATAACATATCACAGCTACTATTGCCCTCGGGTATCCTGTCACGAGTCCGCCATCTCGACCTCCACAGTCCTCGTCTCTTTCGCCAGATCCTCGACCACGCCGTCCAGCAGACCATTTGCACCATCTACATCCGCAAGCACTTTCTCCACCGCAGCTAGCAGTGTCTCTATCTCCGTGCGCTGTGCCTGGATCTCCTCAAACAGCCGCACGTTGTCCGCCTGCATATTCTGCAACTTTGCGTTGATCTGCGACTGCTGCGACGCTAGATGGGGTGCCAGATGCGCCGCGAGGATATCGTCGGCAGGCAACAGATGCGGCGGCGTGGGCGGCGCCGCCGTGGTCCCCGACTTCTCGTCTTTTCTCCGTCCCGCGTCACTGACCAGACTCTCGAGCTCGTTAAGCTTTGGGACAACATTGCGATTCTGTAGCACGAGATCGAACTCTTTCTGCATATGAAAGACCTCTGATCAGCCCTTGTCGTTTTGCTCAATATCTCAGGCCCGTCCGTGTCCAAGCCAATCCATTACTCACATTGCACAGCTCGCCTAACCGTTCCACCATCTGCTTCTGCACCTGCTTCAGCACGCCGGGCGCCTGCGCCGCGATGGTCGGGTAGCACGCGGCGAAGTTCTCGTAGCTGATCTTGTTGAGCGTATGCGACAGTGCCAGGTTGTACATCTCCTGGAAGCGGGCGGCGCGCGGACCCGGGGTGACTGCGGTGTGGCGCGCCGGCAGGGGCGGGGAGGCCGGCGCGTCTTGCGCGTCTTGCGCGGAAGGTTGTTGCTGCTGCTCTTCGGCAGCCATTTTGTGAATGTGGCCGTATCTCACGACGGCGGATTGGCGGGTGATTATCGTGGGTTGATGTCATGCGAGGAGTTCGCAATGTGCTGTTGAGTGAGCTTGGCAGGGTAGACGCAGTACACCGTAGAGGGGAAGACGCGCAGCGCGTTTTGCGGCGACTTTGTGGCTTGCAACCCCCACATTGCTGATCGTGGGGTACCTTAGATCCAGCCGCCGTGCAGGCCTGCTTGCCAAGCCGATCCTGCATATACTCTAGAAGCCTTGACAAGCTTCCAAATCTTCATCGTGTCTGCCTTTCCTGCCTTCAACGCCGACGTATTATCAAATCAGATGGTCCTTGTTCGATGGATCTCCCGGATTGACAGGACATCGGGCTCCATAGATTTCGAAAAGCGAACGAGTAGCTTGACCTTGGGTGTAGAGTACAGGAACTGCCAGACCAAAGTCGCCTAGAGTCGGTCGCCAAAAGGACTACATGAAGAACACGGGGAGAGGTGTAGATATCTATGTTGCGCAGTTCGCACGTGTCATTTATATATGGCAAGTTACCTATCTTCGACTCCTGGAAAATTGCCCACAAGCGAGTATCCTAAACGATAATGACAGCTGCAGGATGTTTTGCAAATCACATGTGAGGATAATCAAAACCTTGATCTCTTAATTTGCGTGAGGGCGGCTGTCAAGCCAGCCAACAACATGAAGATGCAATGCAAGGTGAGAATGACTTATAGAAAGAATTACCGGAGTTGGTTCATTCGTGGTTAAGAATATCAATCCTGCACTACACTGTCATCATAACCCTTAGCATACACGTATCCGCATTCTAACATCATTGAGAATGCTCGACATCCCTTTTCATCTCTCATACATGCAAGAAGAAGAAAGTCATCAGCAGAAGACTGCGGTCAGATCTCTACGGCCAATCTCCTGGCCAATCTCCCGGCCAAAATGCACCACGCTAAACTATCCTGAACGCCAAGCACAAGGTCCGTCGTGCTGAATGCAATCTCGAGAAGGAAACATAAGGATCACGCTTCTACGTAAAGTCCACGGTTCCAGCTGGTGGAGCATCTCTCCGTTCCAGTCGCCTCCTTCTTCTGCGTTCCGCCGCTGAAGCGGTCGGGTCGAATCGAGCACTCGGCGACGGGCTGGCACCGCTCCAAGTCCCGTGGCTACCAAGACTGGACACGGTGGCCCCCGCCGCCGGAGTAGACCCAGATGGACCAGGCTGTCCTGAGTAATACGCAGAATCCTTCGCTGGTCGCCGGCCGCCGGCGAATGCAGGAGCTGGCGGCGAAAGAGGTGCTAGACGTTCATCATCCGTCACGGCATGCTCTGCAGCCTCCTCCGCACGCCGTTGGCTAGAGTCCCTTCGGTAACGCCGACGGGTGGGAGAGTCTGTGCCTGACAGGCTACTAGCCGAATCGGCACGTCGTCTGCGATCCCTTCTTGCTGCCGCGGCCTCTTCTTCGGTCAATCGTCGCAAGGTGACGTTCCGATCCCTGTCATCATGGACCTTGACCTTTACGCTCACCGGTTGCGAAGGTGTGCGAGATCCTCCACGATCTGTTCGTCGGCGAGCCTCCTCTTCAGCGGCAAGCATACCGGCGGTGGCGGCCGCGGTTGCCGCTGCAGCTTCACCTTCTCTTCGTCGGCGTGATGAGTGTCGTCGATGCGGACGCCCACCAGAAGATGTGTACGCCTCGCTCCCCGACTCGTGGGCGAGGATACCTTGAGGATCGGGAGGCATTGGGGGCATCACCGCTGGTCCGACGTCGTGTCTTGACCGCGATCGAGACCTTGAGTGAGCACCACCAGCTGGTACAGGAATAACTCCCGGTGGCAGTGGTGCGCCTGGAGGATATCCTCCGGCGGGAAGAGGTGGCATGGGTGGTCCACTAAAGGCAGATGTTCCAGGGCGAGGCTCTATGAGAGATGAGCCTTCGCCTTCAGTCACACGGGATATCGATGTCCCTGTCTCCACTCGGCTAGGGACCGGTCTATGGATCCGGCGGCGTGACTCTCTACGTGTCGGCGTGGAGTATCCATCTCCAGTGAATCGAGATCCTCGGTGTCCCGACCGTCTCTCGTCTTCCTCTTCTCTCAACCTGTCATGTTCTCGTTGGTCTCGACGATCTTTCATTCTCTTTGCAAACCAGCCCAAGCCAAGACCCGCAAGTATCCCTTTGCCAACCCCACCGCTCGTCTCGCCGGACTTACCTCCCCTTCTCGAAGGACTGACGTACGAGGAGTAGTCCGATTCATCAACACTATCAATCCTCGAATCGCCCCTACGGTGGGAAGGCCGCGGCGTCATTGGCCTAGCGGCAGGACGCTCAGCTGCACTAATAGCTGCTGCCATCGCCGGTGGGCCACCTGGACCAGGGAGAAGGGGTGTTCTGCGACCATCCCGGTGGAATTCTTCACTCTCTTCGCTCACTTCACTGATGACAGGGTCATGTCGCCTGTGAGATCTTGAACGATGCCGTCTGCTAGGGGTATCGGTCTCGACGGCAGAATACTCTTCATCGTCCCGCCGACGCTGATTTCGCCGACCCATGAAGTTTGAAATTAGAGCGCCTGCACCAAGAGCAGCCCCGGCACCCAGGACCTTATTCATGAATCCGCCACTTTTCCGTGGTCTTTCTGAAAACTTCTCATCTTCAACATAACTCTCAGACCCACGCCTAGACGCAATCACCTCAGGCCCGCGGCTTCGGCTTCGATGACGAGACAGTGCTCTAGATCGACTTTGGCTCCTGTTCCTACTCCGAGATCTGTCGCGGTTTCGCCGGCCTCGAAGGAGAGCAAATGCGCCAGCACCGGCCGCCAAAGGACCCAACCAGCGCATCATGCCACCTCCCGACTTGCGCTCAGTACGCTCCGTGTATTCGGTGCGCCCAGCCTCTGATCTTCCACCGCGAATGACATAGTCGGGTCTGTCCCACGCGCGGTAGTCTAATATGAAGTAGAGGAGCACGAGGAACGCCATCCAGAGGGCGAAGAGAATAAAGGTGAACTTTGGAGAGCCATAAAGAGCTAGACCAAGAGGCACCTGAACGATACCTAGGATGGCGATGGCTCGTCCAGACCATTGGTGGATCATCACTCTCAACGAACGGCCCCTGATGTTCTTCACCAAACGTCCACCTACGACCTGCAGAAGGATCAACGTGTAAATTGCGACGCCAATTCCGTGATGAGGATTGCTCAGACTTCGTTTTGGGCCGACAGCAAAGAAGCCGAGCACGAAAACAACAGTCGATAAACCGACTGCTAGAATTTGGAGGTAGGCATGATATCGTATGGCAAACCCGGGCCGCCTCCTGTAGAAACGGGCCATCATGATGGCTATGGGTACAATGAAGAGGAATGTGATGACGGCAATGACACCGTGCGCCTTGACCAGGCTGTGATACTGGGTGAGTGTTGCAAATCGATTGCCCATGCCTGTGCAGTAAGTCAGCATTGTTAGTCGCAGAGGAGTCGTTGGGAACCGGAGGGGTCGGCATACCATTGTATCGCATAGTCTCAAAATTGAGGCCCACCAGGTTGGGTAGTAGGAAAGTGTTCTTGGTAAAGTCCCATGTTCCATCACCAACATTCATGGTGTCCGAGGAGTAGGACGCCGAGCCTGGCGGCGACAGAGTATCTGCCGGCGCCATCTTGGCGACGGGACTACCCTTTGGGCAGCAGCAGTATAGTGAGGGTCTTCAGGGAGTTTCGATGGAATGCGGGATGATGCTATACGGCACCGACAGACTGGATCGCACTGGAATGGAATGTGTCAAACTTGCAGTGACACACAATGGTATGGTGTTGTCGGGAATGAGACTCGAGCTCGCAGGACGTAAAGTAGCGGTATAAGACGGATGGCGGGGTAGCTCGGACAGCTGATATGGCTGTTTTCTTCTGGAATGCCTGCGTTTGGGGCGTTGTAGAGATATTGAAGCTATCGCAGGATATGACAACAACCAACAAGCAGTAGAAAAGAGAGTGTTACATGTCAAAGACACCTCATCGTGGAGAGGTGACCTTGGGGTGGACCCTTGGATGGGCTGTCAGGTCCTCAGCTCTCCCCGGTCCCAAATTTGTCGCTGAGCCACGCGTTGCGAGGGGTGACGGCTGATCGACCAGCACCTCGCACTAGGTAATAATGGCACCTCACATCCCTGCTTATCGTGCTATAGAAATATTATCACCACGTGATTCTTACTACATCAACTTCCAGGGTTCATCTCAGATGCTTAAACGAGGGTCAATGTTGAGGGCTGCTCGCTTGCGCTGGGTGGATTTTGAGAGTAATAAACCGTGAGGATCAATCAGCCCGTTTTCACATTGTTTATTACAATTGATAGTGTTTATTATCACACTGCTGTTCAAATGCTTTGCTTTGCTTTACTCTTTCGGCACCGAACGTCCAGTCATGCGTTTATAGTCTTACGCTTTGGTCATGGCACAAAATTTCAATACGGAAGTCGTAGGCATGTGTCATAATGCAATCATTTTATGATTCGGCAGGTCATACCACATGGGTAAGCAAACTATCAAAGCTCAGATACATAAGCAACCATCCTAGGTCACAAGGTTCCGTAAGGTCATCTCAATCATCAAGGTCGTTCCCCTTCACGCGAAATATCGAAACACGTACACCTGTTCCGCGACAGATGCGCAAGCAAACTTTTTCCAATGATAAACATCAGTCCCAGCCGTCATATCCTTCGTGGAAAGCACAAGGACCATGCGACAGCGCGAGAGAACTCAGGCGAGAAGTATCTCTCTCAACAAGCAAGAATAGTGAACATAGTGTGCCATGATGGTGATAGTAGACATAGAGGATCCCGGAAAGAGCGACTGCCATTGGTGTGCATAGCTGCAACAGCTCTGGAAGCCGGAAAGTCGAAAAAGCTCTCATCAAGCTGTGGGCCGGTCAGGTTGGCCATGACCAGCGGAGCTCAATGCCTTCTTGTACTCCAGGTCAGCAGTAGCGAGCAGGCGACGCAGATTCTCTCTAGCCAGTTTCCCAGCCTGTGCAGATCCTGTGCCAACAGCCAGATTCATGTAGTCGTGCTTGATCATGTCGCAGACCGCATCGATCTTGGTAAGCATCTTGTCGCGCAAGAAATCACACATTCTACCAAGGCTCTGCTCACAGGTCGAGAGAGCTGCGTGAAACATAGTGCCCTGGTTGTTGTTGACGGAGACCATCATTGCATCCTTGGCGCGCTTATAGCAGCCAACACCTAAGATCGACTGATTAACATACGAAGGGACGTGATTTCTAAATGTTTGTTACCTCTTTGCTCACTGGACTGGTGGTAGATACCACCCATTGCGCCCATGATCACGGGAGTGAACTCGCGGTTTGCTTCCTTCTGAGCACTCAGAACTGAATTCCAGAGACCTGTCATGTCGTTGTTGATGCTCTGCGAGTATGTGGCAATCTGCTCTCCGACCAGATCGAGACATATAGGGGAGGAACCTTTCTGGATCCCCGCACGGTTCGTCACGTTTCGGTGAAATTCATCCAAGGCGGCAGCGACCTCGATCTTATAACGTTCAAGAGCGCTGGGGCAGTTCTTGGTGAATGTTCGTTCCCAATCTGCAGCAATACTTGTCTTCAAGGGTTGAGCGAGCTCTGAAAATTATTCGTTAGTCGACAGTCACCCCCTATTTCCCACCGTGTATGACCCGATTTGCTCACCTTCATTGAAATTTCTAGGGCCGGCGCTGCCACAGAAGACGCCGCTACGATCTTGTTAGCATAAAGGGGACGAGAGGGGAGTGATTCACTTACTTTCGTCTGCAAGTTGCCTTGAAGGTCATCCAAGACATCCCACCTTGATCCTTGGGCGCGGTCCATCCTGAGACAGTTGCCGCAGCTTTGCTCTTTGCGGCACTCTCTGCGTGGAGGAAATGCGCAAATATGTGTTTCGTCAAGGAGTCTCGAAAGTTTGAGTCAGCCTTGTCGACAAGTACATTCAGTTCCTGTAAAAAGTTATTACCATTCCACTATATTGTGAACCCATTCTTTAGCTCTCGTACCTTGTTAAGACGAGCCAACAAAACCTCGATGGCTTTGGTCTCGCTCTTCTTTGCATCATCTGCGAGCTGGAGACTATCCTGGCCCACCATGATCCACATGGACAAGGAGTTGACAAGGCCTCTCACCTCGTTGAGAAAGATCTTGCTCGACTTGACCCGAGCCTCGATAGTGAGCTGCTTGGCATGCTCCACCAGCTGTGGAATTTCGGTGTCGCGTTCGTCTTCATATCCATGCACAGCACCATCCTTTTCAAGCCTTCCCTTCAGCTTGTGGAAGGCACGACTTGAGACACAAAACACGGGCAGTGATCCAGCAACATCATCGTAGTCTCTCTGATCATTGGTGGGATCAAAGTTTTGGTCATCAGCTGCCGCGGCCATCTCTTCATCGACCCTAGAATTTCATCAGTAAAGGGTCTTGCCTTAGGATACATTTTGCTTACTCTCGGATGCCTTGAGCAAATTGGTATTTGATACAGGGCTTGGCATAATCATTGCGTTCACGGATCATGCAAGCAGCGTGCCAACTCTCGATAGCGCGGAGCTCAGCCTTCAATTCACCGATTCTGGCATTCAGAGGCACAATGACGTGCCTTAGCTCCTTCTTCTTGTTCTTCAAGGCGCGTTTCTCCGACTTGAGCTGCTCGAGCTGCTCCTTAGCTTTCTCAATCGTTAAAAAGTGATGAGGCTCGTCATCGTCCTCGCCATCATCAGTGGAAGACGAAAAGCCGTCATCTCCACCTTGACCCATCTGATCATGAGTGCTCCCGCGGGTTTTCTTGCGATTGTTACTGGATGCACCTGACCTCTTGCGCTTCATGGGAGTGCTGACTTTTACAAGAATGCACCCATCGGCGCCTGGGTTTTTGATGCTGTCTTCCAATACATCGATATTCCTGTCAAGCTTCGTCAATGAAGATTTAATATCATCAAACGACTCCATCCGCGGTGTGTACTCGTCATCTCTGATCTGGAGTTCTTTCTGAATCTCATCTTTGCGGGTGAGAGCCTCTTCCATCTGACCCGACAGAGACAGATTGTCGATGGCTTCGGTAACTGAGATGTCATCGGTCTTTGAGCATATGAACGTCACATTGTTGTATGAGCCGTCCATCTGAAGCTGCCTCTTGAAGGAGTCTCCCAGCAGCTGCTGGGATGCCTTGTCGTCGACGGCTCGTGAGATTGGTGCCACGATCCACAGATTTGTGCACTCTTTCATGTAACTGTCAGCGACTGCTGCTCTCGCAGCGTTCGAGTCTTGAATTCCCGGCTAGATCAATCAGTGAATATACTTCTCATAAAGGATTGATTTTGACTCACAAGATCCACAAGAACAAGGCCGGTAGACAGAGCATCAGACTTGACGTAAACTCTCACGACTTTGATCAGCGGCCATAGCTCCATTTGGGCAGGTTTACTACTCTTCTTGTCGCGAAGCTTCTCCTTAGAGTCGACGTACTTCTGTAGCTTTTCGTAGAAGTGCTGCGGTGACTGGTCATTGACTGTCTTGATTGAGTCAAGATACCCAAGAACGGAGGGGTCGTTGGCCAACGCAGTAGGTGTTGACGAAGTGAGAATGTTGTTGGACTTTGCCAGTTGTGGGTATACTGCCATCAATTTGGCCTTGGCCACGACTGCAGCCGGGTCGGCGTGAGAAGATCCCTGGGCAGTATCGTCCTGAGAATCAGAAAGGTCGCCGAACAGAAGGCTCAGTTCCGCCACCCAGTCTTCTTTCGAGATAAACTCGATCTCGGCTCGGTAGGCTTGAGCTGGGTCGTCTGATTTATTGTATGACAGCTCGGTAATCACTGCCGTACAAGCTCGGACGCAATTTGTAGGTATAATGCGTTCCTCGTCGACGACAGCGTTGATGATGGAGCTCTTACCTGAGCCTGTGCTGCCAACAACGCCGACAACAGTGCGCTTTGTCTCGGCATGGTGCTGCATATCGCTGATAGAGTCTATCAGTCTCGCCACCGCAGTGCTGCTATGAGCTCCCTGAAGGGATGTGCGCAAAGAATCAAGCAGTTTGGAAGATATCTTGACGCCAGCTTCCAGTAGGTCAACTGACGTCTGGCTGGAGATGTCTCTCAAGCCCGCAAGACCGACGTCGCCATCGCCAGGGTGATTACCCTGTACACCCGTGGTTTCCATAGTTGTGTTAATTTAGGAGTAATAACGGGGAGGGAAAGTCTCTTGTGAGGAGGTTGCACCGGAGATGATACAATAGAGATGATGAGATGAGGGCAGTAGCGAGTGGTGGTTGATTCTGAAGAAAGCTTGGCTTCACTCGATGTCTCTGAACTGTCTCAGCTGAGAAAGGCGATGAAAGTTGCGAGCAGCTTCTCGATTCGCAAAGCACTGATTTACAAAGTAGTGCTGATTTGAGATAACCTTCAGACTCAGGTAGGCAGAAAGGGGGCAAAAACAACCACTGTGTGTGGTCAGTTGGTAGAATCAGCTGTTGAGGCTGGAAGGTGATGGGCGTAAACAGAGCGTCAGATCATAGGTCAGCTCTGACAGAAGCTCTTGCCTAAAATGTCCTTCTTGAGTACAAGGCAAGAGCGAGAAATAGTATGATCAGAAATTTGAGACAAGGATGAGTCGACACTAGAGTGGTGAAGTAGAGAAGTGTGAGAGGGCGGTTAGAGGTTGTGTACAGTCAAAGAACGTGCGGAAGGTAACAGAAGTTTCCAAATAAAAATGAGAATAGTGCTCAAAGCTTCCTAGGCAGCTGTCTTGGAAACGGAAGTTTCAGAACGACGTTATTTATCACTGGAATCATCAGGCAGCACATACGATAATACTTGTTTACTACCGTATTTGCCGGTCCGTTTCACCCAGTGAAGGCTTTGAATCATAACCGTTCATTTTCAGTGTGTTTCGTTGCTTAATATTTATTGGTAAATTTACATTTGTCAATCGACTATCTCCTGGACTTCTGGATCATCGCAGTGACATATCTGCCGCCGTGGTCTTCCAGCAGTAGTCCGGATACACTTTCCAAAGTGAGTGATGCCACTCCCAATATCCATATCAAATGTAGACATATTATTTCTTCCAACCTCTTCATGATAGTGATATCCTTCGCATGCTCTTCTATATTTCATATCATTGTGAAAACCGTCCACGTTACGTCTCTGAATAAACAGACAAGACACTGCTATAAACCAATTTGCAGAGTTAAAATTGCCCATGGCTGCCATCGCGAGCAAATGGCAGAAGTTGAAAATGATATGATCTGAGGTTTAACAGCTTGCAAGACGTCTGGAAAGAGCCTAAATAGCAGTTGTTCTTGCAATAACCTGCCAGAGCGTGTCAGCAACTGGTTGCTGAAGAAGTTGCTGCATTTTGTGAGTCTTCTCCAGCTGCGATAAGACGAAGATCATAAGTGAATAACGAGTCAATGAGAGAGTTGTATGGCACAGGACAAGAAAAACAATGCAGAAGGAACTGTACGAGGCTTCCAATGAAGCGACAAGCAGATCGGTGCCAACAGAAAGAATCGTCTCAGCTGGCGACATCTTGAAAAGAGGTCTAGGGAATTGCTATAATGTTGCTTTGCAAAGAAGCCAGCTTTTATAGGGCACTCACTTACACTCATTGCACCTTTCCAAAGAGATGGATACCCTGAGTGCCGCATATGAACCATCTGTCTACAAAGGCTATGAAATGTTGCCCCAATAATCTATATTTTTATATGTTCGGGTTCTAGTTTCAGTCTATGTAAGTCAATAGAGCACTGTCGGCCAATTGTTCAGCGCACAACGACCGCAGAATTTATCTGTGCACTATTCGATTCTATGAGCAAGGTTCTACGAGTTGAACCATAGATACCGTTATTACCAAGTAAAGAGCATACAAATATTTCCATTTTGAAGTTATAGAAAAGCTCCAGATTGTGCCCAGGTGTGTAAGAGCTGATGTTGACTGTCTTAGTCAACATCCGTCCTATAGCGCTGTTAGCCGCTCCACCAAAACGCTTCCTATGCAGTAGACAGGGCACCCCACGTACGTCTTCCTTCACTAAATTCTTCCCGCAACATCCACCACATCCAACGCCAGCATGCCGCGCGAAATCCCCCAAGAAGAAGAAGAAGACTACGCTTCCTCCGAGGACTCGGATTTCGCGCCTGATGAGGCCGCCGAGCGCGAACAGTCGGAGGCTTCTGAAGATGAAGAGGGCGCCGCCGAGAAGCCCGCGCCATCGGCGAAGAGGAAACGCGCTGCGGGCGATGACGAGGCAGAGGACGCCGGCTTCGAGAACTCCGGCGATGAGGCCATCATAGAAAAAGGCAAGAAGCGGCGGAAGAAGGGCAAAGCGGCCGAACGCGACGATGACGAGGGCGGGGAAGGCGGCTTGATTAAGACGCGCAGCATGCGCGCCGCTGCGTATGTCGCATTCTTTCAATAGCAGTGGGAGACTGGTTACTGACAGTCTGTCTTTAGAAAGGAGGAGAAGAAAGCGCGAGTAGTGAGCGGGCCGGTTACAGTCGATGTCGACGCGCTGTGGGCGCAGATGACTGCCGGCCCAGCAGTCCCTTCGACGACAGCCGGGCAAGAGAAGGCGGATGGCCAGGCCACTGCAGATGGCGAATCGGCAACGAAAGACCTCCCAGACACCGACCATGACAGACAGAATGGCGAGACAAGCAAGGACAAAGAGTCGGCCGAGATGATCAAGATCAAACGCACGTATAACTTCGCAGGCAAGGTGCACACAGAAGAAAAGATGGTTGCGCGGGACTCGGCAGAGGCAAAGCTTTATCTGGCTTCTCTAGGCGAAAATGTCGATCCTGAAGCGGATGATGCGCCGCAGAGGCGGATGCCGAAGAAGGCTTTCAGATCGGCATTTGAGCCCATCATAGACCAGCTGAACCAACGAACGGACCTGAACTTGGGCATGACTGTCAGGCTGAAGGCACGAGAGATGGCAAAGGAAGCGAAGAAGCTCAACGTGGTGGAGAAGAGCAAGATGGACTGGGCCGGCTTCGTGGACAAGGAGGGCATCAAGGACGAGTTGGCGCTGGCGGGCAAGTCAAAGGACTCGTATACGGCGCGCCAGGACTTCTTGGCTCGAAGCGAAGCAAGGAGAGAAGAGGATGCAAGAAGGGCCAGACTGGCTGGCAAAGTGTAAGATCATGGCTTTGCGCCTTGTATCAGTATTTCACGTTCCAAGTGGCGTTAAAAAAAGGCAATGGCTTAAGAGGACCCCAAGATACCCAAATATAACACAGATCATGTCCAGCAACCGCTTCCTCGGATTTTCCAATTATAGATTGATGTTCAAACATGCCCAGACTCATAACTTAGATCCAGCCTTTGGAGGCAGCAATGTAACATCCTGGTAAGGGAGGCCCAAAAATTCGTACACAAAATGAAATCTGGACAAAGTGTTAGCAGAGCCCGCCGAATGCGAACAACGATTCATACCTGTCACTTCCGAAGAATGGCTCGCCTTCCCCCTTGCTGTTCGTTACCCATATCCACGGTGCACCAAACGCGCCTCTATCCAAGGCTTCTTGTGTAGCTTTCTTGAGATTGTCTTTAGCTTCTTGCGACGATGCGGCTTCTACTATCTTCTTGACGTCTTCAGATGAGAAGACGGGCTTGCTAGTATCACCAGTGCCCTTGCCCCTGAAGCCGGTAGGCACTTCTGACAGACACTTGATGAACACGGGAGGCTGTGTGAGATTCAAGTTCGGCGGAGTCCAGAAGCAATGATAAAGATAGCCGAATACTGCCTCAAAGATGTCATTGGGATAGTTCCGCTTGATATAATGCAATGCTCGGAGTGGCTGCCCTGCTTTAGCATGGTCAGGAGGTATGATGACATCAAGGGGCTTACAAGGACAGTGTGGCTCATTGAGAACAGGTCGTCAGGGAACCCGAGGTCTGTCACTCCGGCCCTTTTGGCTGATCTTTGGCCATCATAAGTGCCATACTTTGCCTTCGCAGGCAGCATCCATGGTGGTTTATTTCCTTCGATGAGTTAGCTCATGAACGATCTCAATAAATCTTGCGGCGAGCAAGCTCACCAGAGCCGGCGTTGATTGCGCCCAAGAGGACAGGATGGAATCTGGTAGTTGTTTAGTATTAGGACCGGAAGATTGAGCCTGATACACAAACTTACTCTACTTTCACAGAGTGTGCATTCAGTAAATGTTCATTGTCAAGCAATTGAGTGAAGGCAAGGTAGCCGTAGAAAGATGCTGTAAATTGGTGGTTAGCAGCTTGCCCACCACAAAATCACAAGCGAATCAGGTACTCAACCTACCAAGATCAATGTAGCAATCAATTCGGCCGCCCATCTCGACTCCTGTATCCAGCTCTCAATTATAAATGAAGCTGTGTGACGTGATTACGAACAGGTATGATGACAAGTGTCTGGTCCATGAAATATCTAACTGTTGTTATCTCTTGATGATTACGGTAAGCTTGCCAAATGTGTTGTTGACTGTAGGTTGTCAATTAGCCTCGGCATCTGGACAGCAGCTAAGACACCCACTGACATCTAGCTCCTATGTAGTACAGCTAAAATGCGCTACCCCACACATCCCGAGGAACTTACAGATCACTAATCCAACCCCATACTTCGGCGAACGAGCTGAGACGGTATCATGGGACAGTCTATGTAATAAGCTGGCCGGCGTAGGATCTGTTTTCAAATGTTAATCGTGCTTTTTCAATGTGAAGATTAGAGGAGCGAGATGGCTGCACCAAAGAAGGTAGCTCTTGTCGTCGGAGCATCGAGAGGCATTGGTCGTCAGATCGCAATCGACCTTGCAAAGAGCGATTACAGAGGTATGAGAACTCAGAGTACCAATCCCGCATGATACGCATGTGCTAAAGTCGCAAAGTGGTCGTGGCTGCAAAGTCCACCAGCGATGCAGACAAGACAACGCCCTTTCCCCCTGACCCAAACTCCTCCAAATCCACAATAAGCACAGTGGAAAGGGAGATCAAAGACGCGGGTGGAGATGCTACGGCTATTGCCGTAGACACCAGGGACTTTGCCAGCGTCCAGCAGCTCATTGACAAGACCATCGAGGCAAGCTGTCCCGTCCCTCTTTCATAAAGCCACAAGCTAACAAGCAACTCTAGAAGTACGGCCGGCTTGATGTTGTCGTCTACAACTCCGGTGCCATTTGGTGGGCGTCAGTGGAGGATACACCCATGAAGCGCTTCCAGCTCATGCAGCGCGTAAATATAGAAGGGCTGTACGGAACCGTACAGGCGGCACTTCCACGTCTGAAGAAAGAAAAGACGGGCCGGATCATTGTAGTCAGTCCGCCCATCTACAGCCGTTTCTTCCGGGGCAAGACCGCCTACGCTATGGGCAAGGTTGGTATGAGCGTTTTGACCAAGGGCTTGGCCATGGACTTTGAGAGGCAGGGCCTCAAGAACATGGCCATCACGAGCATTTGGCCGGCTGTGGTACGTATCTCAACTCAGTATACTTGAATCAAGGTACCAACACATTTTCTCAGGCCATCGAGTCGGCAGCTACGGGGCAGTTCACCAGCAAGAACCCTGATGAGGCAAGAGACTTGCGAAAAGCCACAATATTCTCTGATGCTATTCTTGAAATGCTGAAAGCGCCTGCTTCGGTCGTCAATGGGAAGCTCGAGCTGGACGAAGACTTCCTCAGAGAGCACGCTGGTGTTACGGACTTTTCAAAGTACTCGGTCATTCCGGGATCTTCTCCACGACGGATAATGCCGGCGGAACTGCCAGACCTGACTGTAAAAGAGCAGGATGATGAAGGCAAGCGATATGAGAGTTCTCAAAAGGGCCCCAAGCTCTGAAGAAGGAAGCCAACGTCCTGGTCCTCTGTCGCTAGCTCATTCTACGGATTAGGCTTTTGATTAGACTTGGTATACTCGAAAAGCAGTGCTCTGGACGATGTAATAATGATAAGACTTCGTAAGAGTAGATGTAATGTACGATTTTCTGCTTTTCAATAGCACGCTGAACCTAGCGAAGAGTCTGGATGGAGGAAACCGACAAGGTTGTCAAGCATAGTTTCGCGGTGGTTACTACGGCCGTACGATAGGTTGATCAGATGACCTTAAGATGTGCCAAAGGTTATCGTGGATGTAGCACCTGATAGGGATGCCCAGGTTTCGGCCTCTTACAGTATTGGATGTTGCCTATTTACGCTCACTCCGTGGCAACAGCAATGCACAATCAGAAAATAGTAAGCCAAGCCGACGAAATCCCAGCAGCTCTCTTATGTCATAAAGTATATTACACGCTGGCTGCAACCATGGACGCATGAGAGAAGGCACATGGGTGTTCATGATGATCTAAAATATCACAAGGATAGTACAAATTTTTGGTAGCACGGACAGCCTTGGCCGACACCCAAGATCATCACCTGTATCCGTACTGTCCAGCATATGCAAAGTCGCGCTCCTCCTGGCTGGATTGGGCAAAGCCCTGCATCGCCTCGATATCCGCCATCGTCTCATTAAAGACCTTGATCAACTCTCCGAGAACCTTCATGCGGTTCCACTCACCCCTGGTATTCCAAATTTCATCCATCAGCTCACGGTTGATCTGTTCTAGTTGCTCGATCGTGCAGCCTGAGGTCCGCTCCGTCAAGTCGTTGAGGAAGTTCTGGACCTGTCCATCGTTCAGGACAACGAGGTGCTGGCTCGATGCCGACGATTCGCCCGACTGACGGATTGACGACGAATTCTCCGACACGGGATCATTCAATATGTTGGCCATGCTTGGTGCCTGTGACTTAGAAGCTCTTCTCTCCCCAGGAGCTTGCGATGAAGTCGGGCTGGTCTGACCACTACGTCCGGCTAGGTTCGGCTGTATATCTCCATGGAGTATACCATGCGCCTGTGAGTGCAACCAGTTACCGGAATCCGACTGGCTTGGGCCTGAGATGTCCATTGGTAACGTGTCGGGTAGCTGCGAATTACCATGCTCAACGCCATCGCTGTGGAATCCATTCGTGGCTTGCGTGCTCCAGTGCCCCGATGATGGGTTTGTAGAAGGATCTGAGGTCTTCGTTGTCGAAGCTTCATTGATCACTGCAGAGGGAGACACTCCAGGGGGAAGAGAGGTGAGCGCAGACACTTGGGAAATCTGAGTCGCGCCACCCATGGTCGCTTTGGCCGAATCAGTGGGTTTGTTCCAATGAGGTGGCCGCATCTGCGAGTTGGGCTGTGTGTCACCATCACCATTAGTCTCTTCTCCAGTGGGCCTTGACGGAACAGAGGTTCCATTGCTGAGATGATTTGAATCCGGTCCATTACCGTTCGAAAGAGGACTCATGACCTGGAACCGAGCTGCCGTGTTGACAGTCGGGACTGGCGCACCAACTCTGATAGGACCAACTTGGGAGTCGCTGTCCTGGCCGGTGCCAAGGTCCGATTGCACAATATCAACAATTGACTGCAAAGCAGACTTCTTCTTCGCTTTCTCTGCAGCTCTCTGAGCGCGTTCCTTCTGTCTCTCGAATAAGGCGTCCCAGATAGCGGCACCGCCTAGGTCATTTTCGACCTGCGCAATATCAACGTCCACATTGCTGATGAGCTCGTTGGCCTTGATAATGCGTTCTCGGTCGCCAGTGTTCTTGGCATCGTTCACCATTGCCTTGATATCCTTGTAGAAGTCCATTGGTCGGGCGTAGTAACCATTCGATAATCGCTCCTCGATAGTGACAATTTCTAGATTGTAGTAAAACTTGCCTGAAGCTGTTTCTCGCAGACCTTCGATTCCGTCTTTGTCTTTCGCAATCTCAAACGGACGAAGCTGGTTCTCCATGAGATCGGGTCGGACAAAGTTGGGATCCGCTTCATCAAACAGGTATTTGATCTGCTGATAGGGGATGACTGGTTGCCTAAAGGACCTGTACTTCCTCTTGATTTGATCCATGATGGGCTGCAGCCGCACCTTGAGGACATTTAACATTTGTCGATCTTTCTTGAGTTCAGCCTTAAGCTCGGCCTTGGACCGTGGCTTGGGTGGTGGGGGAGGCGCAATTGGCAGCTCTTCAAGCACTCTCTTCTTACGATGCGAAGGGTCTGGGAATTCGGCCGGGGTTTTCCTGATATGGGTGACGATATTGGTGAAGTATTCCAGACGGTTTTCCTGAAGCAAGGTCAGTTGGGACAGCCATGGGTGCACTGGAAAAGGATTCTTACTCTATTCGGACGGTTAATCTCTGTCCGGTTCTTCTTGGAGAAACCAAAGAAGTCCTTCACAACTTCTTGAGGAATGTCCTTTGCCTCGCATTCAGCAGTAGCAAGAAGCAGTACTGCATCAGTCGGCGGGATGGACCTGAGCATGGTGATGAAAGCAGTCACAGCAATACTTCCGACAGTCGCGCACCAAGCATCAATGTTGGGTATGTAGATGACGCTTGGTTTATGGCGCTTGACTTCTGTAAATAGACTTACAATGGCTTGTTCAAGAGGCTGTTAATTGTTAGCGATTGGTTTGCCATTGCAGGTTCCAAGCACTTACACGGCCATCTGAGAGCAAAATGGGCAAATCAAAATTTTGTACATGGACACCTTCGAGATGGTGAAGAATGGCGGAAGATAGGTATCCTTGTCCCATACCTGGCAAGCCGGTAATCAGCAGCCGTGGGCGGAAAACTCGAGCTCGTTCGAAGTCTTGTTGCATATTTTCTCGACCAAAGCCATGATCAGCATCGTCATGTGGCTCAAACATAGCTTCTTCAAGAGCAGTGATCTTCTTCTTGCGTGGGAGGACATCCTTCAAGATTTTCTCGATCGAGGAAAATTGGCTCCGCAAGAGTGGCTCGATAGGCTTCGGCAATGGTGCTGCACCTGAACCAGCCGAGCGTTCAGAAGACGGCACCATCTTCTTGATTGATATCATGAAATCTGTTGCATGAACAGTGATTTTGTCGGGGTTCACGATGAGCTTTTCTTTCGACGAGTAGATCTGGGGATAAGTTCTCTGGATTGCATTGAGTGCAGCCTCCGTGCAGAGAGCTCGAAGATCAGCACCTCCATAGCCCTTGGTATTCTCAGCAAGTCCGGTCTTGAACGAATCGGACAGACCCCACCCCTTGGTGTGGATGTCCAGGATGGAGCGACGGCCTTCAACGTCTGGAAGGGGGAAGTAGAACTCTCGGTCAAAACGACCAGGTCTCCGGAGCGCAGGATCAATGTTGTCAGGACGATTGGTTGCGCCAATGACTATGACTTGTCCTCGACCATCCATGCCATCCATTAAGGCAAGAAGGGTCGAGACAATTGATGCGTGGATCTGTTCTTGCTTACTAGACCGAACAGGAGCCAATCCATCAATTTCGTCGAAGAATATGATACTTGGTTGTGTCTTTCTGGCCTCCTCGAAGAGAAGTCGAAGTTGCTTCTCAGCTTCACCAACCCACTTGCTAAGTGCATCAGCACCCTTGCGCATGTAGAAGGTGATCTTACGCCCGCCAGCACCAATGGAATTTGAAAGAGCTCGGGCAAGCAAAGTCTTACCCGTTCCTGGAGGACCATGGAACAGAACGCCTCGAGGCGGTGTGACATGGAACTTAGCAAATAGCTCCGGATAGAGTAGAGGGAGTTGAACCATCTCCTTCAGTTGGTCAATATGACCTTGAAGACCGCCGACCTGGCTGAAGTCAACACTCATGTCGACTCCAAGTGGGTCTGCGTCTGCAAAGGCTTTTTGGTTCTTAATCTTGCCAACGTTCGGAGTGGCTCCAGCTCCAGTGATGGCCTCCAAGTTGAAAGGCTGCCCAGCGACTGGGAACGCACCAGGGGCTGTGCCAGCCGTTGGAGTCATGCCTAGAGTGCCTCCAAGACCGGCAGGACCCGGCCTAGGTCCCATTTCATCATCACTGCTATCAGACTCAACACCACCTGTCGCACCAGTACCCCAAGGCCCCCCAAGGATCGAGCCAAATCGTTCGGTTCCGCCAAAGGGGCCAAAGGTTGAGACAAGTGGTCGTTCCCAAGCTGTGTTGCCTCCGTTACGGCCCTTGCGGCGAGCAGGGGTGGCTGCAGGTTCATCATCGTCATCATCTTGCTCCACAACAAGCTGGTCTAGAGGCTTGATTGTGTAGTCAACAGGTGCAGTCCGTCTCCGTTTCGAAAGAGGCTCTTCGTAGACAATAGACGGCGACCGACGACGGCGTGCGCGAGAGCGCGAACTTCGTCGAAGCTCCTCTAACTCCTCGGCCATTTCATCTTTGTCTAACTCGATCTCCTCCTCGCCAGAATCTTCGCCGCGTCGCCTTTTCGTTCCCCGAAGCTTGGCTTGAGTTGCGCGACCGCGTCGAGGCTGGGGACTGGAATACTCGTCGTCGTCATCGTTGTTCTCAACACCCTTTTCAGAAGCCTCTCCATCTCCCGACTCATCACCCGGCTCAAAATCGCTACTAGGCTCTTGAGTACTCTTTTTCTGTTGACGTCCAGATCTGCGTGTGAGTCGTCGTGTCTTCGGGCCGCCGTTCTCAGATTCGTCATCTGCCTCCTCAACCTCAGCAGGAGCAGCGAAGCTTCCCCGTGTTCGTGTCGAACGACGCGTGATCGGGGCATCATCATCGTCCTCCTCCTCTTCGGCGGGTGCATTTTGCTGCAATTCATCTGCCTCAGCATCCTCCATTTCCACATCTTCATTCTCAGCTACGTCGCCCTCAACGACCTCTTCTTGAGCTACGTCCTCGGGCTCTACATTTTCTTCATTCTCGGCTTTGAGGACTTCAGCCGCGTCAGCCTGAGCACTGCTTTCTTGCGTCGCCTCTTCAATCGGAGTAGCAGCAGGCTTTTTCAAGCCTTTGCCGCCACGCGTGGCCCTAGCTGCACGTGCTGCCGCCTCCGGGCTCATGCTCTTGGAAGATCTAGCTGGCTGCGCATGTCTGCCACTCGTAGTGAGTTCGACGAGATCCTCCTCAGCTTCTTCGGTTCGCAGGCGTGTCATGCGACGTGTTGGGTTTGACGTGGGTGCCGGCTCCTTACCACCGCGTTTGGGACGCAGATTCTGAGGCTTTGTCTTCAGAATGATAATCTTGCTAGGACGCTGTGTCGACTTCTTCGGCAGATCTTCCAGATCATCGGCACCAGCATCAGAATCTTCAACTACGCTGTCATCACTGCTCTCCTTATAATTCTGGTGCTGAGCTGCAGCTTTCCTTGTTCTGCGACCTGCAGCATTTACAGGCGCATCCTCGTCCTCGTCCTCTTCCTCTTCCTCTTCGAAGGAGTCTTCCTGTTCACTATCGGAAAGTTCCTCGTCGTCATCAATATCAGACCCGTTATATCTTGCGTGTCTTCTGCGGGAGCTGGAGCTCTTGCTCTTGAATCCGCTGGATTTCTTTTTGGAGGAGCGCCGAGGTCTGGCTTCGGATGGGTCGAAGTTCTCGTCCTCAGAATCAGACTTGTTTGGATCGAAGTCCAAGATATCCCTCTTGCGCTTGACTGGCATTGTCGCGGTTGCACTTGATAGAGCTTGTGATGATGTCTTATGATGGGTGCAAGTTTCAGTCGTACATCAATTACTATGGATGGGCATGAGAACGGATCGCTAGCGACACAGTCGACAGGCGCAGAGGCAAGCTGTTGCTAATACAATGGTGTGTTAGCTATTGTGCTCGGGGTGAATGAATGCGTCGCAGAAAAAGGACCCAAAGGCGAATCTAAAGGGCTATGATGATGCGTCATATCAAGTTTAGGGCTGCGCTCACATTGTCTTCTGACGGCTGATGCGGTTGACGATGGCCAAGGTGGGTGTATTTGACGGGGGGCCCAGATGATTCCTAGATGGGGGAGAGCAAGGGTGGTCCAGCGAGAGACCAAAAAGTGGTGCCCCGATATTGACTCGTGCAATGAAAATGTCAAGTCGATGAGCCGAAGTGCTTTGTCGATGAAGCACCCGACTTTTTCGACAACCTTGACGAAGGCCGACGGATACTTGTTTGCGCGGACTGACAGTTTTGGGGGGAAAATCTGGGTGAAGGGCAAAACGTTCCGAAGGGGAGAGAGCAGAGAGTGTCAGCGGGCGCGTCCTTTCGCGGTGCGAGCCCACGGAAAAGTGGACTCAATGCACGTGCTCAACCAATCACGACGGCGGATCTAGCGATGGTCCGAGCTTCCCAGGCAGCACAACAGCTTGCAACTCCAAAAAATGAATCATCTTGGAAAACAATGACAATGGGTCGCGACACCCAAACACTTGTGAGGGTCATACATGTTCATCAACTGAAGTTGTCTACAATTGCTCTAATTGATGTCATATTACACTGCATGCATCTCATATATATGAAAAAGACCAATTGTGGTGTGTTATCGAGAAATGCCAGAGTCGCAGGTGCTATCACCAAAAGACAAACAGATTACTGAAAAGGGAAATGTGTAAAGCATCAATCTTGAAATTTCGTCATCTGCGTTCAAGGGGACCAGCTTCTCGGGACTCCACGTGGCGTGGTGCGGCTCAAGTGCGCGATGCGGGATGGAAGGCGGGAGGCGGGGAGGACAAAAGATCGGCCCCTTGGACTTGGACCAGCCCGGCCGACAGGTTCGGGGTCCAAAAAGGGAAACTGGATTGCACTGGCATGGCATTGCATTACATTTCACCTGGTTGGTCTGTGCCAGCAAGCAGTCTGGCGACATAGCCCGGGCAAGCAGGATGAAAAACGACGGTAAGCATGCTCCGACAAGCTTCCGTCGTCAACCCACCCGGTGACAGCCCCGTTGGCTCCGTTCTGTGCTCAATAGGTCTGCTAGAAATGTTTTCTTTGCAGTAGCTCTTAGGGTTCTGGCAAGATCCGATTATTTAGGTTGCTCTTTTGAAGACTGCTTGTAATTTTGCAACCTTCTTTTTGGTGTTGCAGATCTATAGTGTGGTCGGTACCTTTGGCAGCGTCTGATATCTGAGTCTTACTCAAACACCTAAGCTGGTGAGCAGGCCCAGCTCAACCCCCGCTTACACCACACATGCACTCCACTATTGTATGTCCTGATTCATCATGGTCTCGTCTCGTAAAATTCCATATGCCTACCTACCTCGTCTCTGTAATCTCATCTTTGGAAATACAAGTGGTAGTGCAAGCTTCGCCATGTGGTCTGTCCGCTCAGCCGACTTGGATATCCTCGTACGGGCTCCGATCTCCGACAGATACTGATTAAGCTGTTTCTGCTCCAGCTTCAAATCCTCCTTGAGATCCCATGTGTTCAGATCGAAGCTATCGAGAATGAGGGCAAAGGCGCAGCAGTGTGTCATTAGCAGGTCGATGTGGAACTTACGCATGACACCGTTCTCCGAGAACTTCCTGCGTATGTTCTCGATCACAACCTCGGGAGCAGGGGACAGCTCCTGCCTGAGTTTGTCCCTCTTTAGGATCTCCCTTGTCCCTCGCTCCCTACCTTGCTTCGTAGTTATCCAGAAGATCACGAGGAACAGCAGGTACCTCAAAACCCTCAGTCTCTGCACCGCATTGTCGTCCGTTCCTACTCTATTGATACGGTGTGCGACAAAGCGGGAGCGGACCTGTACCCCCTCGGCGTTCTTGATCGCCTCTTGCCAGTCTCTGACAGGGATGGCTTTCAACACTTCCTCGCCGATGATCTCCTCAGGGACGTAGACATCTTGGATCTCGTCTGCGTCGAAGTTGCCCTTGGGAATAGGTTTGGCAGCATCAACCACAGCTTGCAGCGCTTCCCTCGTCGGCACGCTTATTGTCGACTCTTTAATGGTCTCCATTAACGCGAGGTCTGCGGCTCCGAGCTTCTGCGGCGCAGGCTCGCTGCCGTCCGCGTTCCGTCTTGGTGCAATGGCGTTCTCCGTAATGGCCGCGATAGCCTTCTTCGCCTTCTTCGTACCGAAAGCCTGGCCGAGATCATTCCGCAAGTCGGTCGTGGTCTAGTGAAGCTTGTTAGAAACGTCGTTGACGATGGCCGTGCGAGCGATAGCTTCCTTACACTTGTAGCAGTCTTCTGTACCATCTCCTCTTCCGTAGCTTGCTTGGCTCGCACCACTCCCCGTATCACCATCTTCTTGGCCTCCACGACCTGCATCTTGCCAGTCTTTGGGTCGAATACGCCAATGTAGTGTTTTAGCAGGGCATCGGCACCTTTGCCCTCCCTTGCTGTGTAGTCCACCGTCGTGTGCGCTGACGAATGCAGCAGCATCTCACTGGGCGTAGCTGGTTCATTTTTTCGCTGTTTCGAGGGTTTTCGAGCTTTACTGTAGGAGTTGAAAGCGAGAGAATCGGGCAGACATAGTCCAGGAGAGGTTGCTGTCCATGTTTTAGCTCTTTGTTGACCGTAAATTCCAGAACTGGGAAAATTAACTTACCTATTATCGGGGGAGCGAACTGTGGTTTAACGATCGAGGAGATCTTGAACGAGGTAGGCTGCGGGCCTGCGGTGTCCCTAGACGTCTTCTTCTTCTTCTTCTTACTGAGTACCGAAGCGTCATCTGTGCGCCTGCGCTTCTTCGTGCTGTGTTCTGTCATGATTGCGGGACGAGTCTTCGCAATCACTTCATGGTTTGGCAGATGTCAACCTCGAAGTTGAGGCTTGGAGGCGGGTGTTCTGGGCCGCCCAAAATTTATTTTTTGGCCGGCATAGACCGACCACCCTAGCGAGTTTTTTGCCGTCCACCCACCCACACCAAGAATCTGCAGGCGGTCAAACCCCACCTCGAATGTTAAGAGCTTTGATTGCGGCCATGAGCTTTGAGCAGCCATTCATTGCATGTGTATAATGGCCTGGTCTCAATCGTACTAATTGTCTGTCGCGAGAAGGCAGATACGAGACATCTGGATCTCAATGTCAAGCCATTGAACATTCCGAACAGTAGTTAACCTCGTCATAGCCAGCAACACGGTGATATAAAGCGAATCTTCTGCACTACATGCAGTTACGTCACAATTGGAAGCATCACAGCGGGCAAGGGAAAATAACATGTCAGAAGCGAACTGCCGTTCATTTGTCATGTGTGATGCTAAGCTCCGTTTCTACCACATTCGGTGACCAGTTGGCTTCCAATGCCGTCCTGCAAACACAGTCCAGGTGGTCTCAACCTCGAACTTGTCGAGACAGCTCCCACTCCAATACGGCTCCATCAAATTGCCTGACTTGCGCGTCCTCAGAATTCCTAGCTTCACTTCCACTAAAACTTGGGTCCGGGAACCTCTAGAGATCCGATCCTTCCCAAACGAGGCAAGCGGTAGGTAATGCCGACAACACTGATGCGAGAGATTGCACTAGTCGGGTCTGGTGATTGCCATGATGGCGGCCAGCTTAGATGCTAGAGCTGATTGAGGTTGAGTGCTGGCGAAGTGTTTATTTGCTACAAACAGATTGTGGTCAGCTGGGATCTCGACTATGGCAATCAGGAGCATTAAACTTACGATCTAGCTCTCATCTTTCTTCTCTTGCGCTTAAGGCGGCGAACCCGCTTCTTTCTCCATTTGGCTCTCATCTTGAACGACTGCAGCAGCGTGGGGTTAGCTTCAAGAGCTCAATATAGCAGGACACGCGACATGGCGAGAACAACATGATGAAGGAAGTGCCGTAACAATCGATAATGCAAAAAACGTGCTATACAATTGATTCGGGGTAAACTGCCGGGAAGGGTGATGCGCTTACCTGTTCGTGGACGAGAAGTTGCTTGGTTGAGAGTTGAGATGTTGTGTGCAAGTTTTCACAGCAAGGCCCAAGGTTTTTGTAAGGCCGTGGGAGGAGGGCTAGGTCACCTGACGAGTTATGGAGCGTACCCCGCAGCCAACATCCAATCAGAAGCCATTTACGCCTTTTATTATGGGACCAGACATCCCATTGTGTCGACCCAAACGTCATCCACTGGAGCTCCAGGGCATTTTGGAGCTGATAGACTTTGCAGCCACCGCAGTGTAAGGCGACGGCTCGAAAGCTTACAGGCGCGAAGGGTTCTCTTCCCAGAGCTTTAGCGCTGCTCCAGTACCCTGACCGCAACGCGTCGAACGCGAACGTTAGGAGCAAATCTTGGACAGTCTTCTGTCGTACCTGCTGAGATGAGATCCGCAGTACACTTGAGGAGCTCGCATTGTATGGTAATCGAGTATTAACGAACTCAACGATGCAGGCGAAGACAACGTCTGACCAGGAAAGCCAGTCAGCCATGCTTCCACATGAATTGACCCTCATTCTCGCAGCCACCCGTGACATGGGCATTGGCTTGCGAGGAACCTTGCCCTGGACAGGGCTGAAGAAGGAGATGGCCTACTTCGCGCGCATTACAAAACGGCTTCCGCCTCAAGTGAGCGAACTAGAATTTTAAATATCCCAACGTCTTCATAGTGCTCATAAGGAACTAGGGAGAAGCCCCCGCAATGAACGCCGTGATCATGGGACGTAAGACTTGGGATAGTATTCCACCAAAGTTCCGGCCTCTTAAGGGACGACTGAACATCGTCATCAGTCGTTCATTCAACTCACCGCCTGAGGAGCCGGCCAGCCTTGAGACCGATCCCGTCAAAGCTTCCTCCCTGGAACAGGCCATTTCCTATGTTAACAGCAATGGCCATGTTGGGAGGATCTTCGTTATTGGCGGCGCGCAGATCTACGCCGCTGCACTGGAGATGAAGGAGGCACGGAGAATAATGCTGACCAAGGTCATCTCCGACTTCGAGTGCGACACGCACTTCTCCTTAGCATTGAAAGATGACACAGAGACCGCCGGCTGGACCAAGAGATCGAAAGCAGAGCTAGATGCATGGGCAGGAGAAACTGTACCAGAAGGTGTTCAGGTTGAAAATGACACTTCATATGAGTTCCAGATGTGGGAGAGGACAAATTAATATAATACAGAATTGCAACCCTGATCCCTCTATCATGCACCTTATATCTATTTTGAACACCATCATACAGATGCCGCTTCTGCCATGTACCCAACAGATATGATACAGATTAGTTGAGTTTAATACATACCTCTTCACGAGGTGGATCTGTTAGTGGCTGGTGCAGGAGTCTTGTCACCCAGCAGACCATCCAGCAATTTCGATGGACGATCGACAAGCGTCAGCTCTGACTTGACCGGCCACTTGAATACGCTGGCTCCATGATACAGCAGTGCCGGGTCCTGCATCTGATCTAAGTTCTTGAGACATAGCCTCATCCAGCTCACAATAGCCGCCAAGGACCGTAAATCGACATCCTCGCTTGCCCTGAATATGTTCCTCCACACAGCTGCGGCTAGAACAGCATCGCCCTTAGCTAAGCCCTCATCGTAGGCTAAAACATTGCCCCTCCATGTAGTGAAGAGATCTTTAAGATATCTCTGTCTGATTGATCTCGAGTAGACATTGTGAACGAGATCCATCTTCTCTTCCGCGTCATTGAAAAAGTGGTTCACCAATTGTTGCTGCCACTGTTGGTATGTCTCTCTGTCCAAGCATCGTAATCGCACGACAATCAGGTACATATGCAGCATGGTCACTTGCGACCATGTGCTAAAAGTCGGGAGGAGCTTAAAATCTAAGTTCTATCAGCGCAGGTCCAGCGAAACGTTCGAAGGTCATGAGGTACAGTGCATACCCTCGTGCCATATGCCACCTCCAACACCAATCTCTTCGCCACTTTCTAATGTAGAGACGGTACCATTCCTCCTATCCTCTTTCGATATTGTGTATGCCGCTGGCTCAGCGCAGGCCTTGTAGATAGACTCGGTCGCGCCAAAGATCTGGTATGGTTGTGTGGTTCTTCGCATGGCACCGCCAATCGCATCCTTCAGCTTCGATCCCCATGAATCAGCCGCTTCATCGTTCCTGTAAGTCGGCGACTGATGTAAATGCCTTCTGGGTACTTTCGCAGCCTCGAAGGCGATCCGATAGCTGGGCGCCGTCGCGCTCGTCCGGAAGTGCAGGTCACCCAGCGGCCGAAGTTGCCGCCCCAGGTCGCGACACGGCCTGCATACACGGCACGCCATTGTGAAAAGCGTTTGTAGGGCGGACGATTGATCCGACGCCTAGGAACACTGTCACAATGTGGTTCGTCCTGCAAGTCAAGAGGCAGTCATGACATCTTAGATTGCCGAATCCCCCAAATTTTTTGGAGCAACGCGCTAGACACGTGATGGCCCTATGTCTATGTCAATGCATCACCACCCAAACCTTGTAATTCGAAGAATATGCGCCTAATAGCCTTTATTTATATCACTTTAGTTCTTTTGAGACAAATCAACTGAGATTGGCTAAGTATTGCTTTTACATTATTTCTATTTTACATGTGAGTGAAGTCTCCCTACCTTGGCTTCCGCCGAATCCTTTAATCACTTTTTAGGGGGTATAGCGGCTGATATCTCTTGACTCCGATAATGTACATTGTTGATAATAGTTTCTTGATGTCTAAATTACTTGAATTTTGAAAATACCAGACTTGCATTAGTACCGCCAAACCCAAAGCTGTTTGAAATTGCCACGTTCACATTCTTTTCCTGTGAATGTAGTGGAACGAAGTTGAAATCAGTGCCAACGTTCGGATTCTGTAAATTGAGGGTCGGTGGGACCACGTCCTACACATTGTGAGCTTAGTACAGTCCTTCAAGAAGCATGAGATGCCTCAGTGCATGTTCTTACCTCTGAAATCGCCAGTATTGAGAACACAGCTTCGATCGCACCAGCAGCCCCCAGTAAGTGGCCAATCGCACCCTTGGTGCCACTCACAGTGACTTGCGATTGGTCTGTGACCCCGTCCTCGCCTAGCATGAGGCTTCCGATCGCCTTGGCCTCCGCAGCGTCCCCAACGGCGGTACTGGTTGCATGCGCGTTGATATAATCGACTTGGCGAGGCTTGATTTGGGCATTCTTCAGCGCTCGTTTCATAGCAAGGAATGCCCCTGAGCCGTCTTCTCGAGGGGCCGTCATATGGTGGGCATCGCCGCTGCAACCATAGCCTTTCAACTCGGCAAGGATGTTGGCACCGCGCGACTTTGCATGCTCGAGTTCTTCCAGAACAACGACTGCTGCCCCCTCGCCCACCACAAACCCATTGCGATCCTTGTCAAATGGACGGCAACTGGCACTAGGATCATGGTTGAAGTCTGTAGATAATGATCTGGACCTCCCGAAACCCGCAAAAGTCAAGGGGTGTATACAAGATTCTGAACCGCCCGCCACCATCACATCGGCATCGCCAAAGGCGATAAATCGTGATGCATCTCCAATAGAGTGTGCGCCAGTGGTACAAGCAGTTGTGGCCGCATGATTAGGACCCTGAAAACCGTACTTCATAGAAATATGGCCAGCGGCCATATTTATGAGGATCTTGGGTACGAATAAAGGAGAGACTTTTTTATAACCCTACCTATGATCTTAGCTCACTCCCGTTGACTTGGATGGTGGCACACGGCCAAGCTCACGTCTTTGTCAAAGGCCAAACTGGTGGAATACATCTCGTCCAGATTTCCTATGCCGCTCCCAAGACACACCCCTGTTGCCTCGAGGTGGGCGGGGTTGGTGGGCTTCCAGCCGGCATGCTCTAGGGCCATCTCGGTAGCTGCAATGGCATACTGCGTAAACTTGGACATCCTTCGCTGTTCTGTAGCATCTATCCAGTTTGAGGGCTGCCAGACCCCTTCACCCGAGCCACTCGAGGGGACAACCCCGGCCACGGTGCTGGTCAAGCCTTTCCATTGACTCCGAGGCTCGATGCTCGTGATACTGACGATGCCAGACTGGCCTGCCAGGAGGCGTTGCCACGAACGACGGACGCCAACCCCAAGAGGGGTGATGGCGCCGAGGCCCGTCACAACAACTCTTCGCATGATGCTTCCATGTCCAGGGTGCTGTACTTATCGATCAGTCTGCACCGCGCCACACAGCCATGGATGTTAGTAAAAGTTGGGAGCATGAAAGAGGGTGAGAGGTTGATGTTAGAAATCGCAAATCGTCATAATGCGCTAGGCCGTTCCAGGAATAGCACTCTTGTCAGCCGCTCCAGGGGTCCTCCAAGAGCCTGGACTTTCCGATCAAGTCAGTGTAACAGGGGGCTCCAGCTCTCGGGTCGCTGCAGGCGAGGTGGACTAATACGGAAATATCCAGTCGATGCTGGACAAAGACAACCCAACGCCACGTCTCCTCCCTATTGTCCTTTGCCCCGACCAGGAGTGAGTGAACTTCCTGGATCTCCATCATTTGCGACAGAAAGCTTTCTTCACAAACACCTCGCATAGACGTGAATGATTCAAAGAGCCACATCAAGTTCTTCCTTGCAAGTGTTTACGGCATCGGAACGTGGGGGCACAGGGCATTGGAACGCTAGGATCCCTCAACACTAGAGGTCCTTATCGATAGTGGCCAGGCCACGCACGACACCCCTTCACTGTGGTGTTTCAGGTGCAACGTCCATGAGGCTCGACATCGAGTACTCTACTCATTCGCAAAGCTCAACCTTGGCAGAGAGTGACTGAGCTGTCGATTCTGGTATATTCAGAGTTGCATCCAGTGTGCCGGGCTGACTGGAATCCTGCAACACGTGGCCCCATCTCGGCGCTGCAGAACCACAGATGTATTGCTGCACCCTCATCTTCATCCCATCTCCGATTATCCAAGATCGCTAGTCGTGCCATTGAGCACTGCCGCATGTTGGTTTCAGCGTTGCAGATATTGTTTCTGTATCTCATCGGTCAATTAAACGCCAGCCTTACCTCTGGAACAGTCCTTGAGCTCCGCTCATCCCAGCGCTTCCGCCAGCCGCCCATGCATTGATTCTCACGGCTCAGACTCGGCAACCTTGTCTTCCTTGATACACCATAGCTTCATGCCTTTCGACTCTCACCACCAGTTACCCGAAGCAGAACATCCCTTATCGCCTATTCTTGTTCCAAGAACCTGATTGAACGAAACCCCAACCCCAAATTGAAGTCCTGAGTTGGTGATCTTCCAACCCCTACTTTGTGATCCCTGTCACTAGTGCTCAAATCACACCTTGGTGGCGCTTTCTAAGGCTTTGAGGCGCGGAAGAGACTTCACGCCGCCTGTGGAACGATTATCCCACGGGAGGCTATTCTACCCGGACTTTTGGGATATTCCATCTCTTGCTTCATATGCGTCTGGGATCGACAGACTTGGCTCTAGTCTGCCCACCCTCCTGGACCGCTCGGTTGGACACTTAGATAGCCCCTTATATAGCACCCACTTGCATGCTCATGTCAATCTTTGGGGTCGTCGGATCGTTGATCGTTCTCCGTTGCATCGGGCTCAACGTTCAACATGGATACACCACCCAGCGAGAAGTTGTCTGGCACGACTTCCCGAGTCCGGATCGCAGACGATGATCGGGACTGGGACCCAAAGATTGACGCGGAGGCAAGTGGGCTGGAGGCTACCCCAGGTCACGCAGTGTCACGGTTCGATGACCCGGTTCCGTCCGGACGTCGTCTGAGTCCTGTGGAAGACCTGAAGAGGCGCCTCTCAGAATGGGGTGAGTCTAGTGTCCATCGAGGTCTTGATGAGGAAGAGGAAGGATCAGAATACGAACTTCTCTTAGATCCCAACCTACCGGATGAATACAGCAGTCGGCTACAGAGCTTCGACCGCGATTCGGCCAGCTTCGACGACGAGGTGGCGTTAAAGCGCACGGAAGAAGGAGAGGACTCACCGTACCCCGAGGTTCGAGCAGCCGTCCGCAACTATGACGAAGACGTGCCTTGTAATACTGTGAGGGCTTGGACGATTGGCTTGGTGCTTGTCTGCGTCGGTGCTTCTATGAACACTCTGTTCTCTCTTCGATCCCCTTCGATTGGTCTTGGTGCTTTGATTGCTCAGATCATCGCGTGGCCAATAGGACATGGGTGGGCTAGGATTATGCCAAAGAGGAGGTTCAACTTCTTCGGTTTGAGATGGTCGCTAAACCCAGGGCCCTTCAACATCAAGGAGCATTCCATCATCGTAGTGATGGCCAGCGTGTCCTTCTCGGTGGCATATGCTACTGACATCATACTCGCCCAGAAGGTTTTTTACAAGCAGGATTTTGGTATCCCATTTCAGCTCATGTTGACAATATCAACTCAGTCACTTGGATATGGAATTGCTGGCATAATGAGGAAGTTTCTCGGTAAGATACGTTACCTCAAAGTGTCGACACTCGACTAATCCATTCAAGTCTACCCGGCTGCGATGATCTGGCCAGGTAACTTGGTTTCCGTAACTCTGATGAACGCCATGTACGAGAACAATGAAAGGCCAGACCCCACAGTACTCGGTGGTAACATGCCACGATATCGCTGGTTCGGTCTCGTCACTTTGGGTGCATTTGTATACTACTTCATCCCTGGTTTCTTGGCTCAATTTCTCAGTGTCTTTGCTTTTGCGACTTGGATCGCTCCAAATAATCCGGTCGTAAACCAGCTGTTTGGTGGCACGACTGGACTGTCAATTTTGCCAATCACATTTGACTGGACTCAGATTGCTGGCTTCGTGGGCTCTCCGCTGATCCCGCCTTGGTAAGGCAGCTCTGCTCAACAATAACCGGCTTTACTAACCATGTTTAGGCATGCTATCGCCAACACTCTTATCGGTGTTGTAACATTCTTCATTATAGGATGCTCCGTTTTCCACTATTCTGGTGCCTGGTACGCCCAGTTCTTGCCTATGAGCGATTCTGGCACATATGACAATACAGGAGCACGATACAATACCTCGAGAATTCTCACTCCGGACTTCACGCTGAATGAGGAGGAGTATCATAAATACTCTCCATTGTTCATCAGCACGACGTTTGCCATGTCGTATGGTCTCTCATTCGCTGCTATTACATCCTTGATCGTCTACACCTATCTTCATCATGGTAAGACCATTTGGAGGCAGTACAAGAACAGCACGAATGAGCAGCCAGATATACACATGAAGTTGATGAAGAAATATCCCGAAGCTCCAACATGGTGGTACATGACGCTTTTCATCCTCGTGAGTTTCTCCTTGTTCTGGGATAAGAGACATACGCTCATGGATCAACAACTAGGTTCTTGCCCTTGGATTCATTACAGTCCTCGCTTATCCGACCAACTTGGCTTGGTGGAGCTTTCTTTTAGCAGTCGGGATCTCGTTCTTCTTCGCAATCCCGATTGGCATCATACAAGCTATTACCAGTGAGTAGACGTTAAAATGGGCATTGAATATCGCACTAACTTTAGCAGATAATCAAATCGGTCTAAATGTGCTGACGGAGTTCATTTACGGTTACATTCAACCAGGAAGGCCGTTGGCTCTTATGCTGTGAGTTTGCCCTGACCGCCACAAAATGATATAATGATCTCATTCCAACAAACAGCTTCAAAACTTACGGATATATCACGATGTCTCAAGCTTTAAACTTCGTTTCGGACCTCAAATTCGGGCATTATATGAAGATACCCCCAAGGACTATGTTTATGTCTCAAGTCGTGGCCACGACATTGTCATGTTTCATCCAAATTGCGGTTCTCAACGCTGCTTTGGGAAGCATCCCTGAGGTTTGCGAAGTGACACAACGCGAACACTTCACGTGCCCCGGAGGGCGAGTTTTCTTTGCTGGTGAGTCAAAACCAGCAGTACCAAGTTCTTTGGTAGTTCTCGTACTGATGAAAGCCAGCATCCGTAATCTGGGGGCTCATTGGGCCGGCCAAAATGTTCTCACCTGGTCAGATCTACGCAGGTCTGCTCCTGTTCTTCATTCTTGGTGCCATCGTTCCGGTCATAATCTACTTCGCCGCAAAGAAGTGGCCAAAGTCTCCCATTAAATTTTTGATAGCCCCTGTCATCTTCGGCGGTGCGGGTCTCATACCTCCCGCATCTCCGTTGAATTACCTATCATGGGGAATTGTCGGCTTCGTCTTCCAGTACCTCATCCGCAATCGTTACTTCGGATGGTGGAGCCGCCTGAACTTCCTTACGTCCTCCGGTCTAGACTTGGGACTTGCACTGAGCACGCTTGTCATATTTTTCGCATTTACACTGAACAGTATAGACCCGCCTAGCTGGTGGGGCAACGATGTCGTCCTATCGACGATGGACTTTCAGGATACTGCTGTCCAGGCGGCTGTAGAGCCTGGCAAGATATTTGGTCCGGCGTCATGGTAGACAAGGGTTTTATGACTCGAGACATTGTCGAGGGGATCGGCAAATTGTCGGTTGGGCTGGAGTTTGGTGATGTCTGACTATGCTCATCATATGTCATGTACGAGAAGTACTGGGTTTCTGGTAGAGTCCTCATTCTGGATCCTTCATGTAATGCTGCCTGTACATGTAACTATATATATACAACATTTGGCGAACCTTGATATTGTCGCATCCCCCTCCTGGCGTTTCTATTGGGTGTCGGGGACCGCCACAATATGTTGGCCCTGTCAGTCACTGCAGGTGCATATGCGGAGTACAGGATGTCGAACGCCAATTGAGGCCCGACAAACATGGGCTGCCTCGATCCCATCTCATCGTATCGGAGACATGGGGCTCTCAGGAAGGTGTCGTGGAGGCTCAGTGTGATTGTCATACATGACTAATAGACCTGCGTTGGCCGATTAGGACAATCAAGGAACATCCATAGCTGTTCAAGAGGCTAGTGTCACCGTTGGTTCGTTGCGGGAGGGCTAACGTTAGATAGTTTCTAGTTGCTTAAGGAACTGACTCTCTCTTAAGCATGTTTTCAGCATAGACAACATCGCGATTCATACGCATGCATAAGTAGGCCAGCCCCCAAATACCATTCTCTCTGGCCTCTTCTCTTACACTATCTTTCGAAGTAAACTATTCGTGTCTTGCATGTCCAACTTTCAGCTGGTCAAAATCGACACATCAGCCCCGATCAATCAAGAGACTCTGGCCACGTCGACCCGACCGGACAAACTTGGGGGTTTTCTGATCCTCCCAGGCTAACGCACGTCATCCATGCGAATGATCCCCCCTTCGTATTGACCGATGTGCCATCATTCATTCCTCATCCCAGCGACACCAGCTGGGATTCCGCCTTTCTGACTGATGCAGTCAGCCACTTCTCGAAGGCAACGTGGAAGACCCATACTCCGCTGGTCTGGATCACATTGCTTTTTTAGGGTCGCACAAGGGCCCTGTTTTTTGCCTGCAGGAAGCCACACCCGTTGCCGTTGGGCAGGCACAAGAGCAGCACGTCAGACCCTGATTTTCCGACTTTTGTTGACTGTCTCTTGACTCGCCTGTCACCTTTTATTGTTTCTTTCACACCCACTCACTCTTGAGCTATCAGTTTTTGGGTCCAGTCGCTGCCCTCCCAAGTCCACAATCCTTCGCTTGTTTGTACCCTAGTCCCTCGGCGAGGGCTGCGTCTCGCGTCTGTAGCTCGGCCGAGTGGAGGCTATGATGCGCGCCTGCTCTAGCGTTGTTCGAGTGTCTTCCTTTTGCTCATTGCTTCAGAGTACAAGCAGGCATTTCTTTTTTGTGTTTCTCCTGACTCTCTTCTATATGCTCGGAGGCTGCATTGGGCCTCCGGATGTTGCATCCGGCGAAGCGCTTTCGTTTCGCTTGCTTGCCGGCTGCACGGAGGACCACCTCGCTATGCAGATTGATGGGCGCCCCGACCACCGGGTCCAAGGATCCCCGTCCGAGAGGGGCCGCTGAAACGCCTTGCGCCGCCGTACTACGGCTGCGCGCGTGTAGGCATCCCTTGGCCGGGTCAGCCCACAATTTGAATCGACGCCATAGAGAAACTGTACGCTACTGCGCTTCCTAGCACCCGTCCCTCTTTCAGTGGCCCGTGGCAGGGGGCCAGGACCATGCCACACGCTAGTTGCGCCCGTCTTGCTGTTTCTGTCTCTCCGAACACCTTTTCATTCTTACTTCTGGGCCTTTCTGTGACGGATTGGCCGGGACCGGCGAATTAGGGCCCGAAGTGAGCCTGCTGACGAGGGTAAGATGATAGCCACGGGTTCCCACTGGCGGTCTGTCTGACTTGCTTGGCCTCGTATCGCGCAGCTATTTCTGCGATTTGGCAAATCGCAGGCCATTGACATAAAAGAATCTCCGGATATAAGTATTCTGTTTCTGATAGGCGGACTGCAATGCGTCACAAGAGCGGCATAGTGTCGTAGGTACCCGTTGTGCTGTTGGGTGTCTGCCGTCTTCTTTTGTGCCCCGACTCAGGTCTTTCGCTGCGACTTGCCGTTGAAGAGCTACCCTCGGGGCATCATTGCATGAAGGAGGATCCCTAGAGTCCATAAAGCCCGCTTGGGCCTCACCACCTTGCTTAGGAGTGTGTCCTGAGTCCTTCTCTCTTCTCATACTTTCCCTCTTATTCCTCTGGTCTCCGAAAATGGGATTCGGAAAACAACCAAACGGTCGACCAGCTGCGCCATCAGGGGTGACAACAGGATCCTCAACGCCCGAATATGACCCGACATTCACGGGCCGGGTCATTGCAGCCACAGGGCCAAAAGCGCAGCCTCGCCTAGCTCAGATAATGCCGAGTCTCATTCGGCATCTGCATGACTTCGCCAGAGAGGTGGACCTGACCATTGATGAGTGGATGGCGGGCATTGAGCTGGTATGAGCTCCGTCTCTTAGCTTCGTTGTCAACGATGGAAGGGCCCGTGCTCTGACAATAACTTTGTTCTAGATCAATGAGTGTGGTCGGAAGTCCGATGATAAGCGCAATGAGACCGGACTGTTGTGTGATATTCTTGGGCTTGAGTCGCTCTCTGACGAGATCACCTCCAAGCTATTAGCAAGCTCTGATGGTGTAACGCCGTCTGCCATCCTTGGCCCATTCTACCGGGAGAATGCACCAATTCTGCCCAATGGGAGCTCCATAGTAACAGTCCATGAATCATGGGCAGAAGCAGCGGCACGAGACTCAGCCTTCATCACGGGTCGCGTGTTCTCTGGCTCGAAGAAGCCGATATCTGGTGCAATCGTCGATGTCTGGCTATCGGCTCCCAATGGGTTATACGAGCAGCAGGATGATGCACAGGCCGAGATGAATCTCCGTGGTCGCTTTCAGACCGGTGGCGATGGGCGATACAGCCTGTACGCCTTGCGACCGACGCCATATCCCATTCCGAGTGACGGACCAGCAGGCCGTTTCTTGCAGCTGCTAGACCGGCACCCGTATCGCCCGGCCCACATCCATTTTATCGTTTCGGCTCCCGGCTTCCGGACACTCACGACGCAGGTCTTCGATAGTCGTGACAAGTACATCACGACAGACTCCGTATTTGCGGTCAAGGAGGAATTGGTTGTCGACTTTGTGCCTCGAGAAGGAGACGAGCACGCCAAATGGACCTTGGAGTACGACTTTGTTCTTGGGGAAGACTTATGAAGTTAGACTCGGGGCCTCGGGGCCACATTATCAGCATCCCTGGCGTCGCAATGCTAGAAGTACCATGAGTTTTAGGGACTTGCAGCTCTACATCAACCAGCCCACCTGCATGATCCCGCACTGGAAATCTAGATTACTGTCAGATTCATAGACCGCATAATAGCATATTTGAACATAATGACATACTTTTTCATTCACCTATGTGTACACATATTCCCCGCTCATGGCGTACCCCATCACCATTTACAAAAAAAACCATTGCCCCTGGCCCATTTCCATCAGAAGGTATCTTCCTTTTTGTCCTCGTGAAATCCGTTTTAACCCATTTGAACACTATTAATATGTCGATGTCGACCAGAATCGTTCCTCCGATCAATGAAATGAGAGGGGGTATAGTGGAACGCTAGCATTGAGACCATCACCCGGCTGGCTGTTCGGGGCGGGCGGCACAGGGTAACCTCCGTAGCTCCCTCGATGGCCATGACTTTGACTCGGGACTAAGGGCGGAACTTGGTGGCTCACCGACACGCCAAGCCCTGTCTGCCCATGGGTGCTTGCCTGCATGCTCCAGCCTTGCCAGAGGGTCTCGAATTCGAATTCGGCTTCCGCTGCCGGCTCATCTCGGTCTTGTGGGTGAACAACACCCGGAAAAGATTGAGGGACTGCTGTGGTAGTCGTTGGTGACACTGTCGCCGAGGTGTAGCTTCTTGTTGCCGCAGGATCTGCCGAGGTAAGTGAGTTTTCTCGAGATGTTTGGGTCCTGTGAGATTGCAGAGTCGAGCTTCGTGAGGGTTGATCCAAGAAAAAGCCGCCCGCTGATTCAAGTATACTAGCAGCCGCTGTGCTGGGCCGTGTCATAGATTCTATCCTTTCATCCAATGGCTGAGGAGCGACCTTTGAGACAACATCCCGAAATGTTGTCAGAATATAGATCAGCCGTGATGCTTGAGGATCACTTTCTGCGCAATATCTCATGATAGATACTGCTTGACTGATATGGATGCTATAAGTAGGATACTTGTGAAGTGATGCAAACTCATTGCTGAGGATGACAAGAGCAGCTGCAAATAAGAAGTGTCTATGGCCCATGATAAGCTTTCGATCTTGTCAATTCAACAATTCGAGGCTTGCGCTTACATGATGAAGGGGTTGCGCTGCGGCAGGTATCTGGACTCAAATCCCATCTGCACTAGCGCAATTGTTTGGTATGAAGCTTTGACACATGCTTCTGAGAACTTTTCCATACGTGAGCCAATCCGCGGTGATTGGCGGGCTACTCCTGTCCGTTCTCGCCAGGACCTGTTGATCGAGTAGAGAAAGAACGGACGAGTCAAGAGGATTACAGCGTGGCAATAGAGCAGATTGACATGCAGTATCGCGATTCCATGGGCTGTCGACACCAGTTTATTAGCTGCAGCTTGCCGCCAATATAAAGTAGGGTGCTCTTTCTGCGGTCCTTCTTTATGCTGGTCAAATATGTCTTGAGCAAGTTTAGTCGAGATTTTTCTTTTGGCATATATTTTCTTGAGCATTATGCCAATGAATTGGCAACTCCTTACTGCTGCATCGAGAGCTCCGGATTGTGCTGTATCTGCGTCTGGACCGCCGTAAGTATCAGGCGGCCGGAGCACATCTGGAGAACAGTCCTCTTCCGATATAGCGGTAGGTCTACCAAGGGACGCGGCTAAGAACCGGTCTAAGACGTATAAACTTCGCCAGACATTGCGTCGGAGGGCACGCTCTGCCATGTTGAAAATCACCATTGTCTCATGTCTGTGGAGACCGAGAGCAAAAGCAGATCTGACCGCCATACCTGTTGAACTAAATGAATACGAGTGAGCTCTCGTAGTTGTGGGCTGACATACCGTAATATGCGTAGGCCGCATTGCGCTTCGTCCTTGATAGCATATACACGGCCATGAGCAACAGCGCCTGGACGGACCAGAAGTCCGCGTCTTCAAATCCACTGACAGGATCGCCTAGAGACTTTGCACTCCTGTAAAACAGCTCTGCACGATCAATGTCGCCTGAGCTGAGGCGTCGGATGACTTGATCCTCAGGGCTACCCGGCATGGGCGTTGCCAGAACTAACCCAATAGCAAAGGTCAGGTTAAGCAAGCAGAGAAATGTGGTATCTGCAGATAGAGGATCTAGATAGCACGAATCCATCTGCGAGATGAACGAATTCTTGTTGAAAATCTCTATCAAACCGCTCGTCTAAATTTGATTAGCCATTTTACGAACAATTGGGGATCTGATGAATATAGTACGTTGGTGAAATATGACTCTACAAGTACATTGGCTGTCTGGCGGTCTGGAAGGATAGTTGATGGTTTTATGTGGGTAGGAAGCGAGACTGTGGCCTCCATGAGTCGATGTCGATTTGGGTCTTGGGTGAAAGGGGAGGGCCCGTTCAGGCTTTCAACCACCATGCGTATAAATTGCAAATACGACAGGGTCGCTGAATCGCCAAGATAAACTGTTCTCATGTTAGCCTAGCTACGTAAATCGAGTTTCGTGAGACTGCAGTTGCTAACGTGGCAACGTAAAACCGTAGTATCGCAGTTTTGATTTTGCATGGCAGATTTGGTTAAATCGGAATGAGTGCGATGCTTCTAGGGAGAAAAAAGAACGTGAACTCACGTAGCCGTCCAGTGGGATCTTGCAACATTCTGGTCTCGGTGTAAACCTCTGCCTCTTCATCACCTCCACTGGTAGTGCTCCGTCTGGATATGGTTTCAAGGTCATGGTCGGATATCACCCGTCGATGTTGTGGAGTCGGGCCAAAGGTTGCTCTCCTTGGTTCGGCTTTAATTGATGTCACCGAGTTGGGCTGAGTAGACGGAGTCGGAACCGGGACTGGTGTGCCAACATCGATGCTTGACCTCTTCGACTTGATATTCGGTTCTGGTATGTCTTGAGGAACCCCTGGCTGTCCCAAAGCCACCGGTGATACGTGCCGTGCCCTCTTGGGAGGGGAGCCCGCCGACTCGGAGCCGGGTTGAGGTTCAACTCTAGTGTCATATTCGCAGATCAAGCTCCTTTTCGTACATGTATTACATGGTTTCAAGCCATTGCACTGTGTAATGTCAGTTGATTCAGAATCATGCCTTTGAGAAAGACTAGTATTGGGATTAGGTGATCAACGGGTGTACCCGAAGGCATGGTAGGAGACTACCTGAATAAGGCACGAAATCAGGTCTAACCCGTTGAGTGATCATTGCGTATGTAGATATCCGTGATTCGAAGCGGGCGGCTGCAGCGGCGACACATGAAGCCTTCAATGCTACGACCCAATGGCACTGTTTACTACTTCCCCGTATGAACACATATGACTAGGGTGCTGTAGATACTGTCTACAACCCTTGAGGTATTATCATGTGGACGAGTCGGGTTGAATACCGGTGCAATGTGGTCAGTGCAAAAAGCTGCTTGGAGATAACAGCTTGCGCATGTGAACAAAACACAGGGCACTTCAGAAGTGCTCTCGCCACACAGGACAGAGCAACGTCGACACGCTACAGCATGACAAGAGGGAGGCGGATATGAGATTGAACGTTGGAGGAAGGGAAGTGCTTACTTTTTGTTTACGACGTTTACATGATTCACACGCCTGGGCAGTTCGTTGCCGTTTGTCGTCAGGCACCTTTGGGCGCGTCATGACGGGGAGCAGAGTCGCTCAAGTGAGAGTAGGGGCCACATCCAACACCATCGGTCCGTAGCGACGTTCGTCGGGACCCTGAGGTGAGCTTGGCTATCGGGTGCTGACCCCAGAACCGATGCAGCTCAATCGGGACCAGACTGAGTGCTCGAGGTCAGGGTAGGTCGAAAAGTGATCAGTCGGTGTCGGATACACAGACACAGGCCCTCACACAGGTACGGTATAGTGGCGAGTCTAGAGAGCTAATGTACGGTAAGGTTGGCAAGGTTGGTGAGATAGCGTGGTTAGGACAGGAGAGGTACCTACTTACCTCTGGGCGTGTCGGAAGTGGCCCTGTCAGATGCCCAACAACAGCGATGGGGCTTCTTCACGATGCGGGCTGGGTGGGGTTCCCTCGACTCCCTCAATTGTGACGATTGGGGGAGGCAAAGGAAGGCAAAGACGCGCAAGATGTGAGGCAGGTAATCAATGCTTGGGCGCAGCAAAAGTTACTTCATCATCACACGACGGGCGCTCTATGCTAGGGGAACCTTGGAACTGTTGATTTGTGATTAGGATATTAAGTAGCCGATTGATTGGTGGGAGGTTGTTGATAGTGAGCCGTAATAGCTAGATAGTGATAGCGCTGGAGATGATTGTTCAGTGTGCTGGTGCGGAGAAGTGTCCAGGCGGTGGATGTACCTACTCAGCACAGCACTTGATGTGGCGCGCATAGAGTAAGTGAGATGCTTGTGTGTTGATTGTTGTTTCGTTAGGTTGATTGAAGGTGAAGAGTCGTCGGATATGGGACTGGACTGGACTGGACTAAGGTGAGGTCGATGGGGAAATATAGATGGGTAAGCTCGTAAGTTAGGCTAAGGTAGGAACAGCTTTAGCTTACCTAGCTCCAGGTAAGGAAGGTTCAAGCTCCAGTCTCTCGCATGCGCTCCCTCGCGACTGCCCTAAATAATTAATGGTCATTATTTTATTGCCTCCTCTTCGTATGCGGCGAAGACGGCCGCTCCTTCCAGCAAAGCACATATACATAAATGCATATGGTAGCATGGAAAGTACCTGCGAGGCATATGTGTAGGTTGATAGATACCTAACTAGGCAAAGTAATAAACCCTTTCCTCCCTCCTCCTTCTCCTCTTCTTCTTTCATCATCTCGTTCTATCTCTCGCTCTCTGCCACCCCAGCATGATGCTACCTACCTATCCTTACCTGCATACCTGCCCGCAGTCGCGATTGGCAATCTAACTCAACACGGCCAGGCAGAATGGAGCACGCAAGGCTCGGCCTGTAGTGCATCCTCGTCCAAGAGATCCCCAGCGAGCCGAGGAATAGCAGAGGTGATTGACATGACAAGGGTCGTCGACTAGGCCGCCGTAAAGGCCCAGGCTGCACTGTGGCGCGCCCATAGCGCCGGTCTATCAAGCCAGAGCTATTCAGCTTCTCCCAGGAGATGCATGACGAGGAGGATGTTTTGGGGTGTGTGACCACGACTTGGCCCCAATGGTCTATTCTGCAACGTGAAGAAGCACATAAATCCCACCGTGGCGAGGTGAAAGAGGAGACACTGTCGCATAACGTGCCCTGGGATACCCTGTCTGAACGCCACCAAGACTGACCTACCGAGCCTACCTCCTTCACCAACCTGTCCTGAGACTGCCAGCTTGTGTGAGTGCGACGATGAGATATCTCCATCCCGCTCCTCAAAGTCCAAAAGTTGCCACTATTGAGATAGCTGGATCGATTTTCTCGTACCTGATCTTGACCAGGTTGTCGCGCGATCTGGACTGGCTTACGATTACACCATGTTCCTGGCTCATGACTGTCGGATGATGCACCTAAATTTTAGAGTCTTGACTTCGCACCAAAACGCAGATCTACCTCCCAAGGAGAGGAGAGCCGCTCCGGAACAACTACCGTCTCAATTGCCTCATATCTTGCCAATCTGAGCTTCAATTGATATCGCGAGTCTCTTATCGCCGGTCTTGTCGTGGATTGGTGAGGCGGACGAGGACTGCATCAATCAATCAGTGGAGAGGCGAAGCACTACCCTCCTCCATCTGGCCCCGGCCCACACACCACGAACCAGGGAGCCAGGGAAAAAGCACGTCCACAGCGGCATGTCCAGCGGCACGTCCGTCTAGTTGAATCCGGGGAAGATTGGCGGCGAGGCTTCTGTGTATCACGTTTTAGCGGGGTCACGGCGTGACGGGGTTCTCGTTGGACGCCGAATCACTTTCCCCAACCAGACATCTCAAGTACTACACAGTAACGTCGACTTATCGCCCAAGATAGCACGGCCGAAGCGAACTCACCTGAAAGCATGTACTGAGGTATCTTCAGCAACCTGAAGTGACGAGTCGGATGAGGCACCAGCGCTTGTGTGCATCTGTCCCACTCTCCACCGCCACTAACGTTCACTGCCAGGCACGTCTTCATAGTCCCAATTGACTGTAGCTGTTCAGGCTTGTCCAACATGGCCATAATGGGACAACTTGTCTCCGTACTGGGCATGGCCTGACGCACGGTAGTCATGGAGAGGCCCATGCAACGCAAGCCCGTGGCATCCTGCTGTCTCTCGCGTACGGCGAAGCTAGCAAGAAGATAAGAGCCTCCTCGCTCGGAGCTGCTCCGACTCTAAAAGTCCCCGGCCAGTGCCCGTCTCAACAACCAACAACAATTGTGCCAAATGAGTCCCGCTTGGAGACTGCAAGTGCAAGTGCATTTACTAGAGAATCACACGGCGAATCTGGAGCCGCCGGCCACCTCCCACTCTTGCAGATCGATCCAATGACGCCGATTCTCGACAATGAAAAAGGCTCGGTTGTCTGTTTATCATACAATTCTCTTAGACCTCTCCCCGCAAATCGCGGGCCCTACCACTACTCACCTCTGGGGATGGCCATTCCGGAAAATAGCCTCCATGCTAGCCAGATATGAAGTCTCGACACTGGAGAAGAAATCCGCAGTGCGGAATTCAATGATGCCCGGCCCCAATCATACTTCTCGGGCGACGCCCCCACCGCCCTGCTTTGCCATCCCCCTTGTGCATAGTTCATCGGGCGAGCAGGTATGACAAGGTTAGATCCGGCAGATCCATGTTGCTGCCGCGGACTGGCAGCCGAACAATGTGTCTCAATTCGATCGCATTTCCCGCGATACACTTGCCGGTCGTGTCTGTGTTCTCGTCACAGAGCTTCTCGTAGCCCACTTTGGCGGGCACTAAGAATGGTGTCCGGTGTCCGTCTTCGCTGGTCATCTGTCTCGCAATGGATGAAAATAGCCGGCCCAGCGTATAAAATGAGGTAGCCCTCATTGTAATCGAGCCTCTCCCCCGGACAGTCGTGCGTTGGCTGTGCCATACTTATATTTCCATTCTGTGGGGCATGGCTATCAGGAAGACCATCCGCTATTCTGTCGTAGACGGTGCCTCGTTTGCGTTGCAATGCTTGCTTGCACTTCTTGACGGACAAATCCCAGAGGAATTTCCCCCTTATATTAAAAATGCTCTCTTCACATCAACTTCTCCCAGCGGAGACTTTGTGTGTTTCCCTACCCCACTGAAAGAACAAGAGGCAGCCTCAGCACTCAAGGCCCTCGAAGCTTGCGCTGCGGCAGCATTGGCAGATCTTCGATATGATCCGGAACCCAGGCTCATCGAAGTTGACATTGATAGGACGGCTTGCTTTCTCATGTCTGCGTACCTGACAACAATTAATGGTATGGACAAGGGGAACCAGGATGTCAGAACCTTAATTCCAGGTCAGTTGGACCAACCAGACAGCCGCCTGTCATGGCACTAATACAAGTTATATCTAGACACGGATCTGAACAAAGCTCAGTCGATTCTCTATCGTCGTTTATCGGCGAATCTTTATGAAACAAAGACGCCTGGAGAATACTACCATATTCATGGATCTCTGGACGCGAGCACAACCTTGCAGATGATCGGCTTGCCTCCTTTCGATCCGCAACTCACCGATTATCGAGGCTGCATCGACACAATCGAGCAAGCTGTAAAGCAATTCAACTCGGCGGAGTTGGAAGAAATGAACCGTCGTGAAAGGCAAGCTGGAGTACCTGTACTGAAATGGGAACAATTCCGTCAAACTCCACATGGCAGAGCGCTGGGCGTTCTTCCTCCGTTCACTGTCAAACCTCTTGATCTCTCCACGCCTCATGTTCCCTTTCCAGAAGCATACCAACCGAAGAATGACAATACAAAGTATACACTTCCACAAAGCCTAACCAGCATCAAAGTCGTTGAGCTTTGTCGCGTCATCGCAGGGCCTACCATCGGACGCTCGCTTGCTGCACATGGTGCAACTGTCATGAAAGTGACGTCACCTATGCTCCCTGATGTGCCATTTTTTCAAATAGACGTCAACACTGGAAAACATGCCACATCCTTGCACCTCAAAGATAATCATGACAGGGCTATCTTCGAATCCCTCCTCGCGGATGCAGATGTCATCATTGATGGATATCGACCCGGCACCTGGGAGCGACTTGGCTATGGATCCCAATACTTTATCGAACTGGCTCGAAAGCGCAACAAGGGCGTTGTCTACGTCGCCGAGGACTGCTTCGGCGGCTCAGACGTGTCTGGCGCAGAGTGGGCGGACAGACCCGGATGGCAACAAATCGCTGACTGTGTAACCGGCGTGGCGTGGGCTCAGGGCAACTTCATGGGCCTCGACGAGCCCGTCGTCCCACCGTTCCCCATGTCTGACTATGGCACCGGCATACTGGGTTGTACTGCCGCTATGGCTGGCCTGTATCGCCGCGCCACAGCGGGTGGCAGCTGGATGTGCCGAACTAGCTTGGTACAGTACGACGTCTTCTTGCTGTCGCTAGGTTTGTACTCGCGCGACGTGCAGGAGCAGGTGCGCCACATGCACGATGTAGACTTCTTCGCACTTCGGCACAGTGATTCAGTGGACGAGGTAGGCAAGCGCGCCAAAAAGAGCATGGTGAGGCTGTTCCCGCACCTGTTCGCCGACGACACGATGCAGCGCGCATGGAGCAAGGGGTTCGCGGCGGAGCTGCAGTGGCCGAAGGAGCCGATCCGAATTAAGGGACTGCGAGTTGGCCACGTTCGTGCCGCGAGACCTAACGGTTATGATGCGCCAACGTGGGAGGGCTGGGAGGAGGAGGATGATTTCCTGGCCGGAGACGATTAATATACTTTTTCCTATTGTTACGAAGTTATGAGAACATGAGAGCCTGAGGAGGATGGGATCATTAGGTGGTCTAGCGCTGATTTCAATACAATGCCTGTTACTTAATACAACTCCAACGTCTATTGTGATATGATACCGATATAAGTACAAGATGATTGTGGCTCATTCAGCCCTGCTCATAGTACTAGCCTTCCAGGCTCGTTCTCGAGCACCAGCTTTACCCTCTCCAAGAACACGCGTGCCCTCTTTTCCTCCGCCTTTGTCACCTTCAGACTGAAAACATTGGGGCCAGCTGTGGACACGCTGGGGACCAGTGTTGTCTTGGACACTGGTGCAGATTTCTTACTAGAAGCCGCAAGTATATCGATGATATCCGCCTTCTGAGGAAGGGCCCTGCGGCCAAACGACGGCGGCGGTGGTAGAGCTGAGATTTGGGGGAGGTAGTAGCCCCTTGAACCTTTGGGTCCGACCTTATCAAGACCGAGAACCTGGTTGAAGAGCTCATCTGCAGAAGGCTTTGCACCTGCTGCAAGTGGTAGCTCATCGTTCGCAACGTCTGTGGCGCGAGCAATGAATGTCGAAAGGGGCATGAACACCCCGAGAGTGTCCTGGACCTTCCTTTGGACCTCAATGACTGAAGCCAGCGAGATAGGCAGAGTGACCAGCAACTCCTCGACTACAGGTGCTGCCTTCTCAGCTGCCTTCTCGGCCGGCTTAGCCGCCTCTGGCTTCTTCTCTGCGACCTTGATGTTGCTCAAGTCGAGGTGGGAGAGCTTTCCCCATCTGGCTTCGATATCGGCGGGTGTCTTCTCGGCAATAGCGCCGAGATAGGCGAGAACATCGCCCTTCAGTAGTCGTCCGTTGGGTCCAGTTGGCGTCATCTCGCTGATCTTGGACTCATCGATGCCCTTCTCGTGCAGCAGGTGGGCTACCGACGGCAGAAGCGGGTAAGTCTGCTTCTGAGCCTTGCGCACTGTCTTCGCCCCAGACTCCTTCATCTCTGGTGCTGGCTTGGAGGACTCCGCCTGTGCCTCCTCCGGTTTAGACGGCTCGGGCTTAGACGAGGACTCCTTGGACTCCTTCGGCTTGGGGCTCTCATCCGCTGGGATCTCCAGCGAGCTGATGTCGTCTCCTTCCTCTGCAATTACAGCAATCCGGGCGCCAACCTGCACGCCCTTGGACCCATCTCCCTGCATGATCTTCATCATGATGCCGTCCTCCTGTGCCTCGACGTCCATTGTGGCCTTGTCCGTCTCGATCTCCAGTAGTACATCGCCGGCCGCAAACTTATCGCCCTCCTTGACCTGCCAGGTCGCGATATTTCCCTCAGTCATTGTGGGCGACAGCGCCGGCATTGTGAAGTTCTGTGCTGCGAGGGCAGCCGACGAGGTCCGGAAGCCTAGGGGTTGGGAGACCGTGTTAGTGAGGCACTTTCACAATCCAGAACTGTAACACGCCAACAAAACATACCTCGCACGGCGGCATCATGAGGCAATTTTTGCCGTGCCAACCTGGCTGACAGGCGGCATGCTGCCGCAAAAGATGCCATGGCTGGCAATTGGGGGGGATGAGACTCGACTGGCGGAGCGGCGGTGGTAGGAGGGAGGCTGACCTGGGGAGGGTGCAACGAAAAGCTATTCTCAGGACGCAATGAAATTATTCGGAGCTCTGGTTGGGGATCGGAAACGTTGGCGGGTGCACGGGCCAACTCTGGATTGAAAGCGCTGGTACAGAATGGAGCCTCCGGAGCGCACAGACGCCGATGCAGGCCGCCGCAACCCAACGACGGCTCGGCCGATAAATTTTTGGAGCTCTTGAAGCTCTATCAAGGCAAATGGTCTGATAGCTCGACATTGGCCCTTCAGACTCACATCTTGAGGTCCGAGCAGGTCTGTATGCCGTACAAGATCTTCTAATACCACATTACAATTCTAACAGGTTCAATTGACAGGTCTCACCAAGATGTCCTCCTTTTCGAGAGGTCCCGCCCTCCGGGTGCTCATCAACATCCCCCGAGTTCAGTGCTTGTGCAATCAACGGATGACAGCAATTGCAGAAACTCTAAAACCCCTACGTTTCCAATCATCACGATCCTCTCGCTCTTCCTTCCAGATCTCCTTCACCCGTCGGCTGTCATCAAAAGCCACCACGCCTCAGACACCCAAGAAGGTAACAGCACCACCAAGAACCGCCAACACCTCCACACCCACAGCAACCGCCGCATTGCGCTCCTACGCGGAACAGCTTGCGCGCAAGAATGCGCCGACAATCCTATACGAAGCGCCGTCGCACTTCTGGCTGCGGGTGTTCTCCTTCGCAGCAGGAGGCTTCTGCATGAGCTACGCGGCCATCAACTACTGGAGCATCACGCTGCACCCGCCCGAGGGCGTCGCGTGGTGGGTGCCGCACGGCTTCGCCGTCATCTGCGTCTTCATGGGCGCCATGGGCGGCTACTTTGTGCTGGGAACCGCATGGGTCGTGCGCTCCATACGCGCCGTGCCCGGGGGCCTCCTGCCCGCCGGTGCCGCCAAGGCTGGCGGCAAGGCGCCGAAGGCGAACACGGCGGCCGCGGTGGCGGGAGGTGCGGCGTCGCCGATCAAGCTTGAGATCACGCTGAGCAGGGTGATGCCGCTCCTGCCGGCGCGGAAGCTGTTTGCCTCGCCGGAGGAGGTCATTCTACCGTTCAAACTGGCAGCCACGCCAATGGCACAAGGCGTAATGCCGGCCAAGGTCCTTACCGGCAGAGAGCAGGTACTAAAAGCAAAGGCAGAGGCAGAGGCGCGCAAGGCGGCGCGGAAGTATGAACTAGATCATCTGATGACGGCGCCGTTCCGCCACGCTGGTCGTGGTGTTTCCCAGCTATGGAGTGGTGCGAGGCGGGCGCTGACCCGTGAAGGGTTTGCCAAGTTCCAAGTGAAAAACACCTCGTATAAGCTGGATATCACGGGCGGTTGGGCCTTGGATAATGGCCGCGCTTTAGATAGGCTTGTAAGTTACCGGCCGAACAGTGTATGATATTCAACATTGGGAAAAGGCCCTTAGGGTCCAGCGCATCGGGCGTAACACCAACTGTCAAATACTTGTATCACCATACCTAGTAAATCTACTACTACCCGGATTAGTGTCTTGAACATGTCCTGTAGATAAGAAGTGCATATAAAAAAATTCTGTTATGCCATCACAGTATTTGGTGCCTTGAAAACTTATACACTTCACATAGAACTACTATATAACTAACATTGGTAGTCGTTATAATAGGTTAATGTTGAAATATCACAAAATTTAGTTCCTGTCAGTGCTACAATGTATGACACGATGCCATTGAAGAGCCCGTTCATTTTATTGCAACCCAAGCAGATATTAACTTGAGATATGTCGACCAGTCTGTGGCTGCTTGTCCAGTCCAAATCATGTAACCTTCTAGAGCAGATCTTAAAAGGGGTACTAGGACCGGCATTTCAATTCTGTTAAACCTGGAACCCCTCTTCGATGAGGTAGCCGTCACTCACAGCAATAGGGACAATTCAGCGCATGCAATTCATGCCAACTTATCATAGAACCTTGATGGCTTACACACTCAGCAGATTGCACGGCGAAGGGTGCGTAGCTCCAACAACTCTGCATGTCAAACAAACGTAGAGTGAAAGTCACACCAAATGGCTAATACAGTATAGTGAGCGATACGCCGCTCACTCACATACCAAAAGGGGAGTATCTGAGTGACTAGCAGATCAGGGCAGATCTTGTTTCAAGATGAATAGCGGTCAGAAACCGCTGCCAGGACAAGGTCGGCTTTCCCACTTGGGATGCCGATCGTCTGTGTAGTCTGCAATAAGGGTCCTCCGCATCCTGGAAACCAGATATTGCCGAGGGTTTCGAAGAACAATCGGAACTAGGTGTCGATCCCCCAGGACTAGGTGCCATCTCTACACGACGCTGGCTTCGGCTGGGCACGCGCGGCTGTCCTGTCTCGCGGCCGTGGAGCGCCTCCCTTGTCACAGATGGTGGATGGCACCGGTCGGCCCGTCATCGTGAGGGCGGCTGGGTATGATATCACAGCACATGGCCGATGCCGCTGCGTACAGGCTATTCGAGCAGGGATGCCTAGAAAGGATGTCTTGGTACCAAAGACGAGCCCCATTGCTGGTTTTGGAGGGCCAGAGGAAGCGACGATGGTGCGGGGGCAACTCCATTGCTGTCTTGCCAGCTCCGAGACTTGTCGCGTCAAGCCTCTGTTGATCAGAAGTGGGTAAGGGTCCAAAGCATCAGTCCATTCCATGGCAAGCTGCCGCACCCTACTCGTGTGTATGCTCGAGACGGAAAGCGACAGCTCGAGTCATTAGAGCCGTGAGATAGAGGGGCGGCGCGTCGCGGGGCTAGTATCGCAGTGATAAGACGAAACCGTTGGCTGGGATGAAAGTCGGTGTGAAAGTGTCACCCCTGAGGATGATCAACGGATGGACGGGACCAGCCAGGTCGGGGCTAGACAGCTTATTGGCTCCTTAGTTGACCTGACTCGCCCTTGATGTCTTTGCGAGTTAATGGCAAAGGAGAAGGAGTGGCTGTAAGAGGAAAGAGGACTGGTTCAGATAAGCTCAATAGACAAATGAGCAACAACTAGCTCCGTCCGTCATTAGCAGCGTCTGTTCTAGAATTACGCGGACTAGACACATCAAGACAGATGGTTTGGAACATGTGATGCTTGTGCCTGTGCACTTGTACGGAATCTGTACCATGGAGCGTGCCGTCAGTATCAAGTTTAAGCCGATCATGGCCAGCAACGCGATTGATAATATCAAAATGTCCTCTGCAGACGCAGCAAGAGGAAAAGGCTCTCTTGACAGCAAAAGAAGAATACGGCATCTCCAAAAAGATGTTGGAGGAAGCCCCACGAGATCAAGCAAAACCCCTGTCATACTCACTGCCCCTCAGCTATCTTTTTTGCCCATTAGCCGATATGTACAAAGGGATTGGCTGGCCAGGATGCAACGGCCACCACCTTGTTGTCTGCGTGGGCACGGGCTGGAAATAATGTGGTTCATCGATGGTATCCTGGCTCAACTTGCATGACGCCTAAGCATTTGGATGCGACAGTTTGAGCGCAACCTATAACATCTTTGACTAAAAAAGCAGAATAGGGCCGCACAGAAGCGCAAGCAATGTCGCATATGCTGCACGCAGAACAGCCACGCAAGTGGATAGCGGCAAATCCAATACACCGAGATCTCTCTGCACATTCCAGCCATGAGCGGTGAACACTGGAATTGACGTATCAGAATGTTGATGGCTGTCGTGTGACGGTGATCAGTGGCTGTCACAGATAGGTGGATGATTAGGGATTTGTACCGATAGAGTAGTAACCCTAATTCATACAGCAGAAGAATTTGGCTCATTGCACTGTAAGGTGTTCAATTAGGGAATGTTGTGTCAATCTGAAGAATGACCACAAAAAATCCGATCCTCAAAGTTGCACTCAATTCGGGATATTAGAGGTCCAACCAAGTTCTGGAGTGGGCATCAATTCAAGTACAGCCGCCCTTGCCGACCAGGTACTTGAGGTACAAGGGCCCTAGAAAGCCTACCTGTCTGGAAAGACCCTGGAGAGTGCACGGCCCCAGAGGTTGATTGACTTCGATCCTCCATGCGGGGTATCAGCAGTACATTCGACACCATAATGTTGCAAGACATGAGTAGGATGTTGTCTTCGACGCAAGTCTAGAACAAGTCTGTCGTGACCAGTCGAGCCCGGTGGGTCTTGAGAGTTGAATCCATAATGTGTTTATTTCTTCCTAGCCTTTATCAAGCGGTACGCCAGTTCACGGCACTTCGCGTCATAGTGACATGTCCGCAATAAGTGAAAAGTTGTCCAGACTCATCAAGTTGCACCTGTGCAGCAAGTCGGATCTTGAGGAGAGGCGACGATTGGATTATAGTCGTGACACAGGATCAACGAGGCTCCTTTCGAGTATTGAACCCCACCGTGGCCGGCGCCTTAACCTCTCCTTCTTAGCTCTGCATATGGCTGCATCGGATGACGGTGGTCTTGTCTCGCTAATCGCCTGTCTTCCAGGTTTCGGGGACATTAGGTATTCAATATCGTATAATGCCAACAAAAGCTGAACTTCGGATGAGCGAGGCCGATTGACCGACACAAAAAGATCTTAGTTTCCGAGATATCCAGCAATGATGTCCTACGGGGGGTGCACATGAGGTGTGTTCTGCCGTGGTCTCAGAATTAGTGGTCATCGTGGGGGTAATATCAAGATGGCTGCCCACCATCTTTGATATTCCAACCGGGCGCAGACATGATGCATGTCCACCGCCATCTGCGGACTTCCTTTTGATTTTGCACGACTGTACTCTGGAACCTCCTCGTTGACACTTGACTTTACACGCGGACGCATGACCAAAGAAGAGACATTTCTACTAGAGTGGGCTCGTTCGGGATCGTACGGTCGAGAGACGATGTTGCAGCTCGTTCCCCACCGTCCGAGATGATAGGTGTGGGATGGGCCATGCTGATGACTATGCTGCTGTCGATAGTCGTCGGCTTAGCCAGCTATTTTGGGCTCGTAGTGGCTCCGCACTTCACACATTCTGACGGTAGCGCAGCCCCATGCCTTGATTAGGCTGTTTGAAAGAGTAGGAATGCTTAAGCTGGCCCAGATGCGTGTGAGTGGTGATGGCCTCCTGATGAGCACAAGGCGCTGAAGCTGACTACAGCTTCTCGTATTATTCAGACCCAAGATTGCTATATTAGATGAAGACCGGTGATGCTCATGGTCAGCAGTCTCTTCCTTGACAAGCGCACCTCGCACACCTATTACCTCTGTCGCAGTACATTTGCTGGATATATCCGCAGTGGCAAGTACCGAGGCGGTGAGACTGCAGATGCATTGTTTCGCAGGCTGGTAACCACCCAGAAATCCCCAAATCGGACGAGAAGACCGCCCTGAGTCAAACATGAGGTGGTAGGTAGATTAGAAGCTCCGGATTCGCAATCTTGGATGGGCATATTTGACGCTTGTAGTAGGAAAATAAGCTGCCTCAATTGTAGGTTACATCTCCGTAGAACCAAAGGATGCTAGTATCATCTGGGGACGTACCACCTGAATGGTCCAACTAAAAGAGCATTACCCTGACATACGGCTATCTTCACCTGACATGAAACGAACGGATTGTAAATCACTTTCGCTCTTAGTCTGAATCATGTAAGAAGAACGATCGCGCTTGGCGGGGCTTTCAGCAGATGACGGTTCAGGATTATCATTGCCCATCAGCATCTACTTAGGGCCATAGTGCCATGGTGGAGGGGATGGCGGTCCGCACCTTGCAGCTAAAAATTCATGGTGATCCCGTCGTTGCCCGTGGATGGACTGGCGAGCTGGACGGTTACTCGTCTATCATCCATAGATGCAAGTTAAGGCAAGGCTCGCAACGCCATTCGCAAGAAGGGTGCATCAGGTAGCACCGAAGCTAACCTGCGAAGTGGGGTGAATGCTGGAGATATCAACGTGCATGGCTCGGCGGACTGGCCTAAGCAAGATGACGACCTACGAGCCGTGACATTCCCAATCACAGTTGCTGCGTGCTGTACTCTAGTGGAGGTATGACATAATTGTCACCCACAATGGGCTTGAAGATGAAAAGCATCTAGAGAAGTGCGATGGTTTCGACAATCTCGGCTAATAGAGTATGAGAAGAAAGACCCTCAGTATTGAGTATTTCGGCATTGATATGCAACATGTCGTTGTTGGATGCTGTTGATTGCGGCGGCTGGTGACATGATCTCCAATGTCCTCTGTAGGTGACAGCCTGAAGATCCGATCAAGTCCGGCATGTCGAAGCGCGTCGACGGGCAGGCAGAACGAACTTGAAAACAGCCTTGACTTAGAGAGCTCGCCGGCAAAACGGGCTGGAGATGGCTAGAGAGGTTTCTGAGCTGATACGCCCTCCTCCACTGTAACGAGATGCAAAGGATGGCTTATTATTTTCTTTTCCGCACTAAGGCAGGCATGTTGCACAGACACCGAATAGTGCGGGCCACACCGGGCGAGGGGCTTGCGTTGGATGGCAGGGGCGGTTGTTTGGCGACATGAAAGTACTGTTCGTACTGGACAGTTCGATATGCACACTCCGAGGAAGCCATGGCCTTGCGGCGTCCCAGTGACAGCTGCGTGGCGGTGGCCCTTTTCTTCTTCACGATACCAACGAGCTAACGCTTATCATCAGAGTGTCTTGCATATCTTGGTCCT